CCGTCGAGCGCGACGACCTCGGACTGCAGGCACTGGCCACCGTCGAACGCCGTATCCGCGTGGGGCATGCTCACGACCTGCTGGACGGCATAAAGCAATCGCTGAACCATCAAGGTGCTTTCCTGCTCGACAAGCGCAAGCACGCGAGGGGCCAGAAGGACAACACGCGCTCACAATCACAAGTTAATGCCGCAGTCGCGCGGACGCGTAACATCGCTGGGATGTACAACTACAACCGCGACCGCTTGATCGCGCTGAGCCGCGAGGAGTCGGACGTTCTTCCATGGATCAATCTTGACACCGATCTCAAGGGCAAAAATTGGAACAAAGCACGTCAGCTTGGAGATAGTCGGGAGGAGCAGAGTTGGATATGGACGGTGGTTCCTCCGTGGAGGTCAGGGGTGCAAGTTGAGGCTTGGCAACTCGAAGGTAAGTGAACGTGGTTTCCTGGCGACGTCGTAGCATGCTGACAGCTATGTTTGCAGTTGATCGCGTGCAATGGTTCCGAGCCAAGGCGGAGATGACCCGAGCGAACGAAGAAGTGAACAAACTTCATGCCGAGTTCAAGCGGACGATCCTCGGCTTCAAGAACATGTCAAATGCGTGGGAGGCGGTCTCGACGCAGCAGATGTTGTCGCGCGGGGCGCAAGCGTATGCGAGGAAGAAGGCAGATATCTTCAGCAAGATGAGTCTACAGTGTGCGAACGCCTTCGCGAGCACACGAAGAGACCACGAAGAGAAATGGGATTATGCTAAGGTGAATCAAGCATTATGCAATAACAAACGACTGATCCTGTCCTGCTCAGGTCGTGACCGAACAACCGCACCAGGAGGGTGAAGGGAAGTCTTCCACACGCGAAGATCATAGCTCATTGCAGTGAGAGTGAGCCGGCGACAGTGCAGTCCGGCGTGTGGGCCTACGATGCATGCGTTGCGCGCTGCGCGGCTGAGCGCATCGAGGTTGTACAAAGGTGTTGTCCGATGGTTACTGGCACTGATGAAACAAACATTCCATCGCTTCAATATAAGCCGACCGCCCATCTGGGCCTATTCAAACTAGCGGGCCAACCAGTCTCCCCATCCACCCGCCCCCGAACTCTCTCATACCCAACGTCTTCCTCTGATCAATGTTACTAGCTCCGTCGGTCCGCGCGCGTTCACCCTCCGCAATATCACCCAGACCGTGCACGGGATGTTAAGGAATGCGGACGCAACACTCAATACGCGCTTCACGCGCTATGCTTCTACTCTGGTCGCCAACAATTCCGTACGTACCGACGCGAAAGCGGCGCCTCCTGGATGGCGTGGCCTTCCCGCTTTCACGGGTCTACACCTGTGTCCGAACCATCTACTTCCGTGCAGCGATTGTCCGAACCATCTACTTCCGCGCAGCGACTGTCCGAACCATCTACCTCCGCGCACTAACTATCTACCTCCGCGCAGCGCCTAGTCGCGCCGCTGCTCTCCATCTCGCGCCGAGTCGCTTTCAGCAGACCGCGCCTCTTCCTCCCGCCCAGTCGCTTTCAGCAGACCGCGCCTCTTGCTCTCGCCCAGCTTCCTCTCTTACAACCTACCATGTCCTTCTATCTCTGCGCCGCCCCTTTCCTCGTCCTCTACTCACCGCAAAGCCGACGGTTCGCGCGTCACTCGGGTGAATACCACGTATCGAAGAAACTACGGCCCTGTCTAGTCACCGCCGTCGACGGTGACTGGATCTGCCTCGCTCCTTGCTTATCGGCTCGCCCGGAGAGCCAGGTAGACTCTCTGTATTGTCGTCTTCTCGTCGTCTAACGTCTCCAACCTCAAGATGAAGCGCTCCTCCTGGAGCATCGTCGATTACGGCAAACACGGCCCCACTCTCCCCGACCACCCTCTGCACAACGCGCCGGTCTTTTCTATTCCTCTGCGCTCCCGTCGGCAGCGTGGCTGGAAAGCGACGTCGTGCTTCGTTTGGACGCGCGATGAAGGCGAATGGATCAGCATCGCCGACTGGGAGTCGACTCTAGGGGCGCGCGTCCTGGACTCCGACTTCGACCTGAGCCCAGGGCAAATGGCGATCTTGCGGGGAAAGCATTGGGCGATTTGTACGTCTCTCCTTCTGCCTTGTCTGATCGCGCTGACTTTGGGACAGGGGGAGGGAACCAGGGCTAATGGTGGCCAGTCGACGCAAACGTGTTACCTACTCGCAAGTGTGATCATTGTAAAGTCTCGTTGAAGTTACTCCCATCCCTCTCCTCGTCGATACGACCAGACATGCAGTCTCGGCCGCTGTTTCTGACGCAGCCTGTACCTTCGATGCAATCTCGAGCTGTCGTGCATGCTGTACTTACGGCACCTCGCGCGCCGCGTTCAACCATCTCGTATGCTACCCTGGAGATCCTCGAGCTCGCATCTTTCCCGCTGGCTCCGTCGCTCCGCCAGCCTCCTGCGTGCCCAATGTATGACCCTCTATTGGGTGCGACTACGCCGGCACGCGCTACCTCGGCTCGACAACCACAACTTATGGACACTATCCATGTGCCGGCAGGCCACCTCGAAACTCAGCGACAGTCTCACTAGCTGCGGACCATGTCGAGGGGCAGCCTATGCCACGGGCTGACCACCGGACGAGCCATCGGCGCGACGCTGCTACATACCCCTGCTTCTCCGCCTGCCATGTGGCTTATCCGTGGTGCACTGGAAGACACAAGACGTACATGACACGCGCCACCCGCTTTCGTTATCCTAGACTGGTGTGCCCTCTTCCTGTGTCGATCCATCCCTCAGCTCCGCCCACGATTTATCAAGCTGCAATAAGACTGGAGAAGCGGGGAAGATGAGGAGGACACCGCTGGCAGGGTAACGAGGCAAGGTGAGCATCTTCTCGTCTGCAGAGTGTGACCAATATCGACGAACCAGCAGCACGACCGCGCAATGCTCCGCTTCCAGCGACAATCAAAGCCGCGCGACTCAACCCGCACGCGATACACGCACGAGCGCGCCGTCTACAGGGTCAGCCCCCAGCGCGACCTGCTCGCGGCGGACTCACTTGAAGGCGGAAACGGTAGCTTGAGGGCGCGTACGACGCACCACACTCGGCCAGAGCAGTACGACCTCCTAGCTCTGGTCCGTGCATCACAACCACGGACGCCTGCACTGCGAAGAGTGCTCCTCGGCCTTTGCCTGTTCGAGCCCGTCGTTGAGAGGAGTCGGCACGCAAGAGCGTGCCGACGACCAGGCGAACCGCCGGCGTGACGCTTCGTGAGGCAGGGAGGAGAGGACTAGCTGGCAGGCTTACCAACCTAGGTGAGTGGTAGCTACTTCATCGCCTCCTCCACGTCATGACGTGCTCGTTCCGATGAGCCAGCGGCGGCTGTATGTGCTCGGGAGCAGTTCCTCGAGCTCAACACGTCTCCCGATGCACCCGAACTGGACGCGGCGGCGCCTGATACGCACATCCTTCACCCTATATCCACTCAGTCCAGCCCTTCCAACGTCGTTCCGCGCGACATCGGCGCACAACGGCGCGTCGACTGCGAGTACAATTCGACATGTTCGCGCCGACCATGTACCCTTGTCAGCTGAGGTGCATGCCGCCAACCTCGACACAACTATGGGTGTCCCGATCGGATACCGACCTCACGGGATGCTGCGATTGCGACCCGAACGTAATCCCGTCACACCTGCGACCAGTGAGTGTTCCCCCGACCAACCTTCCTATCCGCTACATGCTCATCTGCGATGCTATGTGCTAGTAACCTGTTATCCCAGCTGAGTCCGCGCTAGCCAGCCCCGGCACCGCATAGACCGGCCTTGTCGTCCAGCCCGCCATCGCGAGTAAGAGGTACGGTCCACATCATCAAGCCGCTGCCACCGCTAGCAACAGTGCTCACTGCACCGAGCAACGTCAGGGTCTCCTCCCCAAGTGTACAAGCAACGTCGCTCATCGTACCGCCCCGACCGTGCGACTCGCCGCCCGACGGGATGGCATCACGATGAGAGGTCACTGTCCTACCTCCACTGCGCGACACCCATGGCGTCTCCATTGCAGCGATACCCACCTCCTGTATGCTCTCTTGCCTTCCTGGCCTTCCGCTACCACAGCTTACGCTCTCGCTACCAGTCCTCGTCGCCACCACCCTATGCACGCGCACTAGGGGGTCTCCCCGGCATGGATTCATATGGACTCATTCAGTGATCGTCACTGTAGCCCTGTACACTGCACAGGACCGACTACTGTACGTCGTCGTGCTGGTAGGGTACGTCGCGGATGATACTATGCGAGGGTTATGCTGTGAGTTAATGTAGTTACGATTCGGAGGTGGCTTTGTTACTGGATTAGTAGAGTGGCTATGTAGTGGCTTTGCTACGGATTAGTCGTTGATCTTCGGTGATTTACGTAGTTTCAGGAGGCGGTTTCGTAGTGGATTTGTAGTGGATTTGTTAAGGATTAGTAGTTGTTCTTCGGTGATTCGCGTAGGTTTAGGAGGTGGTTTCGTAGTGGACTGGGGTGGGTACTCGGTGGATTTGGAGTGACTTTGGAGGGGATCATTGATTGGCTTTGGTGTATCAGATATTGCTCTAGGCTGATGGCTTAAGACTTGATCCAGTGTTAATTGAGTTCATGCTTAGACTTGATGCAGTGTGAATGTGGTATACCAAGGCAGTAAGCCTGTGTATTTGGGATGCACATGTACATCAACACCGACTTAGATAGTAGAGACAGTGGATTACAAGTGGATCTATAGTGTATTAGGTAGTGGCTGTGTATTATGCTGACTGAGACAGTAGATTACAAGTGTATCACACTGGCTCAGATAGTGGATCACAAGTGTATCAGTAATGTATCAGGTAGAAGCTGTGGATTGTACTGACTTAACCAGTGTGTTGAGAGTGTATCAGTAGTGTATTAGTGGTGCATTAAGTACTATGAGGATTAAGACTAGAGATTCAACATGAATCAACAGTGTATTAGTGGTGTATAAGTGATGTATTAAGGGACCTCCTTAATGCATTTGTAATGCACTCAGATTTAGGACATGACTTAGCAGTGGATCAAGACTGTATTGGATTAGGATTAGATTAACAGGGGTACAAAAGTGTGTAAATCAGATCCAGGGTTTAATTCATTAATGAATGAAAGTAGATGCACTTAAACTGACATCACTGAGTTGGGACACCACTCCCAGAAGACGATGCGGCGACCCTGGCCCTGGCCCTCTCAGAGGATGAAATCCTCGACTCGATCAAGAAAGCTGGCCCTGGCAAGGCTGCTGGATTGGACGGCCTACCATACGAGTTATGGCTTACCTTTCACGAACGGTGGACATGGTGCACGTCTCGATCTGAACACAAATTCAACTGCCTGGATTTCATGCGCATGTTATACTGCGACATCGACAGGTACGGCGTCAGCAGCCAAACAGGTTTCGCTGAAGGATGGATGTGCCCTCTATACAAGAAAAAGGATAAGCGCATCATCGAGAACTACCGCCCGATCACGCTACTCAACTCTGACTATAAAGTATACACCAGAGCTCTTGCCGGAAGAATAGGCAGAGAGGCCCAAAAGATTATCCACCCCGACCAGGCGGGCTTTGTTCCCGGTAGGCTGATCACTGACCAGACACAAATGTGCCGTGTCATGGTCGACTACGCTGAGGCAACCGAGGAGAACGGCGCGATTGTAGTGCTCGACCAGGAGAAGGCGTATGATAAAATCAAACATGACTATCTCTGGCGCGTCTTAGAGAGATTCGGCCTCCCAGCTGCCCTGATAAGACGCATCCGCAGCTTGTATGAGTTCGCAACAACGGTGGTGATCGTCAACGGCGAAATGAGCTCACCATTCCGAGTCATACGCGGGGTCCGTCAGGGTGACCCGCTATCATGCCTGCTCTTCGACATAGCCATCGAACCACTGGCTTGCGCCCTCAGACGCTCGTCGCTGAGAGGCTTCCGAATCCCAGGTGTTGCCGAAAAACTAATCGCTACGCTCTTTGCTGACGACACGTCAGCGTTCCTGTGTGAACACGATAGCTGGGGCCTACTTTGGATCATCTTGAAGTCCTGGTGTGTGGCCTCCGGAGCGAAATATAACGGTGACAAAACAGAGGTCATCCCTGTAGGATCGAGTGAGTACCGGGAATCCCTGCTCACATCGAGGTGCATCAACCCCGCTCGCCCGGAAGACACGATACCAGGGGATGTAAGAATCGCAATGGATGGCGAAGCGGTACGCATCCTAGGAGCGTGGATCGGTAATAAGGTAGACCACGTAGCGGTCTGGACACCGACCCTGCTGAAAGTGGACCGCTTCCTGGAGCGATGGGGAAAGTGCCACCCCTCCCTCACGGGCAAACGCCACATTGTTCAGATGGGTCCCGGAGGGATGACACAATACCTGGCGGCTGTCCAGGGCATGCCGAAGCAGGTGGAAGAAGCCCTGACATCAAAGATCAGAGCGTTTGTATGGGACGGAGCGACTACGGCTCCAGTGGCGATGTCCACACTAACACGCCCGATTGTGGAGGGCGGCCTCGGCCTACTCGATGTTGCTACGAGGAACGAGGCGATTGATCTGATGTGGATAAAGCGGTACCTAACACTCACCGAAGACAGGCCCCGGTGGGCCTACGCAGTCGACATCCTACTCGGTCGAGCGGTGTCAAAGGACGCTGGCGCAATCAGGCGGAGCGCGCAGCTCAATACATTCCTGCAGTCCTGGTCACCCGCTGTACATAACAGCTCACCTCTGCCGAAGTATCTCAAGCGGATGCTAACGACGGCGAGGAAACACAACCATCCAAAAAGCTCCGCTCCCTGAACAACACGAGAGTCAGTGACTGCCTGCGAGACAATCATGACGTACGTTTGGTTGCGGATCTCCTGCCGCTGGCCCGGCGCGAATGTTACAACATCGCAAGAGCCATGTCAAATGACTTTGTTCCGGAGGAATGCGCCTGCGACCTCTGTAGGTCTGACTCCACCCGTGGCTGCAAGAACCCAATGAACTGCTGCAAGGCTGCTGCTTTTTTGTTAGCCCAAGTGCAACCGAAATGGCATCCCGACCTGGTGTCCCCGAAGGATGGGTTAACCCTGACGCGAAGAAGGAAGGAACAGAACATAAAGGCCCTGGATGAGGCCCAGGGTGACATAACCTTCGACCCGTCCCTCACCAGTAGAGGACATGTCACGGAAGCTTTCCGAGCTTTCGTTGACCCAAACGTTCACGACGAACCTCCGGCGATCAGGGCTAGACGCGGTCGCATCGTAGAGGACGAGGCAGTCACGGCTTACGTCGTCGGCCCTATACAGAGGGCGTCCCTCCCCCGAGGGGCCGAGCCAATGCCCCTGGACTACGGTTTCGTCTTCTATCCCGAGGCCGGCGGACGCGCCGGTAGGGGCGCGCTCGTGCGCCCCTTTGATGTCATCCCAGTGACGAGTCACTCCATCGGAGAAGCGGTCGCAGCCCTGAAAGTGGTGACAGGCACGCCCCGCGACGCCCCCCTTAAAATCATCCTGTCTACGCAGGCCCTGGCAAAAGACATGACGGAACGCCTCCAACGATGGGAGGACAGAGGCTGGATTGGAATCGCAGGGAGCCAGGTTCTGAGGGCTTTGGTGAACAAACTCCGCCAGCGATGCGCGCCGACCATTTTCGGTAAAGCCTCTAACAGCGCTGAGTATACGATACGGAACAATGCCTGCGACCTGGCTAAAGAGCAGTTCCTAGCCCAGACAACCACCATGATCCGCCTGTCAATCGACAAGGCCTTCGACCTGACAGGCGCGAAGCTGTCGACGCTTACCCAGGCAATAGCGTACAGAGGAATACGGGACCGACTCCGGGTGCAGGACCGCCCACGAACAGCCGGACAGGTTCAGCGGACAACTGACAACTCGAAGGGGCCCGGGCTGCGCGCCGCGACGACGGCAGAACTGTGGACGAGCATACGACATAAAGACTTCCATAGGAAGATTGTTGACTTCCTCTGGAAAGGCATGCATGAAGCCCACAAGATTGGCCCCTTCTGGGCACACATATCGGGCTACGAAGAGAGAGCCGACTGCCCAACGTGCGGGTGCAGAGAAACTTTGAGACACATTCTAACTGAATGTACTGCCACGGGCCAGGCTTTGATCTGGAAACTCACCCAAAACGCATGGAGGAGAAGATCCAAGACATGGCGGACACCGTCCCTGGAGGACGCCCTGGCAGCAGGCCTAGGCCGCTACCCTCGAGGAGTAGGCGAAAAGCCGAGAGAACCCCTCGCTCGCCTATGGAGGATCCTGGTGTCGGAGGCAGCGTACCTCATCTGGAAACTACGCTGTGAGCGAGTGATCGGACATGAGGATGACCCAGAGTGGCAACACTCCCCTACCGCTACAATACAGCGATGGTACGCCTCTCTGAATAGAAGGCTACAGCTCGACCTGGTGGCGACCAGGAGGAGCTTCGGACGGCTAACAGTCTCGAGACGACTCGTTTGGTCCACATGGACAGCGATAGTCGGTGACGAACTTGGCCTACCGGAAGACTGGACTTTAGTCCCGCGGGTTTTAGTGGGTATTGACCCGGAAGTATGTAGGATCGAGGAAGATCCCGGGTAACTGAGCCCCACACTGGCCGTAAGAGCCGTGCGTAAATTAGCATTTTTCCCTGGTAAGCATTAGCGGGCGCAGCCCGCACGCTGGCTGGACCAATGGGGACGACCTATTGTCGCCTGCCAAGGTTCATATAAGCCATCCAAAAAAAAAAAAAAAAAAAAAAGATATTCTGGTGATAGAAACACGGCTCCTTGGACAGCAGGAACGCGCATATATAGCTAAGTATATGCCATACAGGAATGGAAGCAAGCAGACGTAGGCATGTAGCGATGACACCATCTGCCTATACTAGGGAAACACGCGAACGTTGCGTGGGCCACGTTGGGCATTCTCGACGACTACATATCCGCGCCTGCGAGATGATACGTGTGTGGCGCGCAAACCCCAACCCTCGTCTACATGTATAAAGTCCCAATCGTGGCTAAATTTTGGGACTGTACAGAACGCGAGGACAGTAACTTACAATGCTCGACTCAAGCAAAGCTCCGAGTCAGACAAGAAAGTTGTATCCAAGATCAAGATAACATACTAGGTAATGTTAGAAAATGCTGCTCACACCCATTCAAGTTCAACTATGCCGGCTTCCTCAAGCTCATCAAGGATACTCTGCAGAAGCACACGGTGACCACGATATCTCTTGCTTGCCCAAGCCGCCTGTTTACCCGACAGTCCACGGCGGTACGCATCCATGAAACGCTGGGATCGCACGAAGAAGCGCCGTATTGAGTCGAGAGGGACGGCATCGAGCGCGGAGTGTGTGTTCCGCTCGAGATGAGCCTCGAGCGTCCATTTACCGTCCTTAGGTTGCCTCGGGGAGCACTTTGCTTCTATTTGCCCGGCAGACAGACTGTATAAGTTCCGCACCAACTATCGTTACCACACCCTTCGCGCTTCACTGCCCTCATGGCCACTCCTTGGTCACCGATGACCTTTTACTCCGAGAGTCAATTCCGCACTCCGCTAGAAAGCGAGCTGTTTGCACAAGCAGTAGCCGATGCTACCGAGGCCCAGAAACTTGCCAGTGAATTCATCGGTCTGAATCGATACGAGGAAGCAGAAAGGCTGCACCTCCGTGCCTTGGAAGTCAAACTGCGTATTGGGTGCCCGGAGGCCAGCCTCGCCATCTCATACAATTCAATGGGAGCGATGTACACTAGGATGGGTCGTCTAGACGAGGCCAAGGAATATCTTCAGAAGGCTCTTCACATCCGAGAGGGCAATTCGGAGTGTGGCAAGTGTTACGTCAACGTTTGTTTTCCTTTATTTTGCGCTTGACCGTTGTACTACCTTAGCATGGGCCCAACCCCATGACGCTACGCTTCTAGTCTTCGGACTACTTCGCTGTTCGCTCCGGTCCAACCCGGGGCAGTTCACGTGATCTCTGACTCAGTATGACTCGTCGGGACTCGTCTCTTACTCATACCTGACTCATCGTTTATGACTCGGTCCCTGACTCGTCATGACTCACTTCCCCGCGCTCCTATTGGCTAGGTAGTTGTGACTCGTCCAGGACCTGCCCTGAACTCCCCATGTATATAAGACCAGTGTACAGTAGCGGTCGAACCTTAGTTCGACCTGGTTATCTATTGAAGCTTCACCAGCTCCTTGGATATCAGAAAACTCCCCGCTCGACCTGCTAGACGGACTTAGCAGCGTCTTCGACCATCCTCCCCATCCAAGGACGATTAGAACCTAAGGTCCCTACGTTTAGGGTTAGGTTGAGAGCTAGTGCTCTAGGTGTCACGCTTCGCGTAACATAAGGTCGAACTGATCTTTACGCTCCGCCTGCTCAGGCGCAGAGCCCACACATCTTCACACACGCTTCCGGAGTGCCCCTCCGTCTAGGGGACTCCCCATCCACCACGGACTACCGAGTTGAGATCGAACCCGTTACCTACGGGCTCCCAACCCTACCGAACCTCTGGTGGAACGACGACCTTCGCCTCTTCGAGTATCAGAACGACACCGGTGAGCACAGACCTGTGCTTGTGCAAGAACCAGAACGAGAAGGAGAGAAGCGCATTTGGGCCTTCTTCCACGACACTGTTCCCCTCGAAGAGCAACAGAAACAGACCCGCGCCTACCTAGACACCAAAGGAAAGGCTGCCGAACGGATCAGGAAGATCCAAGACGAACGACCGAAGCCGGCGACTCCAGCGGCTATCCGACGAGAACTCTCGAAGCACGAAGCTACTTCCCCTGCAGTAGGAACTAGCCCCCTGGTACACGTTGTACCCGAAGTAGGCACATCCCGCCTTACCCAGTACTCCTCGAACCTCGCTACAGGTGTCGAGAAGAAGCCTCTCGAACCGGAACTCGAGACGCAGTCGAACGAACCCGAACCCGAACCCGAACCCGAATCAGACGACGCAATGTCTACCACCCGCACGAACACGGCTACTAAGCTTGAGGTCCCCGCACCTGACAAGTTCAAGGGACAAGCTACCGATGCGAAACCGTTTATCCGACGTCTCGAGATGTACTACAGCGCAACAGGCAACGCCGATGCCAACGATCAACGGAAGATCGCTTACGCTCTCCTCCTCATCGACGACAACAGCGATGCTTTCTACTGGAAGAAGTTGCACATGGACGGAGAAGCTGATGCCCAAGAAGAAGGCAAGCATGCGTTTGAGTCTTGGAAAGACTTCAAGGAGGCCTTCTTGAAGGCATTCCCCGTTTATGCCGAAGGAGACAGAGACTCGATAATGCTTACAACTCTAAAGCAAGGAAAGACTCCCACCCCTGCCTTCATCCCCAAATTCCGATCCATCGCGTCCAGGACCGACCTCTCTGATAAGACCCTCTCCGGGTTCTTCAAGAGGGCAATCCGCCGTGATCTCCTTGACAAGGCAATGAATATGGAACCACCCACGACCCTGCAAGGGTGGTTTGACCTTGTCCTCCGACTCGACTCCCGCCAGATCTACAATACCAATTACTACGAGGGAGGGAACAGCGGAGGTAACAACCACCGCTCCTCCTACCCCTCTGGACGAGGCAGCGGACGATTGGACGAACCTATGGAGATCGACGCTATGGATCAGAGGGAACGGCAACGTCACCAGGAACTGGGCCTTTGCTTCGGATGCCACAAACCCGGACATCTCCTCAGGAACTGTCCCGAGAAGAGACAGAACCCGAAGTTCACCCAGCGCAACCGAACTTCCCCACGCCGTGTGCCCGCCTCCTCTACCCACGTACGAGAAGTTACTCCCGCCTACGTACGAGAAGTCTTCCAGGAACTTCCGCTCGAAGAACGCGCCCCGCTCTTTGAGCAAATGTCGAAGGATTTTTGAGTGGGTCTGAGTCATCGATGCGCCCAGACCCCACCTATGCACTCCACATATCCCATGTAGTAACAGGAATCACGCAATTCAAAGCCCTTTACTTTCCTCTCATGGTGATCGGAGTGCATCAAGACATCGAAACGGAAGCTCTCATCGACAGCGGTGCAATGGCCACGTACATCCACCCTCGTCTTGTCATCAAACTACGCCTACCCTCGGTACCCCTTGTCCGACCCATCCCGGTCTTCAACGTAGACGATACTCCCAACAAGAAGGGAACCATATCGCACGCCGTCGCCCTTCGCTACCGATGGAAGGGAACAACCAAGCTTGTTAAGGCGTACGTTGCCGAGATCGGAAGACAGGATCTCATTCTAGGCCATGAATGGCTCCAGAAGGAGAACCCCATCATCGACTGGAAGACAGGCGAGCTCGAGTTTGAAGACCAGACGTACTGGGCCAAACGCGAGCAGAATGAACAGCTTAGCAAGGCGGAAATCCTACGAACTGTCAAAGTGGAGCTACCTCCCGCTCCCGTCTATCGGATCCGCCGACAAGTTGAGGAACCACCCGATCGGGCCTGCAGCCCCGAAGAACCCCGCGAACCAACCCCACCTCGACGAGCGACCGTCGAGGATGTTCCCGAAGAAGAACACGAGCAAGCTGTAGATGCTCCTCAGAAGGAAGTTGTAGCGGAGACTTCTCTCTTGGACGAGCCAATTGAGGAACTCCCCAACTTCCCCCCTATGAACCCACACCCTGAACCGCCCGAGAGCGAGGAAGATTATGAAGCACGACTCCGGTCCATGACCGAAGATCTGGACCCTGACGAATTCCTGGCATCGTATGCCCCCGGTGCAAACTACTTGGCAACACTCGCTTTTGTTGAGACACCATTGACGCAGGAACACGAAGACACCCCGGAGTCCCTGCCGTCCAGGCATGCTATCAATCGGATGATACGAACCGGCACCGGCGCACTAATCCCCACGGCATTCTCAATTGGACGAACCACCACTGCCACCGAGCTAGCGCTCTCTGAGTGGGTTGGAAAGAAGCAGAAGACGGTCGAGGAAATCGTTCCTCCCTATCTGCACGACTTCCTCCCGGTATTCGACAAAGTAACGGCATCTCGACTCCCAGAGCACACCGAGTACGACCACGAGATCAACCTGAAACCGGGGTTTTCGGAGATGAAGACCCAGGTTTACCCTCTCAGTCATGCTCAACGCGAGGAACTTGACAAGTTCTTGAAAGAGAACGAGTCGAAAGGTTACATACGACCATCCAACTCTCCGATTGCCAGTCCTTTCTTCTTCGTTGGAAAGAAAGACGGAACGTGGAGACCCTGTCAGGACTACCGAAAGCTGAACGAGAATACGGTCAAAGACCGCTACCCCCTCCCCCTGATCTCGGACCTCATGGACAAGTTTAAAGGCGCAAAGATCTTCACCAAGATGGATCTGCGCGCCGGCTATAACAATGTCCGAATCAAGGAGGGTGATGAATGGAAGGCAGCTTTTGCGGTTCCCGGATCCAACCAGGGTCCACCACGACTATACGAACCCACGGTCATGTTTTTCGGTCTATGCAACTCGCCCTCGACGTTCCAACGGATGATGAACTCCATCTTTGAAGATATGCTAGCTGAAGGCTGGCTAGTCATCTACATGGACGACATCCTGATCTACTCCGCGGACACTGCGACACACCACGAACGGACTCGCCGAGTTCTCCAGCGCCTTAAGGACCACGACCTCTATCTCAAACCCGAGAAATGCCACTTCGACGTCACTGAAGTGGAATTCCTGGGAATGATAATCCGACCGGACACCATCGCCATGGACCCCGTGAAAGTGAGCGGAATCGCTGACTGGCCCATACCCGAATCAGTCAAACAAGTCCGCTCCTTTGTCGGATTTGCGAATTTCTACCGACGGTTCATCCTCCACTTTTCTGAACGTGCGCGACCACTGGTGGACCTCACAAAGAAGGACGTACGATGGCATTGGGACGAGGAGCAACAACTCGCCTTTGAGGATCTGAAGCACGAGTTTACGCGTGCTCCCACCTTGATCATGCCGGATGAAACCAGGCCATTTGCTCTTGAATGCGACGCCTCGAAGTTTGCTACCGGCGGTGTCCTGCTGCAGAGTGATGCAAATGGAGACTTGCACCCCTGTGGCTTCATTTCCCAGTCCCTGAACCCCGCCGAACGGAACTACGAGATCTACGACCGCGAACTTCTCAGCATCATACGCGGTCTGGAGACCTGGAAACACTATTTCCTTGGTAGCCCGCACAAGCTCCAAATCCGCTCAGATCACCGTAATTTAACCTACTGGCGCACCGCGCAGAAGCTCAATCGACGACAAGCACGATGGTCACTGTTCCTCAGCGAATTTGACTACGAACTGGCACACGTCCCTGGAACGCAAATGACCATCGCCGACCTTCTATCCCGACGCAGCGACCACGATACCGGGGCTGATGACAATGACGACATCGTAATGTTAGCCCCTCAGCTCTTTGTGCGAGCCATCAATGCAGATCTCCTCGATCGCCTACGAGACTGCCATGAAAAGGAACCCATGGTAAAGGAGGCTTTCGATGCCCTCCTTGGCAAAGGACCTGCACCTGCAAAGACCTCGCTTACGGATTGGCAGACGGACGGAGACCTGGTATGGTATCAATCACGTGTGTATGTTCCCCCGGATGCGGGACTCCGACGGAACGTAGTACGCTTGTACCACGAACTCCCCTCCGCAGGTCATCCGGGCATCCACAAGACGACCACCCTCGTGCAACGCGACTTCTGGTGGCCTGGAATGGGACAATTCATCGCACGATATGTCAAGGGATGTGGAATCTGTCAGCAGATGAAACCGAACACGCATCCCACTGTGACCCCTCTCATCCCAATCCCGCCACAACACCCCGCCACACCGTTCTCATGCCAAACAATGGACTTCATCACTGCACTCCCCGAGACTCCCCGCGGACATAATGCTATTTATGTCGTGGTGGACCACGACTCTACGAAGGGGGTAATTTTCATCCCATGCACGGACCAGGTGGATGCCGAAACAACCGCCAAGATGAACCACGACCACGTGTACCGACGCTTCGGACTCGCACGCAAGTTCATCTCCGATCGCGGCCCTCAGTTTGCATCCAAGGTCATGGGAGAACTCTGCCGCCTGACCGGAATCGAACGCGCACTCTCCACGGCGTACCACCCTCAGACTGATGGCCAGACGGAACGAGCCAACCAGGAACTAGAGATATTCCTCCGAATCTTCTGCGCGAACAACCCTGAAACATGGGACGAGATGCTCCCCGATGCCGAGTTCGCACACAACTCCCGACCCCATTCCGCCATCAAGATGTCGCCATTCTACGCAATGATGGGATATGAACCCCGAGGAATCCCCCACATCACCGAAGTTGCTGACTCCCCGACCACGGAAGAACGACTCAAGCGGCTACAGAAAGCCCGAGAAGAAGCCGCATTCGCACTAGAAGCTGCGCAACGAGTCATTGAGAAGAGAATCAAGGACCGCACACCTGCTTTCAAGAAGGATCAGCAGGTATGGCTCGACACGCGGCACCTCCGCCTCCCCTACGCCACGAGGAAACTAGCTCCTAAGAAGGAAGGTCCTTTCAAGATCACCGAGGTCATGGGAAGAGCGACGTATCGCCTCCAACTGCCTCCGCAATGGCGAATCCACCCTGTATTCCACGCCGGTCTCCTATCCCCGTACAATGAGACCGAGGAACACGGCCCGACCTATACAGAACCTCCCCCGGACGAAGTAGACGGAGAAAACTCCTGGGAATTCGAAGCTATCCTTGGTCACAAGGGCACGGCAAGCCGACGCCGGTACCTCGTGAAGTGGAAAGGGTACCCTCCCAGTGAGAACTCGTGGGAACCCGAAGACGTCTTCCTGGGCACAGGGGAAGAAACCCTTGATGAGTACAAGCGCGCGCACCATCTCCGACTCCTCTACGAGTATAAAGAGAAGAGCCGTCTTGGAGTGGTGAGACTCGGACCCCAAGACGACAACGCTTGCGACTGCTGAGTTGAGCTCTATGCCCTCCACCGCTGCCTACGACGACCTCTCCCTCCAGGCTTACTACGACGCGTGGACCATCAACCAGCTCCCCTATCTCGGCCTGAACCGCAAGCAACGTCTCCCACTCGACCCCCGTTACCACAAGTGCCACCGATGCCACTTCCTAGTCAGGACCGAAGGCCACGAAGGCCGGTGCAAACCTACATCTCGGCCTCCACCGAGGCCGGCCTCTTCGACCAGACAACCCCCGCAGCACCAGCCTCCCTCTTCGACTCCCTCCTTCGCTGCCGCCCACTCCCGGGAGGCCACCTCAATTGGCCCCTCGCCTCACAGGTGCTCTCGGCGCCGAACGCCTTCGTCGCCGCACTCGAGCGTAACGGTTCACTCTCCAACGACCCCAGTGTCGCTCTCGATGCACTGGACTCCCTCGCCGACCTCTACGACGCCGCAGCAGACGTCTGGGTCCAGCAGGACCTCATGGAGGACGCCGTCCACCTCTATGCCGAGAGGAGGAATGCATCGGCGCGGAGGTTGATGCGCAGGTTCAAGGACCTCGAGGACCACCCTGCGATGAAGTCCGTCGCCAGGTCGCTTGTCCCTGTCAACGACATCCAGTACACACGCGACTTCGTGGTCTCCCCTACCTTCACCGACATCAATGCCCGAGACTTCGCCCGTATCGTAACCAATTACTCCCCCTGCACCGTTTGTCATGGAACCAACATCTCCTACCACCGCACCGTCGACTGCCCCCACTACCGTTGCCCCCGCTGCAATCGTCGTCAGCCGGGACACGTCGAGTCCCTCTGCTCGGCCAACGAAGCCGAGGCCCCCACCTTCCCGCCGGACCTCCGCTCTCTGACCGACCTCCTGAGAGGAGGAGTGTTCACACAACCAGTGGCAGCCATGTGGACGATGTGCGCGGACAGACTCTATGCCGGAAACCGATCCCTCATCGCATCCCGACCAACGGACTTCCTTCCCCCGTACCTCCGAGCAAAACGAATCACCCTCGAGAACGCGCATCAGTGGTACGTCGTCCTCCACGGCCGTATCAATGGCGCCTTTGCCGACCCGGCAAGGGCCCATGACATGACCTCGCACATATCCACCGCCCTTGTCCGTGTCTACGAGAGTCGCCTCGAAGCTCGTAACGCCCTCACCGAGCTCCACTACGAGGAGGAACCCTACATTGACCAGACTCAGCTCTATGGGGCCCGCCCTCCACCTAGTGAACGCCGGGAGAATAACGAGAGTCGGCGCCCTGATACCCCGCATCCACACCCTGTCCTGGGGACGGTACCTACCTCTCCCGTCTCTACTCGATCGAACCTCGAGACCCCGAACCCCTCGGAGGTTGACGAGAACGAGCCTCCCCACGATGCCGACCCACTCCCGCTCCCCGCCTACGAACCGGTCGAAGGAACGAACCGCATTCCTCTCCGCCAACTGACCACTTCGCCCACGTCATCCTTCCAACCTTCGCCGGAGTCCACGGTATTGGACCTCGTCTCTACCGACTCGGGGATCGCGGTTGCTCAACTGCGCAGGCATCGTGACGGGAGTACAACATTCTTGCCCCCGCCTGATCAAGCTTAGAAAAGTCGACGAGGACGTCGACTCTAGGAAGGGGCTTATGTTACGTCAACGTTTGTTTTCCTTTATTTTGCGCTTGACCGTTGTACTACCTTAGCATGGGCCCAACCCCATGACGCTACGCTTCTAGTCTTCGGACTACTTCGCTGTTCGCTCCGGTCCAACCCGGGGCAGTTCACGTGATCTCTGACTCAGTATGACTCGTCGGGACTCGTCTCTTACTCATACCTGACTCATCGTTTATGACTCGGTCCCTGACTCGTCATGACTCACTTCCCCGCGCTCCTATTGGCTAGGTAGTTGTGACTCGTCCAGGACCTGCCCTGAACTCCCCATGTATATAAGACCAGTGTACAGTAGCGGTCGAACCTTAGTTCGACCTGGTTATCTATTGAAGCTTCACCAGCTCCTTGGATATCAGAAAACTCCCCGCTCGACCTGCTAGACGGACTTAGCAGCGTCTTCGACCATCCTCCCCATCCAAGGACGATTAGAACCTAAGGTCCCTACGTTTAGGGTTAGGTTGAGAGCTAGTGCTCTAGGTGTCACGCTTCGCGTAACAGCAAGGAGCTGTCGGCGGCCTTTACTCGCATGTACCTAGCCAAGGTGCTCGAGATGCAGGGCGATCTTCGTGGCGCAAAGGATCTGAGGAAGATGGCGCCGCCAAGAAAAATTCTCTGTGGGTACAAACGGGTACGATGCAATGCCACTTATTCGTGCGAACAACAAGCTCATGGTACCTCAGTGTCCTGGGCATGATATGCCCCGCGCGGACTTTTCCCTGTGCAAGCGGTGCAAGGTAGCGATAGCCTCGTTGACTCCTCATTGCGAGTCTTGGCTCATGCATTCACATCCAGTCTATATATTATTGTGGCAAAAGTTGTCAGGTATGCTTGCACTGACTGTTACACCGACATGTTCTCATCTTGTGAGCTGATCCACTCTTCAGACGCAAGACTGGCAGCGTCACAAGAAATATTGCAAGCTTGACTAGATCTGCCCTTCTCTGTGCTTTATTACGGTGCAGCACTGCGCGACGTCAGTCAGCTGGGCGTTTAGACAGGTTACGGTGATCTTGTATTTCTTGGTTGATCTATCTCTGTTTGTAGCGCGAAAGTGAGATTATCATTGGTGATAGAACTCGTGCCTGTTCACACCGGACGGTATAACACTGATGTCGCAGACAGCCTGGGCGTGTTGTACAGTACTAATATTGCGGCGCCGATCCACAGTACTACCCTTCAGTCGAGACCTGATCTTCAGCGAATTGGCCAGCAGAACCTTCTCGCGACCTCGAGGTAACTTCCATCCGTGACACGATTGCTCCCATCGCACCCGACCACCGCACTGATACTGTAAGCGGTGTCAGGGTGCGACCGTGTCACGGATGTATACAAGATGTATACGAGACAAGAGGTGGCCGGTGGGCCCTGGGTGGGCCTCTGGTGACCTCGAGATACTTAATCTCATTTCGGATCTCAAGCGATTGAATCTGAAGATCTGGCCACAGTTCGTATATTAATTTCAGCTTAGGGGAGTCCAGGTGTCACGCGGACAAAGCAGGTTGCACGGAGCGCTTACATCGTCAGAACATTGTCAGAACGTGTATATCATCTCGAAATCCGAATATTATCTATTTTCCTGGACCGAACATTGAAAGGCAGCCAATGAGGAGCCGTGCCTTTCAATGTTCGGTCACCGATAATAATTCATGTTCGGATTTCGAGATGATATACTCATTCTAACGATGATCTGAGACTTATCCGACGCCAGACAAAGGGGTTTGTCCGCAGTGTGTACCCTGTCTCCTCAGATCCTCTTGCTTGCACGCCACGTTCAACTTTGACCAAAGCTCGACATGACTGAGCATTCGAAACCAATTCGATACGGCGCAACAATCAATCCGAGCCCCGAGTATGCTGAAGCCATCTCGCAAGGCACATACTTCAACAACACGGCGCAACAACTCATGAAAATTAGCCGCTACGAGGAGGCGGAGCGTCTTCACAAGCAGGCAATCGAGATCAAGGAGCGTGGCTTGGGGAAGGACCACATCACAACCGCGCTCTCATACAACGCGATCGGGGAGACGTACATCCAGATGAAACGTCTGGATGATGCGGAGATGTACCTCCAGAAGGCACTCAACATCCGCGAGGCGAGTCCGCGGGCCATGGACGAGATCGACGCTGCTGTGACCCGCGAGAACTTGGCTGTCGTGTACGAGATGCGTGGTGACCTGCCTCGCGCCAGACAGTTGAGGAGGGTTGGGTCGCCGAACAACATGCTTTGTGCGCATTCTAACGTAAGTCTGACGTTCATCGAGCTCTCTGCCAATGCTCAATCTCGTTCAGTGTGAGCTTTACAATGTAAAGCGCAGCAATCTGCTGCAGTGCGGTGGCTGCAAGGTGTGCACTAACCCTTCCGTTCTGACGGACTCGTACTCAGCGTCTTCTTCGCAGTCGATCTACTATTGCGGGAGAGAATGTCAGGTCCGTATCGCTGTCCTATGTTGTGTACTCCGCATGCTGAGACGACGAACAGTCGAAAGACTGGAAGCGACACAAGAAATACTGCAAGCGTACTGCCGCTGCGGAGGGCTTGGAGGCCTGAACTCGACGTTGCTTCCGCACACCCGCCCGCACCTGCTCTCTCTCATCATCGGCCTCTCGTGCATTACGTCCCAGACTCGGATTCCAGATTTCACACACCCACATTTCCTAGTCCACTGCTCTCTGTAGTCTTCCCATGAGTGAGTGGCCCGAAGTCTGCTCACAGTATAGCTAAAAGACCTCGACTCCGAGACTCCTCTCTGTATTAGTATCCTATCCGTTCAGTTGTAGTATATTGCATCAATACACTCCCATGTCCGATCGTCTGCTTTCTATAACGTCGCGTTATGGCCAGGTTATGGCTGATTTACGTGAGAACTCGTCGAGTTTCGTGATCATAATGCAACGGCTTTGCGAGATAGTATTTTATAGCGTAAGGAAGGCTTTGGTGCCCGGGCCAGAACTGCGACACTGAGTGTGGCTGCGCAAATCTCCCGTCCGGCGCTTCCGATTCACCCATCACGCAGTGACGCACAGCGTGAGCATGTCAGCTCGTTTGCCTGCAACAGAATGCGAAGGACCGTCGTCTGTCTCCGACTACTCAAGTCCGTGCTGCCTGACCGAGCTTACCCGCGTCCATCCTCTACGCCACCATGAGCTCCAGTTCGCAGCGCCCGCCGAATGCCAGCCCCAAGCCGTCCCAGCAGTTCCTGCCACCACCGACACACCCGTCGGTGCGGAATGCACAATCCTCTCCTGCGGCGTATGCAACGAGGCGAGTGCCTCCGAGTCCTCCTAGCCCAAGGCCTACGCCGCCTTCGAGGCCGGTGCCGCCTCACCCGGAACCGTCCGCTACTGCGAGCTCGCCTGCGCTGGATGCACACGTTGTGCAGCCTGAGACGGCTACGCCTGGCACGCTCGAGCACGAGCCGTCGGAGGGTACCGATGCGGACTCGCCTACAGAAGTGAAAGAGGAGGACGAAGAGGTGCTATCTGAGGTGCAGCTGCGAGAGTTGTATGACGATGAGGAGATCGAGAGGTTCTTGCGTCTGTTCTCTGCTGTGAGCAGTGACCTGCCCGCTTATACTTGAGTCGTGCTGACTGAGAGGCGCATGCGGGAAGTATGTGCGTGAGGCTAGGGTCGCGCATCCTGCGGGGAGTGGCTCGCAGACAAGCGATGGTAGGCAAAGCGAGCATTCCTCACCCGAATTGGTAGTAGTACCGGGCGGAGACGAAGACGTTGAGTCGGACGGATGGGTAGAGCTCAATGAGGACGCGGAGGAAGCGGAGGCACCCCCGCTGCCTCCTCGCCCTGACGCAGATCTTTGCTTGTCAGAGAGGATCGTAATGGTGAGTGCTCAGACAAGCCCAGACGTTCCGAAATACTGATCCAAAGTTGTCAGGATTACCTGTTACCTCTACTACCCCCACAACAACAAAGACCACCTGCGTTCACAATGAGACGGCTCTACTTGACCGCCGAACGCCTGTATCTAGCCACGATACCTGCGTATGAACATCTGGCCAAACGGCTCGTACACCTATCCTCCTGGACGGACTGGAACACGAGTTTCATCTATTGCTCTGTTAGTCGACTCCGTCTCGCCTCTTCCCCAGCCTGCTCTGCGTCGGTGAGTCCACAAACTCACCCGTGTCTTTCGTAGGCCTATTGGTTCTTGTGGTATCACAACTTCCTGCTTCCTGCTCTCGTGCTCCGGGTGCTGTACGCCCTCATCCGCCGCAAGCTCTTGCCCTACCCGAACCTCCAGGAGCTCCGCCAGCACCGACTCGATGTAGAACGCGCAAAGGAGTTCAGCGCGACCGTCACAGCCCGTCTCGTTGCTGCACCGACGTACGACGTGCAAGACGTCTGGCGGCTCGTTCAAGACTTCCACAGGTCTAGAAAGCTCAAGAAGGCCGCTAGAAACAACGCAGCCGCCAAAGATTCCGAGCAAGATGGCAACGAGCCCGAAGCGAAGCCAGAGGAGCCTCCGCTCCCGGAGAAACCTGAAGTGGCTGAGGCAGAGACCGATATCAAACGGGAGCTTCTGGCAGCACTCAACTACATTGCAGACCTTCACGAGAGGGTCAAGAAGTATGTTTGCTACTACACTACCGACAATGTGTCTCAGAAGCAGGCTAATTGTTCATGTGCTCAAGTATCTTCATGTGGCGCCGCCCGATGTCGTCCCTGCTTTACGGGTTGGTAAGTAACAGTCTATTGTTGAAGTCAGCAGTTGCTGAGCCCCCACAGGCTTTGTTCTTCGCCTTCTTAACGGCATTGCTTCCTGCGAAATACCTGTCGAAGCTCCTTGGCCTCGCGATAGGCATCGTCTTCTGGCTTGTAGTGCCTATCCTTTTGGCGATCCCCCCGTCGAGGCGCGTGAAGTGAGTGACTACTACGCGTCTGCATGGCATACGTCAGGCTCATGTGTGCATTAGGTATCCGCCTCTCCTCACCGACGTCCCTACCGACGCGGAATATGCGATGGAGCTCATTTCGCAGCGCGTTGCGCGTGGTTTGGATGTCAAGCCGAAGTCCCGAACACCGAAGCTGGGCTCCTCTTCGCTGGACGCTGACAGGCTCTCATTGAGGACGGAAGAAGGCGACAAATCAATTCACTCGTTTGATTCTTCGAGGTCCTCTGAGCCCGGCAAATGGCGGAAATGGGCAGGTCGCGTTGATACAAGCAAGACGATCGCCAAAGATGCTACGAAGCTCTTCAAGAATGGGCAGGTGGGTCCCTTCGTTCACCGAGTCTCCTTGAGAGTTCGATACATAGCTTTGATCATCACAGTGGAAAACCCCAGAAAACTGGTCAGCCCTGAATCCGCTGGCTGCCAAGGTAGCTATGCCGGGTGGTGCTCTAGAGTCTCGGCTTCAGACGTACAGTGAGTGCTCCTTATGAATGGCCGGTAGTGGTATTGCTATAACGGGACATGACAGCGTTCCCCGCGCAATATGCGATGGCGTCCGGACTGATCACTCTGACACCTGATGCGCTTTTCTTCACGCCTCTGCTGTCTTCCACGGCGAGAGTCGCTATTCCATCGGATGCGATAGGCGGCATCAAACGAACCAGTCCCATGAGGGGACTTAACGTCCGCTGGTTCCGCCACCACGACGATGGTCGGGATGAAGAGCGCGAAGAAAAGTTCCTCTGGGTGGGCGACCGCGACGAGCTCTTTGCCCGACTGGTAGCGTGGGGCGGACACCGCTGGATGAATGTCTGATGGAGGAGCGTGTATTACCTGTACGTCCGGTTTGTTTCTGTTGTTGTAATGTGGCACCGCGCATCGCATTATGGACGCTTCTGTATTATGCAGGTGTTCTAGAAGTACGTCAATGCCAGGCTCAGACCATTCTGTGTCATCCCGCTGCGACAGCATGAGGGGGGAGCTCGCCTTCACTCCAGCAACTTTGTTCCGTCATCCCCAACGCTCGCTGACCCGGCTACCCTCGCCGCCGTTGTTCACCAACGACGACGCCCGACGCTCAGGTGCTCTGAACGCGTCTTTGCTCACTCAGCGCTGTGGCAGCTGCTCGCCTCACTTCGTTGCTTGATATTGTACGATGTTCTTTACACCTGAACTGCTCGAGAGACGAGAGAGCGGCTTTGGCTTGCTGTGGTGCGTGCGATTTGTCTCTACGAAGGGTGCGGTCGTTCAGGGCGTATCACAGGCTAGCTGCTACTCTCGGTGCCAAGTCATCCTTCAAGAAACTGCCCAAACGTTCCGTGCTGACTGCTGATATTGCTCAACTATGTGATCTCATTGCGGAGCCTCCTGAACCACTGGCCCTCAGATTGTCGAGCAACCTCATGATCGGTGTGGCCCGGTAAGCACTTTGTATCCTTCTCCCCGCATATATGCGCTGAGTTGATGCTTGTAGAGTCTACAAAGGTACTAGACACAGTTGCTATTGTAGGTGTTTGTCTGATAACCGCGATACGATGTACAGTCAAACAGGAGATATTCTACTCCGATGTGACCACTTGCTATAACACACTCAAGAAGGCCGTAGCTGATCTGCACACGGCGTCTTTGGGTGCTGCGGAGCTGCAAGCTGCTCAAGCCAGTCTACGGTGCGATATTCCGTACCGCTGACAACAGATGACAGAGCTGAAGGTAGGTTAGGCCAGACGTTCTGACCCTCGCTGTGGACCCAGGCGCTGCGTTTGCCATTGACTTCGGCAACATATTCGGAGTGAGTGCTTGTATATTACGCTGTATCGGGTACTGACCACGGTAAAGGATTGGGAAGACATTAGACCACGTAGGACGCTATCTGGATTTCAGATTGTGCCGGTCTGAAATGAGTATGTACTCACAGCAGGCAGAGCTGGATCTGACGAGGAAGATTCCGACGATGAATTCGACCCTAAAACCAAGAAAGCCAAAGGAAAACAGAAGGCAAGAGAGAAGCCCCCTTCATTTGTCTCCGAGAACGTTCGCGCCAACCTGCACACGCTCGACGAGCACCACGAGCACCTGCTCTCCCAGTCCTTCGACGCCTCCTTCGGCGGAACCGGTTTCGGGGCACCCATGCCCGCGTCGCAGATGGAGGGTGGACTAGCATTCAGTGACGACGTCTTTGGCTTGCACGATGGAATGGACCTAGGCGACATCGGCGACGAGTTAGCGAGGGAGCTAGGTGAAGGTTGGGGGGCGCCTGTAGATCCACTGGGCGGGGACGACCTCTTTGCTACTGGCCAGCTCGACGCCGGCCTGGGAATGGACTTTGAATTCGAGGGTGCTCAGTCGTTTGGTGCGGGGCCTAATACGGATAGCACGCCTAGTGTGCGGGTGCGTGCATTTGATATGGACGCGGTCAAGCTATACTGATGCATATACTTACCGAAGCCGCAAGCGCGAGAGAACGGAGGTGAGACGGCACATGTTCTGTTGCCGTACCAGAACTCACTTTCGATGCAGAGGGTATCCAGCCAGATGGCTCTATCATAGTGCCACTGATGCCCTTCAGTCCCATCCAAGGCGAAGATGTCGAGATGCAGCCGAACCCCGACGATCCCCTTCAGGCTGAGGCTCCAACTAAGCCGCAGAAGAAGGCAAAGCGCGTCAGACTTTTGCTCGACGCGCGGACAGAACTTACAGATGAGGAACTGAAGGTGGGCATTCGCTGTCTGACAGATCAACATATGTGTTGATGAAAGTCAATATCTTATATCTTAGGCCGCTCGAGCGAACTATATGGAGGGACAAGAGACTATCCGGCAAGAGCTCGTACACAAGAAGTTCGAGAAGGAGAGTGGCAAAATAATGGAAGAGCTGATTTGGGGCGTCCCATCTGGGAGTAAGTCGATGAAACGAGTCTCACGGACTTCTTTCGCTGAGCTAACGGTACGTATAGTGCAAGCCCCTGTTCTGGTCGACTTCTGGATGCAAAATTTCAAGCTGCAGGTAGAAGCTCGCGCTGCATCAATGCAGGATAGTGAGTCCGAAGTAGATGCAAACAAGACATTGCCTCAATTAGCTCGAATAGCACAACCACCACATAAGCGTAGGCGGATAGCGCATGAAGAGTTCCAGGATGGGAACGCTCTTGACGAAGGCTTTGGAGCGCCTCCGGACGCAGACTTCGGCGTGAACGCAGACATGGGTTTCATGATGGACAACAACGAACCTGCTGGCTTTGGTTGGTATTTTGAGGTGCCCGCTTGACGCTGCGCTGACAAGGTTGCGTGTATCAGGTGGCGACTACAACTCAAGGATGCGTTCTTCGGAGGTCAGTTCTAATTCCCGTGCCACTAGCGTTATGTGTAACTGTTTGATAGGAACCCGGCGTCGCGCGAAGAGTATCCCGTCCACCGTCGCTCATCGGAAGCCAATTCGAGATGCCTGGGGTCGGCTTGGGCTTCACGTCCGGGTCCCAGCGGAGCGCTCTCTTCCCATGGGACAACGCCGGCGCGAGCTCCTCTGTCGGTGGGCCTCTAGAGTTTGGTCAGGATGGCAGCGCCAGGCGCAGTCTCGGCCGCGCGGATACTAGGTTGAGAGGCAGTTCGTTGAGCAGCAGACATGGGAGCCCCATGCTTGGTGGGCGCGTCCCAGAGTCCCCAGCGGACTTCGGGGGGAGAAGCGCATTGAGTGGCGAAGGCTTTGAATTCGAATGTAAGCGCGTCCTTGGTGGATGAAGTAGTCCTGGCTGACGTTTTCTGGCTTAGTGCCTGGGGAGGAGTCAATGGCGAACGAGTCCCAGTTGTCGGACATGAACACTCTGACACTAGAGCGGAACTCGCACAACTTCCTAGAGTCAGTGGCGTATGTTGAAACGAAGGAAAATGAATTGCTCACCGTCGTATGCGACAGGTATGCCAAGATGCAGCTGAAGACGTTCCCGTCGGCGACCTCCACACTCACCTTCGACGACGTCGTACCGAAGCAGACCAGTACCCCGCACGTAGCCGCGGCAGCGTTCTATCATTGCCTCGGTACGTCGATTCGGATTTGTTAGGGGATCGCTTGCTCATAGCCCATCCTTGGGATAGTCCTAGCGACGAAGAATCTAGTCGGTGTCGCCCAGGAAGCTCCATACGGGACGCTGAGCATCACGGTGAAGTGATTGTAGGTCTATGTGTTCAGAATGCCCGTGTGTGGTGAGTGTGACCTGAGTGCGACGCTCTGTATCGTATGCCCGATCGCGAATGGCTGAATTACAATAATTGATGCGTCGTAGCGTACCTTTTGCACCTCGCAGTTTGTCCTGATGTTTGGTTGCTCTATTTAGTCCCATACTATATACGCTCTTGGCAGCGGCGGGTAAGTCCTGTACCAAGACAGTGATGTTGTTCACTTTCTCTGGGCCATTTTTATTCGACCGCAGTGAGATTGCATGCCGTACTGGTCATATTCAGTGCACGAGGTTGCACGATGAGAGGAGACAGAAGCGCTGTCAAAGTCAAGTGGGAAAGTGGTATCATGGAGGAGCTTAACCGTATCCTCCATCCGCCCACCGGCATGGCAGCGACAGTGGGTTATCAGCGCTCTATAGACACATCGCACCACGTCGGATTTTGGCCAGGTCAAGGCAGTATATGATGAGGCGACAATTCGGCCTTGTCCTGTCCCGCACCATCCGAGTCCCTCACACCCGTGCCTTGCGTCGTCCCGCGTCCACCATGTCCTCTCGTGCAGTCGAAGCATCCCGCGCCGTGCTCTCCTCCATCGACTTGTCCAACTATGACCCGGAGCAAATGAGGTTGATGGACGAGCGATGCATCCTGGTCGATGAGCAGGATCGCGCTCTCGGTGCAGCGGACAAGAAGACCTGTGCGTTCTCTGGTCGGCGATACTCCTCATGTCTTCCATACTCAGTCCAGGACGCATGGCATTACAGGCCATCTGATGGAAAACATCAACAAGGGCCTCTTGCACCGTGCTTTCTCCGCGTTCGTCTTCAGGCCTGACGATGGCAAGCTACTGCTGCAGCAGCGGGCGACGGAGAAGATCACCTTCCCGGATATGTGGACCAACACGTGCTGCTCGCACCCGCTGGACGACTTCGAGGAGGAGAAGGTGGAGAAGGACCAGCTCGGCGTGAGGGTCGCCGCTGTGCGCAAGCTCGAGCACGAGCTGGGGATCCCGCGGGAGCAGACCCCTGTCGACCAGTTCCAATACCTCACACGGATACATTACCTAGCTCCGTCGAGCGGTATATGGGGAGAGCATGAGGGTGAGTACGCGTATATTTTCGGTTGCAACGACTTGGGTGCTGAGCGTAGGCCAGTTGACTACATTCTCTTCATCACCGCCAACGTCACTGTCACGCCGAACCTCAACGAGATCCGCGACCACAAGTACGTCGACAAGGCGGAGCTGCAGGCGATGTTCAACGACCCAGGTAGGTGTCTCCCATCACCTACTACGTCCCAGGCTGACAACACGCGCGCAGCAAACACCTTCACGCCATGGTTCAAGCTCATTGCGCGCGACTTCCTCTTCGGCTGGTGGGACGAGCTGCTCGCGCGTCGGGGAAGCGACGGTCTCGTCAACGCGAAAAGCTTGAAGGGCATCGTGGACGGCAGCAAGGTCGTAAGCATGGTCTAGATGATCTACCGCAACGAGTGTATTGCATATCTATATAGAGTTCATTTGGGATGGATGATGTGGGTCATAACAGATATTTGACTCGGATTCCCCGGAGGCCCGCCGCCATTCCGACAAGGTTCCATTAATCGGTTGCTGTGGTGCGAGTCTGTTCAGATGATCAGGTCGGCGGTGTTCATCATACTCAGTGGCTTCGAATTACTGAGAGTCGCTCGACATAGAAAAGCTCTTGTCAGTGAGGCGTTGCTCGGCGATGCAATGCTGCACTTCTAAGGTTCAGTTACGTGCCGCGACACAATCTCACTGGCGAAGGCATACACATTCGAAAGAATGGAAGTTCCTATATCATCGCGCTATACACTGCCGGGCCGCCCCTGAAGCCTTTCTCTTACTCGATACAGCTTTCAGCCATCAATGAGAGAGGTATGCCTGGCGCCATTCGCGCAGGGGCAACCGTTCGGGCAGGGATCTCTATCGACATGCCGTACGTCGTCTTCAGTCTGCTACCTGATTTCAGCCCGCTCACTTGTCTGTTCGTGTGCGCTCATATAGGCTACTTGGGCTGCAATGCATGCGCGACTGGCGCTGCGTGGCTCTCGAATTTCGACAGCAGCATTGCTATGGAACGAACGGGACATAGCTTTTGTTGAGAAGCTTCTGGCTGAACAAGGATAACGTACGTGCACTGGTAGGTGGTCTGTGGGGGCAGCTCGTCGGGCATCGGCCACGAGTTTGTCGACCATGCTGCGCCGAACCCTGCACGTTGCTGTACCACTCACGCCCGCCTCGCCACGCTCCCATGCCGGGGTGCATACACGACCGGTAGCTCACGATTGAGATGACCCAGGTACGAGGGTGCCGCATGGTTCGCACATGTTCGACGTTTCGAGCAGGGATCAGCCGCCCGTCACGGAGCTGACAGTGAATTCGTTGAAACATGACAAAATCCGCTATTTTCCGCGACATTCAAGATCTAGAATAGGCGATGTCCTGGTCAGAGGGCGAGCAAAGCCCAGACTGCTTGCGCGACGACATCGTTGAGCAAAATACACGGTCGTTCATCGTCTACGCTGTCGAGCGCTCACCTTAATCGTACAGGCCCACCGTGGTCCTGACAGCTCAGGCTGTGCAAGGGTCCCCGAGATTCATGGGAGCGTACCCAGCCCGCATGTGTCTTTGGTTCCTTTCCTAGGTCTCCCGTACCAAGAACGCTCGCTGCACAGCAGCCTGTTCCGTATGCTCCTCTATCCGGGGAGCATACGACATCTCTCTACGCACGAGAAGCTCCTGGTCGGTGCGGGCGGCGCGTTTCAGCCCATCGTTCGACCTGTACAATGCCGTAGGTCCGAGCCTATGAGGGTCCATCGAGAGCTATCTACCTATCGGACATGACTAAATACAGCCGCTCGAAAGCCTCAAGGGCAAACGGTGAGTACTTCGCTTGCAGTGCCTCGCATCCAGTCGGCCCCGTTCTGAATGGCGCCGCTCATAGGCAATGCACAAGAAGAACAGCATGGCCACGGTACTCAGCCCGCTTGTCACCCTTGCAGCTGTCCGACATCATGCACAAGACAGCTATATTTTATTGTTCGTCGGAGTCCTACTGGAGAGCCGCGCACTGCCTGTCAGTAGTGCAGTATTTGTTGGGGAAAACGAGAGGCATTCAAGTTCTGGGTCGCTCCACCCAATCGTCGAAGCATCTATAACGCACCACCAGGGATTGTCACTAGCGCTACAGCAGGACGTACGTGCTGCTTCCTTGCTCGGCTATGCACTGTCTATTCATATGCTTAATGCTATGCGCCCATCATGTCCAGCGGTTGTCTTCCCCGAACGCTTATAAGGAGGTAATACATCTGGTTTTCATTTCGCCCACTCCTTCCGGCAGTCTGCCATTAGTGCTTCGTTGGGTTCATGTCTTCAAACTATCAGCCTGCGTATGTCGATGCGTAAGTCCTTACCCAAGTTGCTCTCTGCTTCATCTTCACAGCCCGGCGCACTGGCAGGAGCAACAACGAGCTTCGTGTTGATGATGGAGCTGGGTATGGTATGCCGTTACCATGGGGTCAGGGCGCGTGCGTACTATGGTCTGCGTCAATTAACCACGGTGTTCATATCTGCGTACGCAGGCACAGCCCGTATTCATGCCCTCAGCAAGCGTATGTTGCGTAAGTCAGACAGCCGGTTCTTTCAATATGGTGTGCTCAACGTCTATCCGTACTATAGAACCTCACCTGTCCAAGATGAACACATGTCTGCAGCGTAGGACTTGGCGTCCATCCGGATAGAGTGCTGGCTGAATATGGTCATGATGACAGTCAATATGCCTCTCCGACTTCGTATCTAGCGTGAGCGTATCCACTCGTAATGCCCGTACCTTACAAGCTAATATTTCGCCAGGCCCCCACTTACATCGGACTGTAATGGCAGCTGGTCCCCCTCTGCAAGGTACACCTCACTTACTACGAAGCCTACGACTTCCCACACTCTCGTGCTAGCTATTCCCCGCTGCTTCCCGAGGATCCGCCCGAACGCCGGTAGGCCTCTTGTCTGCCCATGTCGACAGTGTATGAAGGCATGGTATAGGTACAGCATTCCGATGACGCCAAGCATGTCGTCTCCAAGTGACGCGTTGAGTGCATCTCTGCAGCCGTGGGTTCTGTTCAATTCAATCTATGACAAGGAGAAAATGATATAGGACTTGTCCTTATAGGCTTCGACAAGAGTCTATGCAGCTCGTTCGAGAGTGAGTAGACATAGTATATTTAACGGTGCTTATGCTGAGTCTACGTCAGCCTGCTTGACACTCGAGATAGGCTGACAGATGGGTTACGCTTGCCGGTGGTTGAGGACGAGGGCGACTCCAGAGGTTGGATGAATAAACCTTCGGCGACATTAGGGCCCCCTCGAGACAACCCTGCCGGTTGTTTTTCTTGCTGCATCATCGCTTGATCTTTCCTATACCATTGATACCATACCGCCATGGGCGCCTCCACAAATGACCCTACTACGCGCTGCTATGCCCCGATACCCCACTACCATACTTTGGCTTGGACGCCTCTCCCGATAACAACTTGTGAATGGATGTTCTCTCCGATGAAGGACTCATATGGATCGTGTTACAGTTGATACATGCGTACAACCTCAGGGGGCTCTCGCGACTGTTGACCTTGAGCATCATGTCACACCCTCCCAGAGACTCGAAACCTGGACACCCGTCCATTCACAAGGACGCATCACAGCAGTTGATGATGTGAGTAACCACATGCATTCTCTGCCATTTAATTCCCACTCACCGACTGATGCACAGCTAGCAGTGCCAATACTGTGGAATAAGTTCATTGTCCTCGCGATGCGTCACCGTCCGACGTCTCCCAGTCATGAGGCCTTGAAGCTTAGGCCTAGGCTATACGACCGCCCTCCTCCCCTCAGGAAGGTTGTGTTGAGAGTCTGCCTAGGGGAGACTATAGGCAGCCACTCCTTGCGTGCTGTTTACGTTCACATAGCTTCTGTCTACCGTCAAACTGCGGACCCGAATATGCGGTGAATTCCTTTTAGTTCCTGTGGCGATCTGAGTACTGGATAACTAAGCTCCATAGTCTGGACACAGCCGGACCTAGGCATGCCAAACGCCCAGGGCCACCAGTGGGCAGAATACCAATTTGACAAAGTATGGGCAGGCTGTGCGATGTTTCGCCATCAGCATCGAGACACTCAGTGTCCCTGACCCTCATGAGATCACCGTTCGCCACTCACTATGCCTGAAGAAGCCGCTCCCTGTCAACTTGCGCTCTGTCTCGTCTGCGGATGAATCCGGGGTGATTGATTCCATCGACGGTACGTACGCTCGGGCAGAGGGAACATCAAGAGCTCTTACCTCTTTTACAAAGTCAGGAAGTCACACACGAACGGCTGCCCACGCAGCTGCCCACCCGACGCCCTGCTCGCAGAGACCTCAGGCCTCCAGCACGACGACGGCGCACCTAAGGTTAACACGGTGACCTACATATCAGCGTAGTCCGATTGTCCCGGCACAGTGTGGTTCACGTCCTCCAGGCGATTCCTATTCGGGCGATTCGGTATTTTCGCAATTGACTGTCCACGATCCTGCCAGGCATTACAATGTCGCGTGCCTGCGTGCTGCTCAGCGCTGTCACGGTGCTGCGGCCAAGCCATGTTCCACCGCGGACATCATGCCAGCCCTACTGTGCTGAGCGTCCCATCACCCACAACGGGCTGGACGAGTCAGCTCGAAGCTCGTACTACTTGATAAGCTCCGGTCGTCGCAGCATTTATATAGGCCGCTTACTGTGCATGAATCGCCTGAACCCAACGCGAGCACACCGCGAACCCACCGCGAACTACACTTCACACTGACACCGTCCCGGGTACGCGATCATCGTCCGATCGACCACAATGTCCGCTCCAAACGTCGACCCCGAGTCCCTTCCTGTCCCCGCCGCCGTTCAACAGCGTACCGTGGATGAGCAGCCCGAAGGTCTCATCGCGGAATCAGTCACGAAGGATCCGGAAGAGCTGACGAGGTATGTGGCCAAGCTTCATTTACTTGTCGATTCTCCGTGCATTGACCGGCCCACTGTTTAAGTGAGCCGAAGCCAGTCCCTCCCGAGTATGGCTTATGTCATTCAACGATAGACGTTCGAGTACACTGACGAGGACGACCTTGTAGGGGCTGGGATGGCCGTGGCAAGCTGAACAAGCCTACTGTCGTGATGGGACAGGTCAAGACCACAAAGCCCCCGAAGCCGAAGTAATCAATGCACACGCGGTAGCGTTATTACCTCGCAGCAACCTGACAAGTTCCTTACATTTCTGCAGATTCCCCTTGCGTTCTCTTGTACCGCCATGATCCGTGTCAGATAAAGTCGATCTATAACCTGAAGGAAGGACAATGTACACCATATACGCGACAAATCGGACACGCTCGTCAGTCGTCACTGCTTCTGCCGGCTCTCCGGTCTGCGCATCGGCATACTGCGGAAGATCCACGCCTCCTTGCGCGAGCCCCAGAACATAGGGTCCTTCCTGCCGAGCGGGATGCTCCCGTCGAGCTTGTAGCCCGCGCTGTTGAAGAAACGCAGCATGCATGCGTTGAAGAGGTTGCGTTCTGATTCGCGCGCTGCGTGCATGGCACGGAAAGCCGGGTTAGATACGGATGGACGGAGAGTGAGAAGGAAGGAAGCTCACATCGGAAGCCTTCGCGCTTGACTTCGATGACGTGCACACCGTCCTCGTTCGCGCCGTACGACATCACCTTGCGCGGGAACATGGGCCGCAGGCTGGACGCGAAGTCCTCGACGAGCTCCCGCGGCGCGTCGAGCAGAGTGAGGCGCAGCTTGGAGGGGTCGAACATTGTCGCGAAGATCCTCACGTCGGGGTCCGGGACTGTCTCGGCGAAGACGAGCTTGCCCGGCCTCCTCTGGGATTGACGAGTCAGTCGAGGCTTTATGAAGATGACCTTCGAATATTTACTGGACTGCCAGTTTGCACGGTCGTCACATGTGAGTAGCCTTGACGAGCCAGGACGGTGTAGAGACAACATATGAGTCGCTGAGCCCTATGTCGACGAAAAAGTTCATGTCAGATGAGGTACTTCGAACCTGCGCGTTGTACATCTCACAAAATGGCATCGACGCCTATGCTGGTCCACGGGCCTCTTGAAAAGCGTACTCGCCAGTTGTCGCCTCGGCTGTCTTCATACTCAATGCCATGCGGCCACATCGGCAGGACGAGTTCCCGGAGGTCGTCCAGCGTAGACTGATATGCAACGTTGTCTATCCGCAAATCACCAGCAGAATAGATTGACACAAATATGTGGTCTGCATAGATACGAAAGAGCTATATCAATGAAGCTACACTCTAGCAAGTTGTCTCGATCATACCAGGAACGAACGCGGGAATCGAGCCGGTCCTGCTCCTCGGTCTGGTTAAGGAATTGGCCCTCTGTCGTGACTCATTGGTGGTACGCCTGGCTAGCGGCACAGTCCCCATTGAGGCTGCACGGTCCAGTTGCTTCTTCATGGCAGACTTCAGAGGACCCGCAGGGGTGCCGGAACGGCTGGGAGTTGTTTGTATGGTTGGTGCCGACGACGCACTTCGGCCTTGACTGAGCTTCCTCCGCATGGGTGCCGGCGTCGGATACTGCCCAGGAGAGTCGTACGGCGCTCCAGGGTACGCTGGAAAGGGTGCAGTTCCATTCTGAGGATGATAAGACGGGTAGGGATTGAACTGAGCATAGTAGGCAGCCTGCGGCTGAGCGTAGTTAGTCTGGGAATAGTACTGGGGGTCGCCGGCGGGGTAGGCCTGCATGGCTGGCTGCATACCAAGGGAGCCGAGGAGGACGACGAGGGGTGTTGGAGGGAGCTGGCAGCAGGGTTTGCGATATAGGCTTCAGGGTGGGCGTCTGAGAAGCGCTGCAACGTGCCGGACGCGGGGGTGAACGAGGCAGGTCATGGGCAGCTCCTGGGTACAGCGAGGCTGGGACGACTTGGCGGCGGCTTCAATACGTACTCGAAGAGCACGCACGCTTTCCCAGAGTGTACACGGATGTTTGAGCGGCTCGCAGTGCGCACGGCCCACGGGAGGATGGTACGAGCACGGCGTCCGAGATGGGCGCAGAGCGAGAGCGGGCCTGATCCGTGTCTGCGCGAGGACAGCGATTGACAAACCGTTCTCACGCACCCAGTCCTCGCTCTCGACCTCCTCTTCCTCTCCCCCCATGGCATCCACAATCGTCAACTGGCTGCGCTCACCCGCCGCCCGCGAATACTTCTTCAGTGAGCACCACCTTTGTCGCCCGCTCCCGCGTTAGTGACGGCGTGTCATGCAGGTACTCACTTCTGGGGACCGGTGAGCAGGGATTCACGCTGCCGGAGGTATAAGTGTCGCTGAGCTCGCGGTTCGTGTCAGGTTGCAAACTGGGGCCTCCCGCTAGCTGCGCTCGCCGACCTGCGGAAGGATGAGGATGTGATTTCGGGGGCAATGACCACCGCGCTGACGTCGTACTCGTGAGTGACCCCGGCTTCTATCGCAGCATCTCCGCTAACGTTTCGTAGCCTAGTGTTCATGCGTTTCGGTGAGTCCTGCGAGCGGTCTGCGTAGCTGTGTACTGACGATGTCGTAGCATGGCGAGTTCAGCCGCGGAATTACCTCCTCTTCGCATGTCATGCGACGAACGCGACAGCGCAGACGGTGCAGGGCATGCGTTTCGTCAACTACTGGTACATGGGGGGAAGGGACAAGGCAATCACGGAGAACACTGCCGTTCCTGCGTCAAAATAGCGCGTCGTGCATCGACGATGTCTCGTGCCGGTCCGGTCTGTTCTGCATATCCCGTACTGAACCAAATAATACGACTGTACATGGGGCCCTGTTCACACTTCAAAGGACACTCGGAATGTCTGCAATGTTCACCAGAAACCATCGTCAGCGTCGCCGCCCTTCTTCTTGCCACCCTTAGTTTGAGCGAGTGCTTGCCGCTCGTACATCTCCGCAATCTGTGTACACCGGTCAATGCAGTCCACGTCCCCGTCACAACGCGCAAGTTACTGACCTGTTCGGGACCGGTAGCATCGTCTGCAGCCTTGTCATCCCGGACACGGATGAACCGCGGGAAGCGCAAGGAGATGCCTCTCTCCTCGACCTGAAGAAACTCGTCAGCCGCACCACCACCTGCCATCCGCCAGAAGCCACTCACCAAGCCCTGAGCCGCCGTATACACCGGACTGAGACTCAGGTCCGCCGTGAGGACCTCCCACACGACCTTCGGCTCGAACCACACGTCGGGCTTCGCGCCGCCCACCTTGATGTCCCCGCGCGGCTTCGTCATCTCCAGCGGCTTGAGCGTCTCGTAGTGCGACTGCAGGGCCTCCTCGCTGAACCCGGTGCCGATCTTGCAGATCGTCTGGTACTCCTCGGAGTCAGCGTCGTAGCAGGCGAGCAGGAACGCGCCGTAGACGTTCGTGCGCTTGCCCTTGCCGTAGTAGGCGCCGACGACGAGGAGGTCCAGAGAGTCGCCGATCCCTGCGAGGTAGTCTTTCTTGAGCTGTGATACGGATTCACTCAGTGATCAGTGTTATTTGCGGCAAACCTTTGAACTTTGATATACCTTGAGCCAGTTCACACTTCTCCGACTTGGCTCGTAGTAACTTGCGTCACCCTCAAGCATCTTCACCATCAAGCCTTCGCAGCCATCCTTCACGGACTCCTCCAGGAAGGCCTGGATCTCATCCGTAGTCTCACCGTCTGACGACTTCGCGAAATCGAACTCCCCTGGAACCTGCTGGAAGTGTTCTCGTAGGAGCTGTTTCCGCTCCAGGAGAGATTTGTGAAGGAGAGGCTAGGATGAAGTTAGATCAGTATTGTGATAATTCGGGATGAAACATGAACATACCTCGCCATTGAGGTACAGCAGGTCAAACGCAAAGAGGCAGACCCGGACCTGGATGTCCTCTACCCTGACATCCTTCCGTTTCCGCCTGCTGAGCTCCTGGAAGGGCATCAGCTTGCCAGTGTCCTTGTCGATCGCCACTGCCTCCGCGTCGAACACAAACGTCTTCGTGTTCTCTTTGATACACTGTTGATATGGACGTCAGATCAACTTAGCACACGAAGCGGAGGAGAGAACTGACGTGTGGCATTTGCTCAACGAGATCAGGATATTTCTTGCTCATATCCTCAGAGTTCCGACTGAACACTCCGACGGTCCCATCCTCCAGCCGGTGGACCTGCCGCTCACAATCAGCACATACACCCCGCACAACGGGAAACCAGCCCACCTGAGCGCGCTCACCATCGTACTTGTACTCACACGTGAAGCGCTTGCCCTCGAACCGGTCGAGCACCTCGCCGATCGCCTTCGTCGGCTTCGCGAGCATGGGCTTGAGCGGGACGCCCGGCGTGAGCTTGCAGCGCTCGTGCAGCCCGTCGATGCCGACCTCGAGCAGCGCAGGGATGACGAGGTCGTATGTCGGCAGCTCGCTGTAGACGGACTTGATGATGTTCGCGGCCTCTTCGAGCCGAGCGGCGAGTTTCTCCTTGTTTGACCGCTTGTTCGCTGGATGGTGCATCAGTGTGCTGATGGGGGAGTGAAGGGGGGAGGGGGTACCTCGTTCTTGTTCGGCCAGCACGAAGGCGTGCGCGAGTGCTACGAGGACGGTGCGCTCTGCGTTGCCTATCCGGAGCTTGCCCTCGAGACTGCGGACGATGTACTTCGCCTCTTGGTCTTGACATGCGGCGAGGAGCTTGGTGATGATGGATACTTTCTTGTTTTGTGACTGCATACGCCTCACGTCAGAATAGTTGATTTGAGGTCATGGTTGGATAAATAGCTGACTGAATGACCGCTGCTCATCGCAATCTCCTTCAGATTGTTGAACACGAAGGGCACGGTGAGTGGCTTGGGCTTGAAGAGCGTCTTCTGGCTATTCTTGGAGTTCTACGGGAAGTTTGAGCATGGCTGCCTAAGCTTCGAGCGTCTTCATCACGACGAACCATCGCAACGAGACCCAAATCACCCTCTTTCTTTAGCTCGGACTTGATCACAGAAAGACTCCTGCCTGTTGACTCCCCAATGGCCTTGATGAGCAGGCTCTCACCGATACCAAGTTCAACGCCGACGTAGTCCGGAGTCAACTACGCAGGAGGTATTAGCTTCGCCAGACAGGTTCGCTTGTAGATGACATACACGATTGATGCACAGATAGACCGCTTGCAGCAGAGATTTCGTGTCGCCCTTCGCGCTTCTTTGGATGACAAGGAGAAAGAAGGCGGTCAGGAGCGACGTTTTCTCTAATCGTTTCGTCGTTGCCTCGATCAGACCGAACACCTTAGCCAGAGCTGCATATGGCACTCTAGAAAAACGCGTTCATCAGTGCGTTCCATGCAATGGCCAAGGCGACGCACGGGTCACCCGGTTTCCACCCGCCTTTAATATCCACCTCTGTTGTTCTCGAAAGCACAGACTCGGCGCTATTATGATGAAGGTATTAGGGCAAACGACGAGATGGTTCGAAATGAGATGGTTCGAAATGAGACGCACTTCTTCGAGGCAGCACCCGCATCCTCCTCTTCCAGCTCTTCCTCGCCCTCATCATCCTCGATGTCTTCCTCTTCAGCCGCAGACGACGCCTCATGTTCCTCCTCTGGCTCTTTTTCAACGGGCCGTGCGGGCTGCTTTGAGGTCGAGGCTTTCGATGGGCGCGTGGGCTTGGAGGGCTTCGACTTGACTTTCTCCTCCGTTGCCGGTTCCGTGTCAGACACTGCCTTCGACGATGATGCCTCCGGGGAGGTGTCCTCCACTGCGCCACATCCAGCAGCGTCAATGCGTTATGAACACAGATGGAGATGATTGGATGACTCACTGGGGACATTGCCTTCGTCGTCGGAGTCGACTACGCGACGTTTCTTGATTCGTGGCGCTTGATCCTTCTCTCGTACTGGCACAATAAAATATAAGCAACATATATTCCTCTACAGTAATTACGTACCGGTAGCGGGTTCAGGCGTGGATTCTACCTTCACCGGTGTAGCTGCGCGAACATTGTAGACATGGCAAGGGCGACGTGCAATCATGCTCACCTGGCCTTGGAATGCTTTCATCCAGTGTTGAGGACTCCTCCTTAACCTCTATGGCTGCAGCTTTCCGCTTCTTGCCACCCCACATCTCCTCCAGCTTGGACTGCTGAGGCGGTCCGGCTTTGGAGCTAGCAGGCATGGCGAAGAATTTACCTACACACGCACGGTTATGGAAGGCGCAAAGGATTCTAGACAACGAGAGTACATACCCAGGGTTTGTTGTCGACCCATGTGTGTATTGAAAGGAAGCGGGAGAGCGAGTAAACGCGACACACTGACAGACGCGACGCGATGGAGACGCGTCGTGACCGTGACAAACATGCAGTTACCTACGCGTGCGCGCGTCTCGCTTGGGTTTCGTGTCGCGGGAAGCCGGCCCGGTATATCCTCAGCCACAAGCGCGCCTGTGGCGGCGGACGTTGGGCGCTCTAACGCCGCCTCTTAACTGTGCTCAACGCAACCGACCGACTGTCGCCGCCGACTGCTGCTTGGCAACTCTCTACAGCGCTCATAACTTTGAGGCGCAGTGCTTCTCTAAGTAACTCATTCTCTGGGCACTACTGAAGGCGGTGCGGCGGAGAACATCGAAATTCATCCGATATGGTCTCCCTGGTCCCAGCTAGTAGCGCTGCCGCTGCTCAGGCTGGTGTCCTCAGGCTGTGCATTGGACTTATCAGCGGCTTACAGCTCGAACGGACACGCAATCAATCAGTTACATTAGGCCGCTGACGCGTAATTCTAATATCTACAGGCATCCGCACCACATTCAGAAGCGATTCAATGTGTGTCGCCTGCCAGTGCGACCCAAGTGCGACCCGTATTTGCTCGTCGTCAGCTCGCCGTCGCCTAGTGTAGGCCTCTCACACGCTCTCCGACGTAAGCAGTTGGACCATTCAGGAACTCGGGAAAGGGCGCCCCAGTAACAAGATAGATTTTAGGTTCTGTCTTTTCGACTCAGAGGTGACGAATGCTTACGGTACTCATGCTTCTCTGTAGGGATCCCCATCTATCACCTTCACACCATCATGCAACACGTTCCCACTGTCCGCGATATCGTCGGCTCTACTTGCGAGGCGCAGTCTCACGTCTCATCTTATGCCTGTACTTCGAATAACTACGGAGAGCCGTTCTGCATCGGGGTATTATCATAGCACACCGGAGTGTGCGACAGGTGGCCCACACTTAGACAAGATCATCATTCAAACAACATTGTAGAGACACATCACACGGACTATCATCGTGTTTCACGTCCCTCGCGGTCAACACTTTGCTTTGGGTCAAACTCCCTCGCAGTCGCCGAGGGCGATGATAGCAAGCAACAGCTCAAATTAACCACTGTCCTGTCAATCATTTGGTACGCGCTCTCGTTTTCGAAGGACTATCAGATGGCCTCACGTCCCTCGAGACTGAATCAGTTCGCGCTGCTTCTATGCACTGCCGCTGCAAAGCGCATTAACTCCCACTCTTTTGGCTCCCTCCCCGCTCACTTCAGGCCAGGTTCGCCTGTGTACTCTGCACCCTAGCGATGGCAAAGCCCCTCACGTTTATAGTCATCGTTCTGCAGGTGAGCAGAGTTCCTGCATAGCACAGAGCCCTGCTATTGACTGATTAAACGTACAGATAGGCGGCCTCGTTCTCCTGTCAGCGCTGCTCGTAACGCCGGCACAAAGACACCCAATCGTCAATGGTATAGTTGTACTCTCTATAGCACACTGCGTCATCGGAATACTCCCGGCTCTCTTGTATCTGAGCAACTCAGGCTTCAGGATAGCGTCGAAGGAACATTTCCAGTACGACGAAGGATGGGCGCGCCTCTGTGCAACTGATTCTGTCCTGTTCGTTTCAGTCATTTAGCCAGTGCTGCATGCAGCTGACACCTAGCCGTACAGCTTGAATTATGTCACCACCGCAAAATCAGCATTTGCCATCAGCTTTACTATGGTAAGCCCACACGGCTCATGCCATATTGCTGCATCACTGAGAGGTGTGAAGCCCTGTGTCTACCTGGCGTGCAAGTTCACAGGGAATCGTGACCGCCTGGAAGCGCAAGCGACACCACATTTCTACAAGCGTACTGTCATCGCGCTCTGTGTAGGACCATATAGTACGTGCGGCTGCCCGAATGTCTCATTGTTATGGTTCAAACACCTGTTCAGTCTGGGCCCTACCTCTGATATTTTTGACGATCCACAAGTTGCAGCAACCTCTGAGCATGCAACCCCATTTCATCGGAGTATGTGGTTTCTCGCAATTGCTGTTACATCACACCACTTAGCATCTTGCAGTCGATTTGCGTTGTCGTCTATAATACTGGTCAAATCCTGGCGTTGCTCCTCACCCTCATCCCGCTCACTCTAGCAGTCGTCGCATCGATCGTACTCGCATTCATACTCTTCAAGTATTACAAGCTACCCCACCTGAGGCAAAGCTTCATGCTGCTTCACCCGATACGCATCGTCCGGTTTGCTTCTTTGGTGGCAACCATCGTAGTCTCTGCGGTTCTATACGCAATCGTGCTCGCGACATGGGTACGATATGATAGCGTGCACGACTTGAAGAGCGAGACCGCCTTCCGGGCGTGGCTGAAGACGAGTGCCGTTTGGGAATGTGAGTGCTTCGCTCCTTATCTCATAACAAATTGAGTACGAACAGATCGCAGCGGTGTCACCTTTAATCTTCTTTTTCATATTCGCCGCGCAAGAGGAAATCTATTCAGTATGGTGGCAATGGATACGACGATGGTTTCCTCGCCGACGGACCGCCACGACAACGTGTTACGACGAGACGACATGTTCACCTGGGTCAGATAAAGCCTGTTGCAACCGACGTCCGTCGTGCATCTTCGCATGGCTCTTCAATCACCGCGGTCACACCGACGACGGAGAAGCAGACCACTATGATTCGGCCATCGTGCTGAATAAGCCACACGCTACGGAGGGCTGGCCAGAGCCTACAGGCGGGAACCGCCCTCCACGGGCCATTGCGAGGCAGATCATGCACATATCATACGCTCCCTTTAGTACGCCCAGTCACGACCTCCGAGGACTACCTCCCCCACCGCGCCACCAACGCAGCCGGAGCCACAGCTCACGCGAGCCGGCCGTCTTCAGAGCAGTACCGTCGCTGTCCGCGCTGGGACCTAAACGGAGAGCCACATCCGAGAGCCGGAGACAGCCTTCGCCGTCGCCGTTGTTCGACCAGCAGGTCTTGCCCGCTCAGGCGAAGCTCGAGCCCGAGGATAGGTTAGCGAAGGGATTGCGACTGACACCTTCGGACGGGGAGCGTTCGAAAGGCGAGGCATCGAGTTGTGTGGAGGGTATCATCACTCAGACCAGTGCGAGTTCGTCTGGCTCAGCAGTGCAGCTGTCGCGACCAGCTAGCGTTGCAGGAGGAGTGGTGCCGGAGACGCTAGATCTAACGGGGACATTCGGTGTAGTATCTCCTGATCCATAGCGTTTGTATCTTGAGTACCAATACGCGCGATGTAGCAATGTCAGTAATGTAGTCATGTATTTCTAGCATAACGCAGTGGTGCTGAAGCAATTGTCGAACAGTCAATGAGTGTGCTCACTGTGCTGAGAGGCACTTCAACGACGCCTTCCGTATCGGGAAACAGGGGGGACTAGAAGTCTAACCGGTATTTGCCGGACTGTACAGTTTTACCTTATGGTGGCTTGCTCCCAGTCCCCACGTGGCAACTAGACCACTCAGGCGCACCCGGCACGGCCGTCCATTCCACCCAAAACCTACCGCCCCGCCGTCAAGAACAACGAGCCATGGCCGACCACCAAGTGCGCACTCTTGCTTGCTGCTGGATCTATGTGTCTAACTGCTGCTGCGTCTACAGATCGAGAAGGCGTATCAAAAGCAGTACCTCTTCCAGAACGCGAAGGCCCGGGGTGCGTGTATACCGGAGTGAGTTGTGCGTGTGATATTGACAGTAGGCTTGGGCGGTGTGCAGGCACCAAGAAGGTCTCGACGAAGGAGAAGCGGTGGTACAAGGACGTTGGCTTGGGCTTCAAGACGCCTGCTGAGGCGATCAACGGCACCTACATCGGTGCGTCCCGTACTATGCAGGCCTATACTTTGATATTCATGCGCTCTGTGTTGCCTTGCCTGCTCAGACAAGAAGTGCCCCTTCACTGGTGATGTCTCCATCCGTGGCCGTATCTTGACTGGCCGTGTTATCTCGACGAAGATGACCCGCACGCTTATTATCCGACGGGATTATCTCCACTACATCCCCAAATACAGTGCGTGTGCTCGTGCTATGGTGATCGATCTGTACTCAATGTTCGCGTCTAGACCGTTACGAGAAGCGGCACAAGAACCTGGCTGCACACGTCTCGCCCGCTTTCCGTGTCGAGCCCGGCGACATTGTCACTGTCGGTATGTAGAGTGCAGACTCTTATCCCCGAGTAATGATGACGGCTAATTGTCTCGTACGTGAACAATAGGCCAGTGCCGACCGCTCTCAAAAACCGTCCGGTTCAACGTGGTCCGGGTAGCCAAGAACAAGGCGGCTGCGAAGTCTTTCGGCAAGTTCTAGGCCTTGGGCACGGTGCTTGTCGGTATTAGGGGCATACGATATGATACTACTGCTTTCTCGTGTATGGACGCATTGCAATGACCATAGGCCCATGCAAATCACTCAGCTATTTCTCGCTTGTGATGGACACGTGTGTGAGACCGTAGTACGAAGATGAGCCGAGATCGCGAAGTGCGGGGTCTGTACGCGAACGTGTTTAGGGTGGCAAACAGGGGACAAACAAGATACAGGCGGGAGTGCCTCGGCGTCGGGCAGTGTGCAGCCAACCAGGCCTGACTGCACCATCTCTACAACCGCCCGTTCTTATTCTGTCATTCGTCCTCGTCGCAGCCCGCGACGCAGTCCAGCTTGTATTCGTCTCGTATTTCCAACCCGACCCCTTTCGCAGCGCTCCACGAGATAGCCCACCCTGGCGCCCACACTCCTGTCTGTGTTCACCTCCAGGCTTGGCCGCTCCAGGTCGCAGTCTCCTCAGCCAGGCTCGCCGTCTCTCTCATCCTCGGCCCTCCCCATGGGCCAACAGCAGTCCAAGAAACATCGCAAGGGCGGAAAGGAGAGCAGTGCGGACTCCAACACGTCGCCCGATCCCGCAGGCAACGACGACAACTCTCGCCAGAACGCGCATGCTCGGACAACCGCGCCAGACACAGCCAACGGCTCCGCCACTTCCCCACATACTGAGGGTAACCCGGATATCACTGTCAGTCAACCTGACGCTGGCGGGGCGCTGCAGAATGGGCACGGTAATGGTTCAGATACCCATACTTCCCCGAACCCAACCTCTGCGCCGAAAGACATTCCTTCCACTTCCTCTGGACCCTCGACATCCCCATCCACCTCGCCGCATACGCACTCGAAGCCTCCCCCTTTGGATATACCAGGACAGACGATTCTGACCACGTCCAGCTCACCATATCCCACACCAGGCTCGACGAGCAGCTTCAACATCGACCCCGTCGCCATGTCCAATGGTGGCAAGAATGGCTTATCCCTGAAACCGCTCGACATTGATGACATGATCCAACGGCTGCTCGACGTCGGCTACACGGGCAAAGTGAGCAAGTCGCTGTGTCTCAAGAACACGGAGATCACTGCGATATGCCAAGCGGCACGCGAGGTCTTCCTGAGCCAGCCGACGCTCATCGAGCTTTCCCCGCCGGTGAAGATCGTTGGGGACGTGCACGGGCAATACTCGGACCTCATCCGACTGTTCGAAATGTGCGGTTTCCCTCCAGCCGCCAACTACCTCTTCCTGGGCGATTATGTCGACCGAGGGAAGCAGAGCCTCGAAACGATCCTGCTCCTCCTTTGTTACAAAATCAAGTACCCCGAGAACTTCTTCCTGTTGCGGGGCAACCACGAATGCGCAAATGTCACACGAGGTGAGTAGTACTCCTCCGTCTCTCTCGGTGGCGCTCACGTCCCTCCAGTGTACGGCTTCTACGACGAGTGCAAACGAAGATGCAACATCAAGACCTGGAAGACCTTCATTGACGTCTTCAACTGCCTACCCATTGCCGCTATCGTTGCCTCGAAGATATTCTGCGTGCACGGCGGCCTCTCACCATCCTTACACTCAATGGACGACATCAAACGCATACAGCGACCGACAGACGTTCCAGACTATGGCTTACTGAACGACCTGCTATGGTCGGACCCCTCCGACACAGCAGCTGACTGGGAAGACAACGAGCGTGGCGTCAGTTACTGCTTCGGGAAGTCGGTCATCAATGACTTCCTGGTGCGATACGATATGGACCTCATCTGCCGTGCACATATGGTTGTGGAGGATGGGTACGAGTTCTGGAACGACCGGACACTGGTAACCGTCTTCAGTGCACCGAACTACTGTGGCGGTGAGTTGCCCCCGTTTGCTATCTGACATATTACTGATGCCTTAACCTGGCAGAGTTCGATAATTATGGAGCGTGCATGAGGTGGGCTGATACGCTTTGCTACCGAGGAATGTACTAACTAATACCTCCAGCGTATCGGAAGAGCTCCTATGTGCATTCGAACTTCTCAAACCCCTGGACGGCCCAGCACTACGGAAGGAGATGACGAAAGCAAAACGGAAGACGTACGTCGCCTTTCCATTTTCCGAACACAGCCTTCTCAATCACATTTCGTAGCTTGATGGCAACCACGACCTAACTAAATAAGCTCATTGGAGGCAGTCCATATACGATTATAATTGCTGGACCGTTGGGCTATGGTTATGGTATGAACTCCTCAGGTTGATGCGCGGTCACGCCGTGCAGGTGTGTCAAGGTGGCGGTGCATCTGAACCTCAGGCCTGTTTAGACCTCTGTCCTACCCTTCCGCACCCCTTTGGCAACGCGACTTGCATACCATCCGCGCACGCCTGCTTGCTGTACCCGACTTGTGCTAACTTAAACCTATCTCTCCCTATCACCCTCCCCGCTTTCCCCTCTCCTGTTCGCAACCCTGGCTACTGGTGTTCGCATTCACTGGCATCCGGACCTTCCTGTGTACGATATCGGCGCGCATATATCGACCTGTTTTGGGCTTGGGCATCCATTCGCACCGTCATATCACTCCGTCTCCTTGCTTGTCAGCGTTTCCCGTAGCATTTCCTTTCGATCCCATTTGTGCTATAGCTACAGTATCCAAGCATGCATTGGAGGCACTTTCCTGTCATCGGCGGAAAATAGTGGATCCCATATGGTCACACCGAGATGTATGCAGTGCAGCTCGACAACTCTACTTAGCGTAGTACCGCCACGCGGTCCCGCATACAGATCAAGGTACCGCACACAACTACCCTGCGTGTATACCAGGCGGAGGATGCTTCCGCTTCACCATGTCATAAGCCAATACACCGAAGGCGACGACGATTGCTCCAGACCCCAGCAGACTCCACACCGTGACCGTGCTCGCCGCGCGTCCAAAGATGATGTCGGACAAGAACATCAAGACGATGGTCAGGAGACTCCCTACGGACGTCACGATGGGCCCCCAGATGCCGAGTAGAATCTAGCGAAGATGCGCAACTGAATGAGCGTACGGTCCCGTGGACGCGCCGAGCGCGCGCGCGTCGAAGGGGGTGGGACTCACCATGAAACCAGCGTTGAACATTACCCCGGTGATTGAGATGCCGACAATGGACAGGACCTGCGCGGACGTTGTGGGCAGCGCGAAGCGGACGACACCGAAGACGTGCAGGAGGGGGATGGGGATCCAGAGCACGAGGAGTGTGCAGACCCCGATGGCGGAGGTGAGCATGTTCGGGTAGAGCCCGAACGGAGGAGTTATGCTCGGCGCGGGCTCTATGGCCACGACGTCTTCTTCCAGTTCTGTCTCAGACGGAATGCGGGCATATGCACCGGCGCGAGGCTCTGCGTCAAGAAGCTCCTCGGGGTCCGAAGGTAATGCCGCGTATAGTTTGTACAACACTTGGTACATGCCGTACAGGATAGACGCGAAAAGGGAAAGGAGATCGCCTGCCAGTGGAGCACGGGTGTTTGCGTCGGCATGCTGAACTGCTTCAGGCGCGTCTGAACTGCTGCTGCTGCTGCTGCCTCCGTAGACTACCACTGTGGCACCAAGGGTCGCGAGAACAACTGCAGCGAGGCGGATAGGTTCCCATCTGAGCTTGAACACGCGGACGGAGAGCAGGTATGCGAAGAACGCGTTTGTATTCCACAACGCGGTGATGTCCGTCACCCTGCATACAGTGAGCACACGATGACGGCGATTATGTGTCAAGCGACTCACGGAGCTAGCGACACGGCGATGAACCAGAGTAGCCCTGGTACGGTCACGCCAATGGTGAGGACCGTGAGGAGCCAGGCGAACCTCCGTTTCGGGAATTCAGTAGGCCTGACACCAGGCGGTGACAGATGTTGTCGTAAGGCGGAGGTTAGTTGGAGCCAAAGCTCTCGAGGGGATTGCCTTGCCGTAATGGCAAGGAATGCGAGATGCAGCGGGAGCATGACCGCGAATGAGGAATGGACTATATAGCTATGTCAGGGTCATGTGCATCAGAATCATGCCTCCAGTGAAAGTTCAGAGTGCGCACAAGATAAGGTATGGTTGCCGGTAGTCGAGGCTCGTTTGTACATACTAGACAAGAATCAGCCTGATGTTGTCCGCACCGCAGAGGGTGTGCCCGATGCCGTACCTGCGTCAGCTGTGACTCCGTGACGAACCCAATGAGGCTCAAAGCAAAGAGGCCCACGGCTGCCTTGCCCCCGACATGTATTTGGAGCCCTTCGCGTCTAGCAGCCATCTACCGTCCGACCTTGTGTTGCGGAGCGTCGAAGTTGAGAGGGAAAGCTGAGATAGATTGGCACTGTACGCTCATAAGTACGCTCTCCGTGAGCGGTTCACGTAATGTAATGAGATAAGGAAGGTCTTCTGGCAGCGTGCGAGGACACAGCGCCTTTGAACAGGAGTCCTGGGCAGGCAGGTTGCGGTAAGGGGACGTGTTGCGGCCGCTGTGGCCTGCAGACGGCAAGCAGGACGCCCGAAACTCTCGGACTCTGGCACGTGATTCCCTCTGACCTGCGGGACCGCTTCGACGCCGGCGAACTTGCGTCGCTCGACAACACACACGTCCTCCACCATGCTTCGCGCACTCTTAGCCTCGAGCAGGCCGCTGCTCGCCCGCATGCGTGCGGTGACTGTGCATCATGCGCACCCACACTTCCACCCCGTGGCTCCTTCGACCATGCAAGCATCGCCGGCACTCGCGAGGGGGATGAAGGTCAGGTCGTCGGTGAAGAGGCTATGCGATGGGTGTTCGGTTGTCAGGAGGAAGGGCAGAATTTACATCATCTGCGCGAAAAACCCGAGGCACAAACAGGTGCGTCCGTATGTGTCTATAATTGCCTACGTCTTGCTCAGACGGCACCTCTATCCAGCGGCAAGGCTGATCCCAGCTGCGAGTCCGTTATCCCGAACAAGACATGCAGGTCTCGTTCGACTACAATAGACGTCATCACGGGCTGATGTCACAACATGGTCGTTGGGTAGCTTGGGAGGCTAGCGAATCCACATCTGGAACTCATACTGCACACCATTTTCCTCTTGTACCCCCTCCGGCACCTCGAATCCAGCCCAGTCCTGCAGTTCTGCATGACTCGTTCGTCTCCACGCAACACGCTCTCCACCTACAAGCTTGCTGTCCAGGAAGTTGGGCATGTGCACGTCGCATTGCTCGAATGCTGGCGCGAGTATCCGTGTGAGGAGGACGCGATCCACGGACGAGCCCGACGACGGTGATAGGGTGAGTGTCTCTCGATACAGCGAGGCACCTCCTATGACGAACGCTCTGTGAATGGGTGTTTCTAGACGCTCCGAGTGCGAGAGTCGGTCCAACGCTGAGTCTAAGTTTGAGTGTAAGAACACTGGCGCAGCGGGCGTGGTAGCGTTCGCAGGCATGCTATCGCAAACAATTCACATTCAGGGCAAATTAACCGTATTCTAGGGCGGACGTACAGTTCATACTGTTTGTTACTGCTGATGACTACGTTGACACGTTTGGGTAGAGGCCTGAACTTCTTCGGGATGCTCTCCCAAGTGTTCCTCCCCATGAGCACCGCGTTGACGCTGCCCTCCGGCGCGTTCGAAGTAACGCGGGCAAAATACTGCATCTCCTTTGATAGTCGCCAGGGGAGGTGTCCGTGTTGACCGATGCCATTGTTGAGTGTTGCAGCGACAATAATCGTCAGTTTGGTCATGGTGGATGGAGCGAAAGAGGGACTGATGACCGTAGAGTGCTAACCGCGGCAGTTGAGCTCCTTTGTCCGATGACAAGCGTAGTAACGAACTTTCTCCTTTGATGACCGGAGTCCATACAATATGATACAACAACTTGGATTCAGATATGCGCAGTAGTACGTGCTTTCCGTGGATTGGGAGGTCAACATATCTAGGGAGATTGGAGCACAGACCGTCGGCCTCCGTTTGCAGCTCATAGGCGGCCTGTCTGGGGCCTCAACAGTGTGACCTCCCGACGAACGATTTCGACCCAATCGTAGCACACCCAACACCCCTTCGAATTGTGCGTCCTGCACTTGCATTCGTTGGACCCCGGCTTCACCGGGATAGCCCCTCGGTTATATGCATGGCGAGACATGCGCATCTATGAAAAGGGGGATCAGCAACACCAAAGCATACATCACAATTTAGTAACACACATTCAAATCGAAGTCCCTGTCCAACAGGAGCTCGTCCAGGATCTCGTGCAGAGCAGCAGTGTGGTTGTTCTCCAGGCGGTAGTCACACCTGCAACGGTCGCACTGCTCTTGACCGTGCTCCTGGCAGAATTTCCACCCGTTTACGATTATGAACCTCCAATTGGAGGACATCTTGTGAGGATGGTGGTAGAGACGGATCGTCCTGCCCCGTTGTGCGTGTACGCTGCTTAAGCGAATCGTCGGCCCGCAGCGTTGGGGATGTGCGTCAGTCGCGTGCGAGGCCACTCATTCTTCTGTCGTGGCGAGCGGTGGCAGACAACACCCCAGATGTGTTGCGCGTCCAGATATGACAAAAGGGTTGATGGGAGAATGGGTTTAACACTGTCATTGTCGTAGGCGAGCGGCGACTGCCCGTGGGTGGCTCAGGCTGCTCGGGAAGGAGGTCTATTAGGCGTGGGAAACCGAGCGATCGTGGCAGTAGCGCCCAAGGGTTCTCCCTGTAGTACTCCTGCGCTCAACTCAGATCCGCTACTTAGTCGCTTTAACCACCTTCCGCACACGCATCTCCTGTATCCACAACATAAATCTGCGTCGACGTGATGGACCCATTTGAAGTCAGACTGCAATTCCTATCACTACTCAAGAAGCTCAACGCGTCAGTGCTCCTCGTTTCTCTATGCCTCGCGGGTCCTGAAAGGCTCATGGTTTAGTTCTCAGCAGTCCATTCAAAAGGTAGTTGGCTACGCCCTCAAGTTCTACGCCAGCTGTGGCGAAGACTTATGGGACTGCGTAGTAGAAGAGTGCCAAAAGGTACGCTGTGCTTGCTTCGCATTCGCATTCGTGAGCTCATGGAGAGCTAGGGGTCGATCAACAACCGTATCAACATCCTCTACTTGCTCGACTCACTTTGCGAGACGTCATTACTTGCGAAGTCACACCCTGGGTCTGTGAGCCATGACCCAAACCAACAACACTCGTCGTACTACGTAGACTATGTCGCCCGCGACCTAGGCAAGATTGTGGAGTATGTCGTTCCAGAGGGCCGCCAAGGCCTTCCGAATCTCATGAGCACAAAGCAGGTGCGTTCATTGCGCTCATCCGGCCTCGTCTCGGTCTCTGAACGGACGACGCGCTCGCGTACACAGATCCTCGAGAACTGGCGAAGCAAGCGTGTACTCGACCCGCAAAAAGTCGATGATGCTCTTGCCACCCTCGACTCACGACGCGCGGCGCTCGAGCAAGAACAAGAGCAAGAACAGTCGACTGAGCTCTCCAAGCCCATAAACTCTCTTCCGCGGCAAGAGATCTTCAAGCGGATCGAGGAGGATCGCGAGCGGCACAAACGCCTCCGGGAACGACGCTGGGTGCAGCCGGTCGCGCACAACCCGCATACGCACCTCCCGCCGCAGCTGGCGTGCCTCCTACCGCTCACGGATGATGGCGACGGAGAGGGTGAGCTGACGCTGGATATCGAGTTCGAGAATGACTGGGAGACTACGAGCGATTGGAACGAGGATGACGACGAGGCCGCGGTCGAAGAGAATTCCCTATGCTTTCCCGATGAAGACGGGGAGCCTATGGACCTGTCTTGACTCACATACATACTGTTGTGGTTGTAATGCATATTTATATTCCATTCTTTACATGTCGCTGTCTTATGTTCATACCGTTTGAGCATGAAACTTCAGGGTTGCGCTGATCGACGCAAGATGAACATGAAAAATTCATTGCAGCCTTTCGGCAAGGCTGCTGTCCCTGTCTCAGCAGCCATAAGCTCGGTGGCCGGCGCTGCTCGGGTCTTTGGCAGCGGCCCCGACGGTCTCTGTCCCAAAGCGGTGACGGTCCGATTTCCCCGGGACGAGTACACGGCACGCCGTGCTTCTAGTGCGACAACCTCCCGCATTTTAGGAGGTTGTGGCGTGCCCACGCGCGGGGTATACGTTCCGGTCGAGTCAGTTCGACCCTGTACGGGCGTCGAACGCGGTCTCGTGACCGCGTGTACGTCCCACGCGCGCGGGCTGCCTCGCGCCGCGCAGGGTTCGCCCTGTGCATCGCAGACCCTGAGACGATGTTATGGACCTTTCTTTTGGTTAGTCACCGATCGTTTGGACGTCGGCCTCCTTGGCTCGACATGGCGAGAATCTAGGTACTCTCTCACTTGCCCTCAGGCTGATCCATATTCAACACTCACCCCCATGGATACTGTGGGCATTGCTGGACCATGGGGGGAGTTTGTGGAGCAGTACTTTTCAGAATTCCCTGAGCTCGCTGTAAGCACATTGCCTTTCTCTGCATTCTGTGTAACTCAAGGCTCTTTGAGTAGTATGAGAACATAAATCTTGATGTTCTGGGCTATGGTCCATGGTCACCATACACTCCAGTTGGTCCATTGGACCAATATCAGTACAATTCCAACAATCAGGTATGTTGGGTCCAGTTTCATAAAGTCTTTGATTAAGTACTGACAGATATGAAGCCTGGGCATCTCCAGTTACTTGAAGAGCAGTACCCACAACCAGGTCAAGCTTTGCCTGAACATGAACCCTCAGTAGGATTAGATGCACTTGAAGAATACATCAATTGGTCCCTGTACCAAGGTGCACCTGTCAGTGCAGAGTATCCACTCCTTAACAATGAGGCATCCAGTGAGTTATTCACATTGTACACCACGAATGAATGGACTGAATATGCATACAAATGGATAGGCCAGCTATGTCACAGTACTAGTACTGTAGATGACCCTAGCAAGGCATCTACCAGTATGCCAGCTCCAGGTCCTCCAAGCGCTCCAAACGCCCCGGGACCGAGCCCATTTATGTACTCCCCGACCTCCGCTCGACCCGTCGGCGTGGTCGAGCTAAGCGGTGCCCCCAGCACCCAGGCGATCGTACGACGATCGGCGAAGCGTACGACCGCGATCGCCTGCTTCTTCTGTCGCAAACGGAAGATCGCCTGCGGCGGGCCTCTCGCGGGCAGCTCGGGAAGGACCTGCGTGTGAGTGCACCTACCATCTGCTGTATCAGTCAGGTCGGTCTTTCCTCGATACTTACTCTTGGTACCCACAGGCAATGCAAGCGGCGAAACCAACCCTGCGAGTACCCGGAATCTCGCTCTAATAGGCATGGGCTGCGATTCAAGGCGGTACAGCTCAGCGACGCTGTTGAACAGGCGGGACAATCCACGGCGACAGAAGCAAGATCTGGATTGAAGAGCGAGTAGAATACTATTATGTGATACAAAAGGCTGGGCGTTACATGCAGTATTTAGAAGGAGAATAGTCGTACCACGGTTGTTGGACTGGAGAGAACAGCGCTGCAGACATTCCGCGGGTCTTAAAGGTCGCCAACTCCAGATTTTATACGAGCGGCGCTCGGTACCGTCACAGCTCAGGGGGCATCTACCGTCTCGATGTTGCCTAAACCTGGTGCGACGTCAAGTGCGTGGAAGCCTGCAATGAATGAGGTCCCTCCAAGTCGATCGGCGAGACACGACACCATACAGAGGCCATTGAACGATGCAATTCCTGTACACGCACCTCTCCCACCGTTCGTATGATCTGATCCATAGTACTTGTTCTCTCTGTGCTGAGTCGAGGTGACGCGAGTGAAAACCAGAACAGTGATACCATGTGCATTGCACACGCTGCGCCCAGAACATAACGAACCTGGAGAAATCATTGTGGTCTGCGATTACGGGTAGATGCACGCATTTACATGCTGCACCGAGCATACGGCTATATAGGCTTGTATAGGGGCAGTGGATATCGCTGTAACCATAGCTTGTTCCACAACCGACACCTATATGCGATAGAATGGTCAACGGAACGACACATCAGCGACCATCGAAGATGCGTACCATCGATGTGTTACGATCGAGAAGTCGTAACTCGATGAGAGGTCTCGACGCTCCGTGGTCATGCAGGGATCGGACAGTCACAGATAGATTTGGTGTCAGTACAACAATGTATGCAACGCAAAGCGATATTCAGCGCACGACCAGATTGAAACCAAGAACGAACAAGATCAACATCGTTTCGCCACTTCTTCGCCCCAGCTTCACGCGCCCCATTTCTTCCACTCGCTGCCCTCTGGCGGCTTGACCTCGACATTGCCCTTCCCGACCTCGTCCCAGTTCGTGCTGAGGGTCGTGCCGCCGCTCTCCTGGTAGCTTTTCAACATCGCGCGGCGCGTATCTTCGTCCGCGTCCGCATAGAGCTTCTGGAAGAAGTCGTTGACGGTGGCATCGCCGCCCGCGTTCGGGTCGTCGCTCGACGTGACGTCCTTCTCGGTGGAGAGGATCGTCTGCGTGATCGAGTCCCAGTTCTTCCGATTCTTGCGGGCGGCTTCGACGGGTGCGGTTGCGCTTGGAGTGAAGGTTGCTGGTGCGGCAGCAAGGGCTGTATCACAGAGCGTAGCTGAGCAAGACGAGTCGCGGAGAGAGGCAGTGGAACGGCGCACGATCTGGGCTATCGCCGACCAGAGATCCCCAGCGACCAGCCGCTACCTTGGCCAGTCGGATTTCGATCTTGACCTTCCCGACGGTGTAGTCGCTCTTGGAGGGGTCGATCTGGCCCTTGAGGGGCGCGAGCTGGAGCCTCTTGTCGCCGTTCTCGTAGGACAACTGCGGCGCCACAGCAGGGGTCAGCGGCCGGAACGTGCGGGACATGGGCTCGGGGCGCGGCGCGAACTCACGCTGCGGGGCTCGAACGAGACGGCGACCTGCGCGGGATCCGCGCCCTTGTCGAAGACGGAGATGGTGAGCCGTTCGTCGGTCTCGTAGAACTCGTGCCTTGGGCGTGCGGGTGAGTGCTGTGGATCGTCGGGCTCTGCGCGGGCGGGACTCCTTACCGGATCGACGCCATGACGGGCTGAAATACGGCGTTGGTCGATGGTCGCTCGTTGTGGGTGATTGTCTGGGAGACCAACGAGCTGCGCGGCGGTGTGTTGTGGTTTTGAGCAGTCCGGGTTCCGCCACTCGCGGACAGGCGCGCGGAATCTTCTGGAGAGGCCGCACGTGAGCAGGACGCGTCGCGTCTGTGACGGTGGGCGTGACGGGTGTGGGCGTGACGGACGCGTGGGCGAGCGTGACGGAGGGCGTGCCTGGGACATCCCGAGTGGCTGGATGCCCCGCAGACGTCATCGATTCAGATTCTGGGGCAGCGCGAGAAGCATCGCTGCCCTGGCACTGCCCATGCGACCCGTTCGCCGCACCAGCTGGCCCCCTCCAGCCACCGCCCGCAACTGCACCCCACCTATTTCTACGCCTGTGTCTCCCTGACCCCCTCTGCGTACTCTCCAGCTCCCAGAAACCATGTCTGAACCCGTTCCCAAGGCCGCTCTGTACTATTTCCCGACCTCCGTCTGGTGTGCTCCGCGTGAGTGGCGACGCGTCTCTTGCGTATCTCGCGCGCTGATAACACCCCGGCAGCATTGCTCGCCTTGTCTGTGCTATTTTTTGCGCGTTGAGGAACGTGGCTCATCGCTTGGTCATAGGGAAGAGAAAGGCTATGGTGCAGACGAGCTCGACTTGAAGCTCGTTGACATCTGTGCGTCCGCTGTCTCCGCGATCCTGCAACAATCACTTACGTTCACTGCAGCAAAGGGCGAGAACTATGCCCCTTCGTACTTGCGACTCAACCCGCAGGGTGAGTCCCTTGTGCTCTGCTTTATCCTTGGTTGACCACCATCCTTCGCCAGCTACGGTACCAACTCTGGTTGTCCCGCTGCAGAAGACACTCGCCGCGGACATGGAGAGCCGCTACAAGGCCATCCAAGACTCAAAGGTAACCCTACGCCCACGCCTCACCTTCTGCGCATGTTCCCTGACGCACCCCCCAGTCCATCGTCGAGTTCCTCGACAAGTCACGTTCCACGCAGTCCCGCACAAACACCACCTCCGACGCGCCCGCGCCCTCGCTCAGCCCCGCGACGATCGCCTTCTCCGCCGTCTTCACGAAGCTCATCGACCTGCTGCACTCGCCCGCGGCGGACCCGAACGCGCTCACGTACATGAACGCGCGCACGCCCGCCGAGCTGCGCGCGCTCGCCGCGTACGAGCGCCCCAAGTTCGCCGCGCGCCGCGCCGCGCTCGCGCAGCTCCTCGCGGACAACGAGGCCGCGAAGATCCGCGTGTCCGAGAAGACGCGCGCGTTCTGGGAGGTCAAGAAGGTCGCGACGGAGAAGTTCCTCGACGTGTACGACGAGGCGGACACGCCTGCGGAGAAGCTCGACGACAAGGCGCGCGAGCGCAGGACGCTGTTCTTGAGCGACGCGAGCGAGGCGTGGGCGCGCGTGCGCGACGTGCTCACCCAGCTCAACCAGGAGATCATTGGCCCGTACACTCTCGGTAAGCACGTCATTCTCCCGTCCTTCCCTCGTCTACATGGAGGACATGAGCACTCAATGACGTCTCTCCTCCCGCGTGACCGATAGGCGACCAGCTCTCCCTCGCGGACCTGCACCTCGCCGCATGGCTCGCGCGGCTCATCACCCTCGCAGGCGGGACGCTCGCCGACGACGGCACGGTAGCGATCGGGAAGCTCGAGGCGCACGTCGGCGGGCCTGGCGGCGGGTTCGCGCTCGTGAAGGACTTCTCCGTCGCGGAGGCGCGGCGGCGCGCGGGCCTGACCGTGCAGGACCCCGAGTCGCGCGAACGCCAGAACAGGCTGGCGGCGTTCTGGGATGCGGTGAGGGAGAGGCAGAGCTTCAAGAATGTGTACAAGGATGGGCTGCATTGACGGTGGTGTGTTTGGGTAATTGGATGTACGGAAGGTAATGAGGACTCGGAACATATACGACTGTATACAACTGGTACCAATCCTAGCGTCATTTTACGGTGATTCTCGGAGTTTGTGGGTGAATCGACCGCTCAGGTACAGTGTGGAGGGTTTGGTCAGAAAGTACCACGCTACAACACACGCAGGTTAATGGTACGAGGACAGTCGATAAAATAAAGCAATTATGTCCGCCAGGTGACTTCAGAGTTGACTGAGCGTTTTTGAGGAGTTCACCCGAGGATTAGAAGGCGGTGTGGTCGAGGACGCATTTCGCACAATCGTCAGCTAGAGGGGTGGTGGATGTATAGGCTATGTTTGGCGAGAAGTCTGCGCCAGAGTGAGCCAAGAGCGAGCGGAACCTGAAGTTCTCAAGAGTGCAACGTTTCGACTTTCGACGGTGGCTTCGTAGTAAGCATAGTTGTTCATGCGTGCTATTCGTTGTAGCGCCGGGAACAGAAGTCATACTCGCAGTGACGATCGACTTGCTCACCGCATTTGCCTTTAAGGATCCGCAGTGTGCAAGGAGATATCATCCTTGCTCCATCGACCGACCCGCTCCGCAAGCGTACACATTCGCACGTACTGCGGAAATAGCCCGCAGGTGTGTAAGGCGTTGGTAATGCATGGCGAAGTCGATGCAGATTAGCCTGTGTGTGAGAAGGGAATATAAGCGAGAGGGGATCGAGAGAGGCCCGGCGGAGTGGGTCTGCGCTACGCTCAGCTGTGCAGCGGTTAGTGTGCTGTTCGATCCGACTGCGCGCGGGGTTAGTGACACGGTTCCGTCGTGGTTGTTGACGAGACTGGGCGCACGACGTACCATGCAGTGTAGTACGCCTGATGGTCGTCGGGAGCGCAGTATTCAGCGATTCGAGGCTGGCAGATCCGAGCAGGGACTCGGAGGCGCAGCGCCGGTCACAAATGGAGACGTTGTCTCAGCGTTGCCTGGCGTTGTATGTAGCATCGGTCGGCCAGCTGCAGCATGGCCCGAGTGTTGATGCAGATGGACCTGGAACAGAGGCAGTTTAGATATTTAATTGAGTGCACCGTGTGCGGATCAAGGCGGTGGTGGGCTTTGTATGATCGTCGATTGCACGGTACGCCGTGCAAGGAACAGGCCCTCGAGGCTGGTCACGCTGGCCTCGAGGAGCGCGATAGGTACGACGGAGCCGTTGAGGTTGACATGCAAATTCCGAGAAAGCTTGCGGCCGACGTTGCGACGTTCCTGACACGATGAGGCAGTGATGGCTGGGCAGGTCGACAGCGGGCGGACATGCTGCACAGTATTTTTTGGTATGTTAGTAGAGTGCTACGTGGAGGCGGCATGGAACGAATAAGCGGACATAAATGCAGGGCAGTAAAGGAGAATTGGGGAGAGAGCGGTGCGCGGAGGAATGGCGGGAGAAGGGAATTTGCGGGCGGTGGCTGCGGAGAGACATAAGGAAGGGCAGCCATCGGGGCGAAGGCAGACGGCTGAACGGGCCCGCAGAGCGACGACGGCCAAGCGACGGCGCATCTCCCTCTCTCTCCTCCTCCTACATACCTCTCCGCTGCACGGCTGCCCCGACGTCCAGCGTGCACACTGCAGCGCTCGGCTTCCTGGGGCGTCCGCGTCCCCTGCAGTATAATACCCCTTCCGCTTCGCCCACTGCCCTTTGACGACAGCATCATACACCCCAGTTACTCTCGCACCACGCTCCTTCTCAGTGCTGGCCATGTCCTTCCCCTTCGGCCCCCTCGGCGGCTCCTCCACACGCCCCCGCATCCAGCTCGAGCACGTCCCGTCCACCCCGCCCCCGCTCGACGAGTATGACGAAAATGCCTCGGAGGACTGCGACCAGGACGCCCGCTCGCCTCTCTCCAGCTCCCACCTCCACCCCAACCACCTCTCCGCCCGCAGCCCCTACCCCGCCTCCGCCCCGCCCTCTCCGGACCTCTCAGCGCAGTCTGCCCACCGCCCCTCCAGCCGCTCGCTGCTCTACTCCCAGGGCGGTAGCTATGGCGGTGGATACCCTCATTCGCCCTATTCCACAGCATCGAACACGCCCCTGCCCTCGCGCACGCCGTCCCCCGTTCCCCTGTACTTCTCGGGCGCGTCGTCCTGCAGCTCCGAGAGCGATAGCGACCTTGACGACGGGCCATATTCTCGTAGTTCGGTAAGCAGCAGCTCGCGTCAGTCCAGCTGGCGAGAAGAGCAGCGCCGATGGTGGATCATGGGTGCGGTACGGAGGCGTCGTCGGCGAGAGCGGATGGGAGGGTGGAGGGCAATGAAACGAGGGCTCCGGTTGCTCATACGACATCCATTCTTTCCCAAGACGCCTGTTACCATTGTATGTCCTCCACACCCTCGCAACTGCAACGTGCCCACTGACTGACCACATGCGCAGCTACTCACCCTCGTTCTGCTCACCATCTTCGGCGTCTCCCTCACCTTCCTCATCATCTACATACTCAACCCCGACAAGGAGCCGCTTCCCTGGCGCGGGTACTGCACCATCCCGCAGCTATCCACAAGCCCACCATCACTAACGCTCCCGACGACGGCGCAGTTCCCGCACCCGCTGCCGGAGAACTTCACGCTTCCGACGTTCCCGCCCGCAGATTTCGACGACCTCTCGCCTGCGGGCGTGTTCGTGGGCGTCTTCTCAATGGACAATGCGGTGGAGCGAAGGATGCTCATCCGGTCCTCATGGGCGAACCATCAGCGCAGTCGAGATGGTGCAGGTGAGGGAGATGGTGGCGTCGGTACTTCACGGACAATCGTGCGTTTCATTCTGGGCGAGCCGCGGAACGAGTGGAAGCGGCGAATACGGCTAGAGATGGACAGTGCGTACTCCGAGAAACTCCACTGACTGCAGGCGCTCATCTACGGTTGCAGTGTACAACGATATGATCATCTTGCCGATATCGGAGAACATGAACAATGGCAAGACGTACGAGTACTTCCACTGGGCCGCGCGAAATGCATGGGTACCTCCACTGTACCACGACAACTTCGCGCACTTCCCCGAGGGCCTCTCGTACACGAACGCGACTGCGTGGTTCGCCACCATCCCCGCGACCCACGACCCGCTCGCCGCCCGTCAGGACTACGCGAGCGGGAACCCGATGAAGTGGGTCCGCCCAGACTACGTGGTGAAGACAGACGACGACTCGTTCGTCATGCTTGCGGAGCTGGAGGCGAGGTTGCGGGTAGAGCTGCACCGCGATCCACAAGAGGTGAGGTTGCAGAACGGCGCGGTCACGAACGAGTCGTTCGCGTCCGGCAACGGCTCCTCGTCTCGCCCCGCTGCCGGCTCTTCTGGTTCCGACTCGCGACTAGGCTCCTCTGGTACCTCCGCCTCCAAAGCGATGCACGCACTCGTCACGCCCACCTCGACCTACGCCCCGCTGCCGCCGTCATCTTCTGCGCCCGCGCCCGTGCCCCCATCGCCCGCCGACGCGGACCCGCTCATCTTCTGGGGCTATCTCGTGAAGAACCGGTTCATGGCGGGCGAGCTGTACGCGCTGTCGTGGGCGCTCGTGGACTGGATCGCGAGCGACGCGCAGGTCGCGGAGATGCGCAAGGGCGCAGAGGACAAGCAGACGAGCAAGTGGATGCGCCTCCACCCGCGCGCGGACGAGGTCCGGTGGGTGAGCGAGCGGTGCTGGATATACGACCACCCGAGGGCGGGCACGGTGTGAGTCGCTAATCATGGTTGTATCAGCACTGGCTGCAGTGAGCTAACGGGTTCTCGTGCAGGTACTCGCACGGCTTCTTGTTCCCCTCGGAGATGAAGCGCGTGCAGACGGAGGTCATGAAGGACATCGCGCGCGCGGTGCCCGAGGAGGTCGCCGCGCAGAAGGCGGGCTCGATCCTTTCGCCGTTCGGACCGAACGCGCCCGTGCCCCCGACGTGGTCGCGCTCGACGGTGTCCAAGTTCGGCCAGCGGTACAGCCCGCCGTTGCCGTACCTTGGCCAGCAGACGAGCATCGAGGCGCTTGTGGAGGGGAGCGAGATGTCCCAGCTGACTGAATGTGTGTCCCAGTCTTTCCTTTCAGCCGTTCCTTGCGTGGATGCTGACATGTCTGGTGTTTCTCGTAGCGAGCGGCCTGAACCCTTGGACAGTATGGCTACGACGCGAGGGCCGGAATACGCGTTACGACCACCAGCGCGTCGGGGGCACCGTGGTCGTGCACTTCATCAAGAAGAACATGTGGTTCCTCGAGACCGCCGCTGCGTTCCTCCTGGGCGACGACGTTACCGATGCGGAGCGCGGGTACCACTGGCACGACGGACAGTACGTCGGGCCCGCCGGCGAGCGCATGCAGAGCCAGACCTCGGCGACGCTGACGGACCAGCATCCGATCCAGACGAACAACATCCGGAAGCTGCACAACCGGAGACGATAGCCTTCGCTGGCTTTGTGGATGTTGTCCTTTCTCTGGTCTTTCGCTGTGACGCCGCCCCTCCTAGCTCTAGCGGCACCACCCGTGTGCATTGTAGGGACGCGACATGGTACTTGTATTGCGATGTGTACGTATGTACACATGTACGCGCACCCTCTCGGGCGGACTTTCCCGTACGTCGCTGTCGAGTATCGCTCCACCTACCCTCACCCTGCATTTCCTCTCGTAATCACACATGGATTCTCTCGCTTTGAATTTGAATAACTAAGTACTAAGCCGCAGTGTACCTTAGAAGGATACCTTCATTGTTCATACACACAACACGCTATTCCTTTGCTTTGACTCACTCTGCTTGCACTTGCGTTCTCCTTGGACGTTTCGATAAGGCTCGCTGGGTGGTCCACAGTGCGCGGTGTAGGAAGAGTACAATTGACCCATCAAGAATTGTGCTCTGGCAGTACCCAACCAGATAGAACCCTACGCATCTCTGAGCGAGCCGACTAAAACACAACTACAGCAATTACAGCAGGTCAGTCAATAAATCAGAATTGTCCGTGCGGGCGGTATCCATCCAACATCATCGCCGCGCTGGTCGTCTCATCCGGCTCCTTCAGAGGGACGGTAGACTTCAGTCGACCCGTGACCGCTCTCCGGATCGTCTTCTCCCACTGCTGGAACCACTCGCCCTCTCTGAGGCCGACGATCCTGGCGGTTCCCGTCCTAGTATAAACCACGCGCGAATCGCTTGCGGCTGTCCCGGGGAAGGGCGGCGGAGGCTCTGAGGAGGGGTCGACGAGCCGCCATGACTTGAGGGCGTACGCACCACCGCAGACCTCCCACCGCCCGCCGCCTCTGCGGCCGAACCGCTTGTAGAGATAGATGAAGGGGTAGATGAAGAGCAGGATGAGGACGAGCTTGATCCATTTGTTAGAGAGCATGCGGGAGAACTGGCTGTCGGGCCGCACGCAGATCTTGGAGTTAGAGGACTTGAACTCGACAGTGAGTTTGCCTGTGTAGTAGGTCGACTTGATGGCTGCTTCGATGGCTAGTTGCAGGTTGACGAGGTGCCAGCCGTAGACGACCTATGGCCCGGGGGCATTCAAGTGTTAGTTACGCGCGCCTCAACTGAATGTGAACACATACATTCTCGTATGTGAACTCCTTGAGCAACTTGTCACTAGCACAGTACTCGTCCGCCCACTGTCTCAACGTCTGCGACGACTTCAGCACCCTCGTATGCTGGACATCCGCGCCCGTATGACCAGGCCCGCTCTCACATTCCAGCGACGCCCATGGGGGGAGTCCCCTATCCCGCCGCTCTTGCCGTCTAGCTTTCCCCATCTTAACCTGGGTCCTAGACGCATGTCTACGCTCACGCTGCTGGACGATGCCCTCTAGGTCGCCCGCATGCGCGAACTCGCCCGTCTCGACTTCGCGGTACATCTTCCCCCTGTACGCGGGCTCCTCGTCCGGCACGCTCCAATGCACGGGGCCGGAGGATATGTGCTGCCCGATGTCGATGGGGAAGTCGAAGTCTGGGAGGGTTATGGGTGTACGCGGTTGAGGACTCGGCAGGAATACGTACCGACTATGTTCTCCGTGTAATGCTCATGGTGGGTGCGGTACTGTCCGTCGTTGACTCTTCGGGACACCATGCGTGTTCGCGACTCGGTGTGCACACCGCGCAAGTGCACGTAGAACGTCGGCGGTGTCTCCGCATGCGACAACAGGAAACGGTACAGTGCCTCACCTGCACAGGACGTCCGCTAGTCAATACCACGCTCCTCAGGCTACGCAGCACCTAAGTAGGGACTCACCGTCTTCGTTGAGATGTTTGTCATGCGAGATTATGCTGTCCCCAGACACGAAGAACTCAGCCTGGTACGGCGTAAACGGAGGGGGCTCCTCGCCCCCTGGAGGCACAAAGACGTCTGAGTCCGCAAGGTTGCCATTGTAGTAGCTGTAGGGGTTCTTGACCGCCGTGCTTGGCCCTGCTCCCGCCGCCAGACTCTCCTGGAAGCTGGGTGGCGGAGCCTCCTCGGGCACTTGCACATGAGAGGACGAGCCAATGAGCGGCTCAGTGGCTGGGTCCGCCTTCTTCTTGTCGTCGTCCGGGATGATCATGAGCTTGTGTGTTCAGCGGGATCAGGTTGCAGACGGCGGTGACCGTATGTCAACAGTCAGATAGTAAGGGTCGGCTTGTAACTTATCAAGCACGGTCGCCGGCGCTGGCCTGTCTCACTGCCATCAGTGTCTGCGCTCAACTTCAGCCGCAGTAGCAGCGAATATAACTGTAGTACTTGCATCCCGACGTCGACTGCACCGGCCGGCATCGCTTTTGCGCAGACCGCAGCGAGCCTGCACAATGTGAGCAAACGACGTCAATGTACTAAGTATGCATTCCAGCAGAGCTTTAGATACGCTACAACGCGGGTGCGAGAAGAGTCCGGCCGGAAAGCTAATGGCTACGTATACGGAATCTGTCTAGGTACTGTCCATGGATCGTCAACAAATCGTACGCATGCGTAGTAACTCAACACCCGACACCGTTCGCGAGACAGAGCACATGTCCGAGCTCGCGCACGGTGCGGCCAAAGCAAAATGATAGACGTGAAGAAAACGAAGGAGGTCCGCACAGGAAGTCCTTGAGTAGCTATGCAACAAGAATGTTTTGCGCTCATTCTCGGCGTGTCGTTTCGCGCGAAAGGTTTGCACCGTCAGGATTCCGCACCTATGGAGAGTAGAAACAACACATCAGCAATGTCCAAACATACAGATACCCGAACGCACCTCAAGAGCAGGTTTAGACGTCCTCGGGTCTTCAATCGGAGCTTCCTCCGCCATAGAATAAACCGACGACGTCGTCGAGTCCCTCACACCCGCGCCCGGCTCCGGCGCCTCCTCACTCGCCGCGCGACTCGCATCCGCCAGCCTCTTCGGGTTCCTCGGCGGCGGCGCGAGCAGGTCGCCCGACGAGCCCTCGTTCAACGCGGGGGTCGTCGGCTCGCTCCGCCCGCGGTCGCGGGTGTAGCCCAGCAGGAGGTCGTGGCTGCTCGCGCTGCCCTGTGTGCGGTGGCCGAACCCGGAGCTGCTGTCGCTGCGCGAGCTGTAGCTGTGGCCATGCCCAGGGTGCGCGGCGGTAAATGCTCCCGGCGGCGGGCTGCTCGTGCGCGCGGGCGCGTACCCATCTCGGCGCGGGAAGCCTAGGGTCGCTGGGGGTGGCGGGTGGATCGTGCCATAGGCTGCATATGGGTCGAAGTCGGTTGCCCGTACGTCTGTGGGCTCGGGTCCGGCGGCAGGGTCGTCCATGTAGGCTGAAGGAGGCCGGCCCGTCGTCAGAGGCAAGGACGACGTCGTGTCGGCGAACGGATTCGAAGCGGATGCAGGCCGCGAATTGCGTTGCGACATATTCGCGGCGCCTTCCATGTCGCCATCCAGCGGGCGGCGGTTGAGGCCAGCTGCTGCGAGGGCCGAGGCGACTGTTGTGTCGTGCTCTAGTCTGCGAGTGCGGCGACGTCGGCGAATACAGAAGAACAAGAAAAGCAAGATCGACGCGGCGGCCAGACCGACGATCAGGAAGACACCGGCAACGGCACCCTTGTTATTGAAGAACCTGGGGTAAACAAGTCAGCTTATATGTTTCTCTGCTATGTCAGGATGGCCTACTGTGAGCTGCTACCCTGACTGCTGTCCCCCTGCGTAAGCGGAGTCGGATTTGCAACGACGACAGTCACATAGCTCGCCCCATTGCTACCGCTAACCATGGAGGTCTCGGTGACAAACGGCGGAGCGGTTGTTACCGTCCTCCCGACACTATTCGTCGTGGTTACATATATCGTCGACCTAGCTGTAGTACTAAAGAGAGCGGCTAAAATCAGCCTCAACACTCATGCAGTTGATTTCATACGCACGCTGCGGTGACCGTCTGACTACTCGAGCTAGGACCCCCACTCGATGGCGACTGAGAGGAAGTGCTTGTGCTTGTGACCGTCTCCGTGACAGAGCTGTCCGAGCTAGTGACCGTCTGAGTTGTCGTATCCGTAGACGAGGAACTCGAGGACGGATTGGTGCTAGACGAACTGGACGTCGACGTATCCTGACTAGACGAAGTAGTGGTAGTGATCTGCGAAGAGGAAGTGTCCCGGTCACTGGTTGTAGTGCTGGTCGACTGCTCGCTACTTGAGGAGGAACTACTGCTTTCCTGGCTAGTTGACGAGCTCGCGGACGTAGTCTGCGAGGTGGAAGATGTCGACGACTGCGTCACCGCCGAAGACGGCGAGCTTGTCGTCGCGCGACTAGCCCTAATGACAAGATCATGTATAAGCCTCACGCAAGGATGTACAAGATGAAACTGACGCTGAAGCGACAGAAGACATGGCAGAGGAGGACCCGGGATTGGATTCCGAGGCGGTGGCTGCGCTAAGGACAGACGAACCCCACTATCACTGCGACTGCGGCAGGACAGGCATCATCAATGGAACACTTACGAGGTAGTAGCAGATGCCGATGAGCTCATAGACGAGTCGGTGGCCGATCTTGCCGAGTTTGACGTCGACGTTGCGGCGGTGGTGGACGCTTGCGTGGAGGAACGCGGCGAGGACTGCGCGGCAGAGGACGTGGGAGTGCTGGCCGACAACCCAGCAGAGGACATAGAACGGGAGCTAACAAAAGAAGTAGTCGAGTCCGTGAGAGTTTGCGAGGACGTTGATGTGGGTGATAGCGTGTCCGAGCTCGTAAGGGAAGCCGAGGAGGAGGTCGCGGTCGCGGACGGGGAGGTCGTTGGAGCAGTATCAGAGCCTGACGCTGATGAACCTGGGCAAAATGAAAGGAGGGCAATTCAGTATGCCGGACTGCAGAGCGGCCACTAGACGGACGGAAAATGGCTAGATTATGCGCGTGCGCGGGCCGTGCCACTGACAAGAGCCCCTGGAGGGAGTAAGAGGTCAGAAGGACGCGCGGCCGAGTAGAGGATGACTACAACTCACGGAAGGGTTTTCGTCCTGGGCTAGGAGGTCAAGGCTGGACGAGACAAACCGGGGCGACACGAGGCGAAATGCGGCGACGGCCAGGGCGACCCGGGCGATGAAATCATAGTGGGGACGGGGTGCTCACCTGTGATGGAGGAACTAACACTGGATGTCTGTCTTCTGTCGTGAATAAGGACATGAGCCATGGCCTAGAGAGGCGACATGGAGGAGAGGAAGGAGGGGGACATGGGGGAAATAATAACGGGCCCGATAGCTGGCGCACAGCGTGTCTGCCAGAGTTATCGACGCCTCCGCTCTTTCTCGCGCCCTACCATGCGGGCGCCACACCTTCGGTCCGCGACGCGTCCGTGCCCATCTCAACGGCGCGTCTCCTCATTTCCGTCCTGCTCATCCTCTCCCTGCCGTGCTCTGCAGCCCATTTTCGAGTCTCGGACGTGTACAACGCTCTTCGGCTGCACAAAGCAGAGAACTGATGTCTCCGTGCGTTGGTGGCAGCGCCTCAGCCGTGCGTGACTGTGCCGGCAACGTGCTGCCTCTGAGTCTATATACCGGCGACCTGGAACGTTCCTGGCGCGACTTCGAACTTCATTGCATCTGCTTCGTTGCCCGCTGCGTAGCCTGATATCTCCGTCCTTCCGAAGCACTGCCCGCGCTACGGTGATAAGTATCCTGCTGCGCATAGCAGCCTCAGTGCTGCATCGAGTTGCTCCTGCACCTCTCTTCCTACTTACCAACTCGTTATATTCCTCCATGACATCGGCAATGACGAGGACGAGGAGATACAGTGCCTTCTCACACCCGTTGAGCTACTATGCAGCGCGCACGGGCGACCATCTCGAAGTCGAGGCTCGAAATTCCCATAGCGCGTACGTACCTATGACGTTAACGCTCCATCGCTGACCGCAGTAGAAAATCCACTAGTGTCCATTGCTAAGCTCATACAAATGGTGAGATACATCCGGAGATTAGGAAAGAATAATTATAGGCAAAGAGACGAGTCTGTATACCTAACGGGCAGTCTAGTAGCATGCGAGATGAGGAAGTTGGCGCGGCGTCGTAGTCGGTCGTGGCGAGGCGAGAGCGATGCGTCAGAATCGTGAGATGTAGAACAATATACTGTCAAGGGGCATCAGCGATCCGCGCATCGGAAATACCAGGCCACTGACATATACGTCGTCCAGATGCCCAATAAGCCAGGAGTCATTCATTACGTTGCAATGCGGCAGTGGGTCAGCAACACCTGCTGGTGATACCAGGAAGTCGAAGCTTGACGGTGCTCTTCCTTCGCGTGTGGCTGAGGCTGCCAAAGCTCAGCCGACCAGAGCTGTTCACCCTCCGCAGCGCACGGTCGCCGTAGCTGACACCGCTCCCGGCTTTGTCTGGGTCGAGTTGGCCCGATTCTATGGCGAGCAATATTGACCGCGCGCAAAGGAGGAATGGCGCCTCGACGTTATCTCCTGTCAACGAAGATGCCTCGAGGAAATGCACGTCTGACACTCTGGGTTAACGTTAGGCATTATGGCAAGGCGAGGCGCACGCACTATTCTCAGCCGCCCACCGACTCGCCTCTGCCCATTCTACTTCGCGTTCCTCTTCTCTATCTGACTTGTTGCCTACGAGAACAGTGACGAGGTGTGGGCTTGCCAGCGCGCGCGCATCCGCAAGCCATCTCGAGAGGTTCTGGAACGACGCGCGGCTACTCGTCGCGGTCAGTAACGGTCGCGTGCATAATCCTTCTGGCCACGACGTACCTCGTAATGTCGTAGACCAGTATAGCACCCGCTGCTCCTCGGTAGTAGCTTCGCGTAACAGATCTGCGTCACAAGAAGTTCCTCGATGTTCAGCTGGACGTCACGCGAGACGAGCTGTGCAAGCCTGACCTAAACCTCTCCTGCCCTGCCGTGTCCCACAACTGGTCATATGGTCAAACGAAGATCCACAGAGATACGGGGATGGCACATCCGTACCTGCAGCTTGATGCGCTTCTCGCCCAGCCGAATCGTCCGGCTCGAGAACTCCACGCCAATGGTATGTTGCGAGTGGTCCTTGACTTGCAACGCGGTTGATGTCAGTATCCACACGGCGATCCAACAGGCAAAGACGCAGCACGTACATGTATTGTGCACGAATTGGTGCAAGAGACATGACTTCCCCGTAGCGGCCTCGCCTTCGCCAAGTAGCGACAACCTCAGCTTTCGAGTAGAGCTGAGCCCAAGGGACAGACATACCGATAACGATGTACTTCATAAGAAAGTCTAGCACGGAATCTCCCTCAGCGACCGCTCATGCGACACAGCGACGTGCTAACCATAAGTTTCCATAAGCTCCGTGGCATCTCCATCGTAGCCGTCGAGCGACATCGCGGGGGAAGTGGTAGAGTAGCAGAGGTGGAGAGGAGGACGCGTGCGGTGAGATGGTCCGAACGACTTGTGGGCCGTGGCTCGGAGTCGGTTGGGCGCTTAGAGGAGGCGCGAAACACGTGCTGGACGCGTCGACCCGAACAACTCGTCTCCAACTTGCTCTCGACACACATCATCACTGCTCAAAGCCACCACATCCATCTCGCAAACTTCACTACTTCTTTAAACCGGTATACGTACACTTCTCGTATTCTACGCACTTTACCAGCCCTTCCAAGGCACCCACACGTCCTCGACGACCTCGCCCTTACTGTCCGCGTCCGAGTCCACCACATAGTACCATGGGTACGCCGCCAAAATCAAACACGCGTGCTGTCCAACGATCTCAATCATGTCTCCCACCTTCACCTTGTCCTCCTCCCGCTCTACCAGGCCAGTCTGCGTCAGCACGCCATGCTCCTGCGATAACCGGCCGAGACTCCACGGTTTTCCGAGCACCTCGCCGAAGCCAGGCTTGAGGCCAGTGTCCTTGCTCATGGCAATAGCGCCGGCGTCGCAGAGTGCTTCGTCGGTACCGTCCTTACCGCGTCCGGGATAATACGATACGACGGTTGAGACGACGCGTTGCGCCACGCGTCTCTGGTCGACAAGGCTGGTGTTTACCTGCTGCAAGTCGAGGAGCGGGTAGTTTCCTTCAGCCAGGTCAGAATTGTTCGCGAACAATTCTCACTGCTGTACGCACCTGCATGTATCTCGAGTATGCCGTTCAGGTGAGCCTTGATTTGTGCTCTGGCCTCTGCCGTCGCGACGTGTGCGGAAGGCGTGGACCCCACCGCAAGAACGAACGGCTTGGACGGGCCTGTCAGCTCTGGGTTGCTCTTTAGGAACTCAAGCGCAACTCCTGCTGCCGCGTTTACTGCATCAAGCTCCGTGGACAGATGGGACGATGCCTCAGACACGGACTTCGATCCGTAAGACTTCGACCCATGGGTGTAGAAGCCATGCACCGAGATAGCTGGCGAGGAGAAGATGGACTTCAGTAGCTCTTGGAAGACTGGAGTGTTGGCCTTCAAACCCGCTCGTCTATGTCGGCTTCGTGATCAACGGCAAGCACTGAAACGGGAGAGCGCGCACTTCGAACCACAGTCCACCTTCACGAAGACGGACCATCGCCGAGGTTGCGCTCGAGACTGCTCGAATGTCTCCAAGAACTTGATCTGCTCCGGATGGTCGATCAGCAGACGTACGATCGCGCCGAAGGGCGCTATCACATCCCACAGCGACGAGAGGTCCTCGACTTTGTTGAGGGCTACAGGGAGCCCATACAGAATCTGTCGTAGACGGTCAGCACGACATCATCTGTAGGTGCCGTGTACTCACGTCTTTGACAGTGCCATCAGCGACAAGCCCAGCCTGGACCACGCCATGGGCCTCCATCAAGGTGGACACGACGATCGCGTCAGTCTTGTCCGCGCTGCTAATCAATTGCATCCGTGTCCCCTCCGCTGTCTGGCCTACTTTAGTTACCGCAACGCCGAAGTCTAGTCCTGCTCGCTCTCACCTTGTGCGACTTGACATGTGCCCTGAATACATCGCCCCATTGCTTCGCGTTCTCGTGCATCAGCTCGCAGTTCCTCCTGAACACCGCGCGATCCACAACCAGGGCGGGCGTCCTAAGCGCATCGAGAGGGTTGCCCTTGTACGCTGCAACGAGCTTTTCTTTATCTGGGCCGCCGACCAGATCGAACGGTGTCGCTGTTTGGAGTACGTTTGCGCTCATGGCTGGGGTGGTACTCAGTGTGCGGTACGGGGGATGGGCGATAGCATCGAGGCAGATCGAGGCGCGCTGCTCGGCGAGCATCCGATATCGCGGTCACGTGGATGCCGTATACGCGTCTCCACGCTTGCGGCTCTCCGTCGAAATCCACCGCGCCTTCGCGTGCTCACGCGTGTCAATGCAGCCCGCTCCCGTGCTCTTTCTGATGTCAGCTCGCATGAGAGGGCAATGAGAGGGCAATACGACAGCTCTTCGCAGTCCCCTCACCTGGACCCGTCATGGCCGGTTTGGAACGCAAAGTTCATCAGCCCATTCACCCGGATGTGCTGCCCAAGCTCGACCCTGAGTTCGCCGCTTTCTGGAATGCTACTGATGCGTACAACACTCCGCTAGAGCTTCGTCCTTGGGATCCTGCATGCCGCCATGGACCCCACGTACTCGGCGGATCGGAGCCTCTACAGGTCGGCGAGGTGGAGGACATAGACCTTGGCAAATTCAACGTGCGGGTCTTTACGCCGGAGGGCACCGCCCCAGAGCAAGGGTGGCCCGTTTTCATCTACTTTCACGGAGGTGACACTTTTGCATGTTGCCCTTCCCTACTCATGCTAACGGCCCTGCGCAGGCGGTTGGACCTTGGGTAATATAACAACTAACAATGCCTTCGCAACTAACGTGTGCAAGCGTGAGGGCCGATGCTTATATCTGACAGCCGACGTAACGTCCTCACATAACACATCGCAGGTGCGAACTGTGTGGTTGTCTCCGTTAACTACCGTCTCGCTCCCGAGGACCCGTATCCTGCGGCTGTTGAGGACGCCGTAGAAGCGCTGCAATGGGTCTATCGTGAGGGTAAAGCTCGACTCAATGCAGATTTGTCGAGGCTTGCGGTTGGCGGATCATCCAGGTGCGTTCTCTCCCCGCCCCCCGCGCTACTTATCGTGCAGGCTGAGGTCCCATTACTTTGACGTCTGACAGCGGAAGCAACCTCGCCGCGATTCTTGCGCACAAGGCTGTTCAATTCGAGCCTCCCATTCCCCTTATATCCCAGCTGCTTGTCGTTCCGGTCATTGATAACACCGCATCACCCACGGGTGTTCCATACAAATCCTGGGCAGAGAATGCGAACACTGTCCAGCTGACACCTGCATTCATGCTGTGGTTCCGCGACAACTACCTTCCGAACGTGGCCGACCGTGCGGCATGGGAAAGCTCGCCTATTTATGCCCCGGAAGCCTCGTTCAGGAAGCTGCCGAAGGCGTGCGTCCAGGTGATGGAGCTTGATATTTTGCGCGACGAGGGAATTGCGTACGCGGAGAAGTTGAAGGATCATGGAGTTGAAGCTGAAGTCATACTTTACAAGACGGCTCCTCATCCGATCTTATCTATGGACGGTATGTTCTTCACCGGCCTCTGAAGCTCGCACTCCGGCTGATGAACGTCTGCAGGGTATGAAAGACAGTTCAACATTGGAAGACTTACTGATGTGTGCGCTTAGGGTCCTGGAACTCGGCCGGCGCTGTGTCGACGATGCTGTTCAGGCAGTAGCGCAAGCTTTCGGCACGATATGAAATAGCTGGCAACAGAGAACAACTGTCACCTGTAATTGCGTAATACGCGTGTTGAATCATGGCGCCACGAATATCACCTTCAGCCCACAATAGAAGCCCGCAGTGCCAACGAAGGCGGTACAGTTGATGTACGCACGGCGGACCAGTCGAAGCCAATACGATGCTCGACCTTGCAAACGTCCTGCGAGTATGTGAAACACGGAAAATTCAGCGTGTGCCATAGCCAGCCAGAAATCGCGGCTCATTGTCTGATATGATACTCACCATGATAGCTGCGCGCTGGATGATACACAACGTGTCGCAGTGTATAGTTTCGCGGACGACGCAGTGAGCACTGAGCAAGTCGCGCGACGCGACGCGACGTTCTGTCGGGATCACATGATGGACGCGTGCCGCGGCTCCCCGCGTCCTACTGCTTTGGTCTCTCACAAGTCTCTCACATATTGTCTGGCAAAGTTCACATTCAGGCTTCTCTACAGTATCGGGAACCTCGTGCTACTGCTCGCGAGCACTGGCATGTAACAGATATGAGGTGCTCCTACATGCGCTATCTCCACCTGGCACCGTATCACACTGCACCATGACTGAAGGCGAACGCAAGCTCTACCAGCCTGTTCACCCCGAAACTCTTGCCAAGCTTGACCCTGAGTTTGCGTCCTTTTGGACTGCTCATCATGCCCATGTTATCCCACTGGAACAACAATCTTGGAACCCTGCGTGCCGGAATGTCCATGTCATTGGTGCCTCGGAGCCCCCGAAGGTGGGCAAGATCGAGGACGTACAACTGGATAACTTCGATGTCCGTGTATTCACCCCGGAGGGAGACGCTCCAGAGAGAGGCTGGCCTGTGTTCGTCTATTTTCACGGAGGTAAGCAATGTCATCTCAGCCTCGAGACTATTTGATGACAAGTGAGGCGTGTTCAGGCGGTTGGACGCTAGGTACAATCGCAACTGGCAACGCATTCGCCGCAAATGCGTGCAAGCGTGCGTAATTGCTTGTCAGATGATTGGGGAGACGACTGACTCGGGCTTACACAGGTGCGAATTGCGTAGTGGTATCAGTGAACTATCGTCTTGCTCCTGAGAACCCATATCCCGCCGCCGTCGAAGATTCAGTCGAAGCGCTACACTGGGTGTATAAGCATGGCAAGTCTCGCCTGAACGCAGACGTAGCGAAGATAGCGGTCGGCGGCTCATCCAGGTACCGTCTTTTCTCTGTTTGGCTAGTTCCAGTCCGCTGATAGACGGCCAACTCTCCTTTAGTGGCGGTAACCTAGCAGCAGTGCTTGCTCTCGAGGCTGCTCAGGCGGAGCCTCCCATTCCGCTTGTTCTGCAACTACTGATTGTTCCAGTCATTGACAACACCGCGTCTCCCTCGGGTGTGCCCTTCGGGTCGTGGGCGGAGAACAAGAATACCGTGCAGTTGACGCCAGCGCGCATGCTCTGGTTCCGCGACCAATACCTGCCGAACCAGGCTGATCGCGCAGCTTGGAGGAGCTCGCCCATCTTTGCCCCTGATGAGGTGTTCTCGAGGTTGCCGAAGGCGTGCGTGATGGTTATGGAGCTCGATATCCTCAGGGACGAGGGCGTTGTGTACGCAGAGAAGATGAAGCGTGCTGGGGTCGAAGTAGAAGTGAAGTTGTACAAAGCTGCACCTCACCCGATCATCTCGTTGGATGGTGAGTTCCCTGCAACTGCCTCGTTCGGCTTGCCTTAACGTCTTGACATCAACCCTGACGTTGTTCGTCGAACAGGGTAAGTTCGTGCTCGTTGTCGCGACCGTCCAGCGACTGACTGATGTGGCTTTAGCGTCCTGCAAATCGGCAAACGTGCAGTCGCAGATGCCATCGAGGCACTGGCGCAGGCTTTCGGCACAGTGTAGAAGGTGTTATCCACCTGTCATGCAATGTATGGTTCGTAAGGTCAGCTGCTAGTGTTTCATGATGTATCTCATACAGTACACACCGATGGACGGTTGTATGATCTATCTCCGTATGTCATTCTCAGTTCGGGAAGTCACACTTCCCGCGACGGATCGCCAATCAGGATGATACCATACAACCATCATGCATACGATCTATGTGGCACGCGATTTCAACCTGACCTTTGACGGCTAGAATTTTGAATCCGGATGCAGCAACGGCGTCAACTCGGCGTACTACTAATTTCGGGGGCCTTTATCTACGCCGTACGTCGCGTAGCGAATATAGACCACTCGGACGCCGAGGGTCCACCTTGAGGCCGCGACGACAGTCAGCGTGGTCTTCTCCCGACTACGCAAGCATACCCTTAGAGCCCAGCGCGCTGTGCGACATCAATTCCTTTGTCAACGTTCGACAAGCGGGGCACGCTCAAGTAATGCTCTGTGCTCAGGTGCGTGACGCAGTCTGTATGCGTAGTAAGTTACCCTTGACGGTAGCTTCGAGTACTACTGTGCTCGCGACCACCGAGTCTAGACATGACACTGATGTCGCACTTAGGATATTTCGGTGGGCAAGTGGAGCCCGGTATGCCCGAGTCTGTGTGATCGGGCTCGGGAGCCGCGTCTCGACGTTTGACACAATCACACCACCGTTTGTGTAGGCTCTTGTGCTACCCAAAACCACGTCACTGTAGTCTGCAGTCATGGCCGATACACTCCCCTTCACTCCAATCGACGAGATCCCAAAGGTAAGCTCTACTAAGATAAATCATAGTCTATCGCGCGCTCCGGACTAACAATGTAACATGTGGGGTACGGGATCGTCGCTGATACGTGTCATATGCAGATTCACCGCGAGCTGGGCGAGGTCTTCCAAACGGGCAAAACGCGGTCCATAGCGTTCCGCAAACAACAGCTTCTCCAGCTCTGCTACCTCTTGCAGGATAACACCGAGCGCTTTCAAGAAGCGCTCTTCTCAGACCTGGGCCGGCCCCGAGAGGAGGCAGCTTAGTAGGTGTCAGGAGTATGATCAGTTGTTTTCCGCGTCCTCACGTCTCTGTGCAGTCTTGAACTTATTGGCACGCTGTTGGAGGTAAAGGACGCACACGACAAAGTCAACAAGTGGGCGAAGACCAAGAAGTCGCCCTTCCATTTTCTGTGGGGGACATTGTCACCGCAAACGAGGAAGGAACCGAAGGGTACCGTGCTCATCATCAGCCCGTTCAATTATCCGATATGGTTGACATTATGTCCGGTGGTGCGTCGACGACGTCCAAATTGTCCTAGCCTGACCCGAGCTTCTGATTCACTTGGTAGTCTTCAGCCATAGCAGCTGGTAATGTTGTCCTGCTCAAGCCATCGGAATTATCGCCTGCGACTGCTGCGCTCCTGACGGAGCTGATACCCAAGTACCTCGACCCCGACCTGGTTCGCGTAGTCAATGGTGGTGTTCCCGAGACTACGAAGGTATCGTGGTCTTGATTCAGAATGGCTACATACTTACTGTCTTAACGGCGCTATGTGTGTAGATCCTTGAGCTTCCGTTCGACCATAGTGAGTCTAGGCGAAGTGATGCTCAGCGCTTTATGCCTCATAATTTGGACAATACGGTGCAGTCTTGTATACAGGTGCGAAGCCCAAGACATTCGAAGAATCGTACTGAACGTCTCCCCTCTTCACAGGGAATAATCGCGTCGCGAAGATTGTTTCCGCCGCCGCCGCACAGCACCTTACGCCCGTAACTCTGGAGGTATGCTTCTAGCAAAAATCATACTGTGAGGTGACATTGCTCATTAGAACCACATCAGCTTGGAGGTAAACCATAAGGCGGTGGAAAATATCAATTATGCTAACGTTTGCTAGGGAAGAGTCCTTGCGTCATCGACCCGAAGTGTAACGCCAAAGTTGCGGCGAAGAGGATCATGTGGGGCAAGCTATTGAATTGCGGTCAGGTATACTTGGGCAGAACCGTAGCCGATATATGCACTGATGCGCGGTGGATATCAAGCTATGTCTCGCACCGGACTACATCCTTGTCCCAGAGTCCTTTCAAGACGAGTTCGTGGAGGCTCTCGTGAACGCGTACGTTAAGAATATGGTAGTGTTGACCCTTGATATCTGCTTATACTTCACCTAGATACCACGAATTGCATCCCACCGATCCCAAGACCTCGGGAATGGTTGGGAAGATTGTGAACGAACGTCATATGAAGCGCTTGAAACAACTGTTGAATGACACTAAAGGAGAGATAGTGTTCGGCGGAGAGGTGGACATGGCAGCCAAGTACATCGCGCCTACGTTGATCAGGGATGTAACGCGTGACGATGCGCTCATGAGCGAGTATGTTTTCGTGTGCAGTGTGCGAGGTCGGGGTGACCACGGTTGGCTCGGATGCTGAAAGGTTTTGACTCACAGGGAAATTTTCGGTCCATTGCTTCCTGTGGTGCCTGTCAAAGACGTCGAGGAAGCGATCGCTATCGTGAATAGCATGTGCGGGAGATACTTATGTTTTTGCTCGGTGTCATGGTTGCTCATCGACTATGTCAGGGATCATGCCCTCAATCTGTATATCTTCTCTGATGATCGTGCATTCAAGGACAAGGGTGAGTCCTGTACATAGTATGCCGCTTTCAAACTTTGCGATAGCTGATTGCATGGTTCGGAAGTACTGAATAGGACGAGGAGTGGTACGGCATCGATGAACGAAGTCGTTCTCCATGTCATAGGTATGTTCGGATTCGTCAAGTGGCCACAAACGCCGGGCGGCGCACTGACAAGCTGCACCAGCGAATGACGCGCCGTTTGGAGGCGTAGGCGGCAGTGGTCGTGAGTAAGGACGCGGTACCCTTGTTTTCCGGTTTTGACTTGTCTGGCAGATGGATACACAACCGGTAAAGCGGGTTTTGACACGTTCACTCACTTCCGATGTACGGTCGACCACCCTGCTTGGTACGTCGACAGCTGCTGCCGCGCATCTGTCCCAGTCACACATTGATTCATCGTCATTCCTCAGGGTTGAACACACTCCCCTGTCATCACGATATACGCCGTACAACGTGAGTCTGCGTGATGCGCATCCTGAGGCTGTATATGACCTGCTGACTGATTCTGCACGATAGGCAAAGAAGATTGCGTGGCTGATCTCCATGATGCGGCCGCGTCTACCTCCGCGCGACGGACGTGGTAGTATCGTCAACAAGTTTACCTGTGCGCTCGCCGTTGGCTTAGTCGGCGTGCTTTGTGCGGCATTGACGCAGTCGATTCTCTAGGCGGACTCCTTTGACCCCGTTGATGGCGTCGTTGGACTATATCCATTGCGAGGGTAGTAAAGCGGGTTCGGTTCTATGTTTCATGACATCTCCTGTGATGGCTCCGGAGGGTACCTGCCATGTCGTGCCAAAGCCTACTTCTTCATCATACACATCACACCTGGGCGCCGCCTTGTGCACCGGGGATCATCGATCATCTCCGATGATGTTTGACACATGGTTTGCTGCGTCAGTCCTACGTCCCCAGCGAGGCGGTCGTCGTAAGGTTGATCAATGTACTACGGCGTGTCCTTGTTGTGTAAGTTCGTAAGTCGTGCAAGTGTACGATGCCCCAGAGCATCCTTTTCCCAGGGTCTCGAGCTACAAGACGAGTTCCTCTGCGCAATGGATACAAGCTCAGCCGACACCCTGAGACAGTGAGATGCTATTCGCACTGACCAGACACGAAACTCCTCGTCGGTTATTCTGACTTTGTCGACTGGCTCGAGGCCATAGGTACCCGTCGACTCGCCAGAGCTGCCCTCCACTTGAGAAACCGCAATCTCTACAGTCGTTTGGTGTTCTTGGCTGAATGCGAAGGACAATCGACCTCCACGTGTCGACAGTGTTGAATCTGCGCGCTTGACGAACGCGCGGTTGATCAGGTTCGTGAGGAGAGAGTTCGCATAGCTGAGTGACTATGGTAAGTGTTAGACTACAGGAGCAATGGATCAGCGACGTACACCTTGCTCAAGATCTCCGCACTGCATCGTGGTGTCAGATCGCAAGATGATGGCCAGTGTTCTGACACTTACGGCGCGAGGTAGAACAACTTGTCCTGTAAGTTGAACATTCGTCGTCAGCGGAGGCAAGCTGAACATCAGCCATTGCACTTACAGGACAAGCAAGACACAGGATGACATCACCCGCGGCTATGCTTGCTGTTGAACTCGGCGTTATGTTCATGGAGGGATAAGAGCTGTGTGCGAGACCTACCAGTCATTGTTCCCGTTTCGACAGTCATCCGGACAATTCTATCCAGTGTTCGGTCGGTACTGGTGTGCTGCCCCGCCTTTCTCTTCAAGAGCTGCGCAGTCTCATGTGTCAGTGGACAGATAAAATCCCTTTAGCTGTCCACTGCACGCACCAATATTGTCATGGACACAGCAATGAGCGTGTCCGCGAGTATACTGCTTAGCAGCCAAGTCTGCGATGATTGTTGAGACCGTGGAGTCGGTACGGATAGCGAGTACGCACAATCACTGGTCCCTTGAATTGTGAGAGTTTGAGCAGTGATGGATTATATATTTTCATCTGCGCATTGATCATGTCAAGGATTGTACGCTTACTGGTTTATCGCAAATCTCCCTACCTGAGCACCAAATGCGATCCCTCCCGCGGCTTGCGCTACAGCGAGCTGCGAAAAATATCATCACGACAACACCATGGACTCGCTAAATGCCTCCGACGTACAAACACTATGATTCCAGACAGTATGCGGGAGCCACTGAGGCGCAGAATGCGCCACGCATAGAAGACTTGTACCACAAGGGCAACGATTGCGCTCATGACGGGCACGCTGAACCACGAATTGCTGACCGATACTAGGGCGTCGAGATCACCGTAATTGTACACGTAGTTGTCGAATGAAGCGGCTGTTAGCAGCCCCGTCTGGACCCATTCGAAGATAAGTATGCCGTAGACTGAGGAGGTGAGCCACCACTATTCAAGAACGAGGTTTATGTCATTGTGACAGAAGACGTACCGAGACATTGCAGGGACAGCCTGTCGGTCGGATAATAGATATGGTACATGTCTAGTGCGTGAAGTCCGTCATGGTTCCTCATGTCCAACGCATAATCATTGTCACTTACACGTCTGGTTGGTCAATACCCCCAAGAGGCCCCAGTTCAACAAGAGACCCAACATCTGCTTGCAACCATGAGTAGGACAATCCGCGAGCATTTCGCGAAACTTGCCATCGGGCCGATCCTACGACGTAAACTCAGCATCCCTTCGAGAGGTAACGAATCACATGAGGGCGACGTACAACAACCTCGGCTTTTCGGGGGAGGCCATGGCGGCCAAGCCGAACCACTAGAAGGAACGTAAAGAGGTGGAATATATGGAATATATACAGTTGCTGTAAATCAACTATGAGGATGTGCTCGGGGTTGTTCACGAAGACGTCTGTACTCACGAAAGGCCGGGTTCACAAGCCCTGCTAAATCCAGGGAACCGGGGGATGACAGGTAGTTAACTGCGGAAGGACACACTGACAGTGAAAGGTATCGCGTCGCCGATGGAAACGCGGCCCTATATAGGTTCAATTTTATGTCCGGATCATTGTCATGCGGCAGATGCCAGAAGGCGGAGAAGCGTCAGATACCTTCATTGAGCCCGGCCACTTCAAGGGAATCGGAGAATGGAATAAGGCAGGTGGGTATCATTCCACAGTAAGTGATGGTCATAGATGCGATGGAACCGGCGTCGTGAGAACTCCAGCATGTGGGTTGTGGGCGGTTCCGTACTTAGTACGTGCTCCGAGCCCGTCCCGAGGCCGCTGGTCCAACTCGGCCAATGAGCTCTGCGCGGTCGATGCGGAGATGCGATGTTCTTTAAGTTGTGCACTTATGCATTGTCCGATCGGGTGGCACGAGAAGCATGCTGTTGACGCGAGCGATGAGGCTAACGCGCACACATGCTTGCATGGACGAGTCTGCTGAATGCTTGCACGCCTTCAATATCACCGTACCGCTGGTGAGGTCTTGAGCTTTGAGGGCTGTCGCTAAGCTTCAGCAGCATCCTGAGAAATATGCATTGTTGTGGGTGATGACACAAATAGACTGCTAACGCGGCCTGGTTTTTTCCGTCCATCTCACGCCACAACATTCCGTGTTCCTATACTATGCAATGGTCTCAGTCAATACTCGGAGCTGAATTTACATACCTCATTCAGGGAGATTAGTAGGGCGACTCGCGCAAAGACCCGTGAACTCTCTTGCAGCAAGTCTAGCAGATGTTATGGACTAGGATAGCCGTCCTCCTGCCACAATAAGACGGTCAGCATTCAGGCCTCACAAAACAGTTCTTTTGACAATCAACTTTGCTGCCGACACCGCTCAGTGCCACGCACCTCAAGGATCCAGGCGCAAACCTCAGTCAATACTAAATTGAACGCATTGCATTGCGCTCCGGATCCGTGGCACGAACTAATCAACTATGCCGGTCCCCGAATTAACGCTCTGCATGTTGCATGTGGATGAGGAGCGTTTGTTCCAAAGGAGGTAGAATGCTGGTGACCGTCCAAGAGAGTTACGAGCTTGAAGACTGACTCCGAGTCGGAGGAGCCTGAGGCAGCATGAGCATCGACTGAGACGCACTATGATAGTGGAGGCAAACAAAGGCAAACAGAACGCTGCCTAGCCGCGGACCGCGGTGACGTCCACTGCGCAACGAGTTCGCGGCTTCTCTCCTCCAGGTCTCTACACAACGCAGCTGTGTCTCAAGGGTAGAGACATACGTCGGATGTCTTCATCATGACATCCGCGCCAACATCGTTGCGCGACATATACGCAGCGCCATCGAATGCATGGTCGTTTGTACCAGCAAGTCTTCCCGGCTCTCCAGAAAACTCGACAGACATATATTCTCCCGGAACCTCATCCTCATCCTATGAATGGTCCACAAGAACCAACACCAATCCCCTCTTTGATCTCTCTGCGACTTACGCGTCGACCGAGGATGGTTTTGACGTGAAACTAGTCGCCCAGGGCCTCGTTACCGCGGCGTTGTCCAGCTATGCTAGCCAGGCCCTCACAATGCCATTCGAGGTCGGGAAGACCCTCTTGCAAGTGCAATGGGTACCCAGAGACGCAGAAGAAGCAGCGATGGGTGTGACCACAGACCTCGCGGACGAGGAAGAGGAAGTATGTACTCGCAGTCTTGTCGGGTCTCCAGTACCTGTCACTGATATGCAGCTGTACTGGCTCGTTCTAGCTCAGTGATACGTCAATTGATAACGAGACATACTTTGCGGACCCGAGTAAACTCGAGGCCGAGGGCGAGACTCTTCCCCCTCCTCGGGTTGCTGACGAGCGAGGTTACGTCGTGAGACAGTCCGTTCTGGACGAAGCAGCAACACCGGAATATGTCATGCCTCTCGGCTCAGCAGACGGTACATGGGGCATGATCAAGCAGCTTGGTCGTTTCCGTTCCGAGGGCTGGCTCTCGTTGTGGAAAGGTCTGCCACTCTCCTACAATAGCATGAGCTTACTCTGACGCATTTGCAGGGTTGCTAACGACGACCGTCCATGAGGCTCTGTACAACGGCCTACAACCGTCTTGTCACGCTATTCTCCAATATATCCTCTCGCCAATCTTCCCCTCCCTCTCTTCTGCATCGTCTTCGCTCCTCCTACCTGTTGCTTCACACACCCTTGCTGGTTTCATACTCTCCCCTCTCCAGCTTGTTCGAACCCGCTTGATCATTCAGTCCGCCAACCCCCGCTTCCGCACCTACTCCGGCCCGATTGACGCGCTCTCGCAGATCCTCGCCCACGAGGGCGGCCTGCATGGCGTCTACCTACACCCCCACCTGCTCATCCCCACCCTGCTCGAACACACCCTCCGCGGGCTCATCCCGCTCACCCTCCCCGCGCTCATTGCGTCTTACCTAGGGTTCGGCACGCACCTCTCGCCCGACATGCACCCGGTCCTGTGGAACATCTCCGAGCTCCTCGGTGACTTCGCGGGCTCGCTGATCATGCTGCCGATCGAAACCATCCGCAGACGGCTCCAGGCGCAGGTGCGCGGCACCGCAAAACCGCTCCGCGCGTGCGTGGAGGTACGTCCTGCGCCGTACAATGGCGTAGTGGACGCGCTGTGGCACATCATCACGGAGGAGCGCTCTGACCTCCCACTCCGAACACGCGCACGGAGAAAGAGCAAGGGCAAGGCGAAGGAGGGTGCAGTAGAAGAGGAAGAGAAGAGCAGCTGGCTGAGGAGCACGGGAATCGGCCAGTTGTATCGTGGCCTAGGTGTCCGCCTCGCGGTTGGTTTCACAGTATTCGTGCTTGCCTCGTTGAGTGACAAGGAATCTGATGGCGGGTGGGCGGAGCTGTGAGGCGTGGATCATGGGCTTTGGATGTATAGTCACAACCCATTCTCTAATAGTACATTGTCGCGACTAATGAGCATAATGACCCCCATGAATCGACTTCGTGATCGGCGCTATGTACTACAGGCTCGGTGCACAAATATATACGCATCTACTCGTGCTCCGTTTGCCTTCCGCACCGTGAAACGCTCCAGCGGTGGACGAGAGTGATCCATGGCATCCGAGGAGTAAGTAGACCTGCTCTGCGATCTGGCTCGTTCCTTCTAGCTGATGCGTCCCCACTGCCGTCATGCAATGCGTCGATTGGACGCCAAGGGTAGACGCTGAAGAGACCAGTGCATCGGACGTCTTCTGCATCTATCGAGACAGCGTTGATTGCTCAAGCTCTGCATCGAGTGTATGAAGCGGCAGGTGCATTGTGGTCGGTGAGTCGGCGACGGTTTGGAGGCCGCGTGCAGTGCCTGGGAGCAGCGACAGTGCTCTGCGACGTCAACAGCTCTTCACTGGGCGATACACCGAAGCGCCATGCGTCATCCCGCAGCGGTGGACTCTTTCCGCTGCATCTTCTCTGCTACTTTCCGAGCGAGCGAAGGGGGGACAGTGTCAAGTTGGACAGGAAGTTCCGAGGGATGACCCTGCCAGCTGTTAGCATGATCCGCGCGCTAACGCGCATTCAATGTAGACGCACATGGGCGAGGTGATAGCGCAGACCGCTGAGCTGCTTGTATTGGTTGCGGCACCCGGACTGTGGGCAAGAGTAGGTTTTCCGGGGCTTTGGTTGGCTCTCGTCGCCGTCGGAGACACCTGCCGATATCGACATTTCTACCTCGGCTGACCCAGTGTTGCCGGGCTGGCTTGACGCGAGGGCCTGTTGGAAATGGGCCTTGGATCTGACGGTGAGGAATCAGAAGGCGAACAGACAAATCGACGTGCGGACGTACACCTGCAGATGGTATTGCAGCCCGTTGATACTCTGACATGGTAGCCTGTTAGTGATCTGCTGAGCAATGTGGACCATCGAATAACCTTCCAGCTCTTTTTGCACCCCGTGAGGCCGCATCTGAATGGTGTACTCCCACCAAGGTCCTCGGCGTGGCGCGTCTTGTTATGGTCGCTGAGTTCCTTAGACGTCGCGTAGCACGCGCTGCTAGGTGACGCATGCTCCGGCCAACAGCAAGGATGTCCGCAAGCGTAGGCAAGTACGGAGGGGCTACAAGCACGATCAACACCTGCACGACGTCGGATAGCAAACAGAGAGTAGCTCACTCTGCTGTGGCGGGTAAGGTAGAGGATAGCCGAGTAGGCGGACTTGTACGATGGCGGCGCCGTGAAGGGGCCGCCATCTTGGCCTTCTCCTCCGGAGTACGGTAGTAGCTCGTTCTAGGTCTCGTCTCGTCCGGTTTCGGCGGGTCCACTGGCTCCTGACCTGCGGCATGAGGAGGGGATGGTGTCGAGCCGGCCGATGATGGGCCAGCAATTTCCTCAAGGGCAGTGGAGCTCGGATCTTTGTTGGACACTCCTTCCCCGGCACTTAGATCGACATTCGAAGGAATTTGACTAAACGGCTGTTCATTCGATGGCACATGCTCCGTTGAAGGCACAATCCTGTTGTTCTCGCCGGCATCCGCAACGTAGGACATGTCAAAGAAGGCATTTGACGGATTGTCAAGGGTCAGCGCAGATCTTTGGGGTTCTGACTGCATGGGAGCATCGAATGCCGCATCAAGGTCAGTAGGGAACTGAGTAGGGTCGTAGCTATACGGCGATTGATGCTGAGAATCAACGGCCGCATTGTCTTGCTGAGACAGCGGCATAGCCAGAGGACCAAACTGAAAGTCATGGTTCCCTTGAAAATGGTTTCTGTGGAGGCCGCCCGGCTCGGAGTGGAAGGGGCATGCACAGAAATGCTCCGCGCGATTGACTTGTGCGTCTGGAGTCGAGAATTGGGCCGGCATGGATGATGGGGGTACTAGCGAGGCCTCCCAGAATGGATCGACAGTCTGGGTCACCTCAGGCTGCCATTGAAGGGGTTGTTGTTCTTGAGCCTGTGCAGGGGCTGGGAGGCTTGTCGATGCGCCGACAGGCTCGGTTTGACGAGCACCAGCGGACTTCTTCCTTTCCATCATTCGCCACCTAGGGCACAATTGTGGTCAGATTCTATCCTGCTGCCGTTGCGACTCACCTATTACGACATGCCAGGCCACTTCTGTTCAGCTCTTGGCCTATGAGCCCCCACTTGCCACCCAGCCGCGTATATGCGTGCAGGAGCTTTCCGTCCTCCTCCGACGTCCAATCGTCGCGTTTCAAAGACGGGTCTAAGGCTTCGCGGTAGCGTTTCGAGCAAGCGTCGTCCGTGCGCCCAGCTATGTTGCGGGCGATCACGGCCCATTTCGTCCCATGTATCGCATATAGAGACAAGAGCAGTTGGTCCTCTTCTGCTGTCCACGCTGTCTTCTTCACATTCGGCGAGAGCGAGTGAAGCCAGCGCTACCACCAGTGTTCGATACTTCACAGCAACGGCATGAACTCGTGTGCGCACCTTCCTACAAGCCTTGTTCGTCCGACCAGGCACTGACAGTGCTACTGTCTTCCAGTTGTCGACCTCGCCGTGGATGGCGACGGCCTGCGTAAGCAGTCTATCTTCCTCTGCGGTCCATGGGTTGCCTACGCCTCTCTCTTGCATTAGCCTATGACCATAGAGTAGCAGACAACGTATGAAGTCGCTCGGTGGCTGGGCGAAGTGCTGTGGGAAGAATCAGCCGAACCAGCAGACGTTGATGTCAAATCACGTGGTATTGGGATCGACTCGACTGCTTTGCGAACCCGTTGCGAACTGACTCAGTGACTGATCGAGCGAGCGGTTCGGTTTTCCAGCCACAGTTACGCTTGCTTGCTGCAGCCATGTCTTCGCTCCTCCACGGCTACTCATCTGACGAAGACGATGGCCAGGTTACAACTCAGGACGCCTTTGGGCTGTCATCCCTGCCAACGGCGAAGAAGCCCAGGCTGGAGGAGCGCGAAACAAGCGACTCACGCACTGCAGTTTCGATTGTGCCGCAGGCTGCCCCCGATGTCCTAGCAGAGGTGCGTATGCGCACTACTCGGATTATAATACCAGTGCTGAACAGTTGTTTCGCTGTATAGGACCCAATTAAACAGACTTCGTTGATTACACGACCAACCGACACACAAATGAACGTGAACATCCCCTACAATGACATGACACTCCCCATCCAAGGCCCCGAGAACCCGTTCGGCGACCGCAACCGCTTCCTCACCCAAAACGCACTAGCGGGGCACGTAGAAGAGCAAGCCATGACCGAACACGCCTTCCGGCAACAACACCTCACCCATGCCATCCTCGGCTACTCTGCGAACCCATCCATAGACCCAAACGCGCCGGCGATCCTCGGCTCGCTAGAGCAGGCGCAAGTCAACAACTTCGCTACACTTGGCTCGTTAAAAGCGCCCAAGAAGGACAAGAAGGAGTTGAAGCGGAAGCGGAAACCAAAAGGCGACTTGGAGGTCATTGATGGGGACGGCGCGTATGAGGGGCCATGGGCGCGCTGGCAGGGCGACGAGCCGCAGGGGCTGCCGTTCGGCGACGAGGCCGCGGAGGAGGGAGAGGTGGAGGAGGAGGAGGAATCAGAGGAGGAAGTGGTACAGCTGAAGAAGGCAAAGCCAAAACGCGGCGCGCCGGGCCTGGAGTCGTCTGTGTTCCACGGCAAGTCGATGTACGACTACCAAGGTCGGACGTACATGCACCCGCCCATCGCGGAGGCGCCACAGCTGCAATCCGATGCGGGCGCGCAGGAGACGTTCATCCCGAAGACGTGCATTCACACCTGGACCGGTCACACGCAGGGCGTGTCGGTCGTACGGCTGTTCCCCGAAACGGGGCACTTGCTCCTCAGCGGGTCGATGGACACCAAGATCAAGGTTGGTCCTTTGGTAATGCGCTTTCAGTCCGCGCTCACATTCAGTCTTGTCAGTTGTGGGATGTGTACACCCACGGCAATTGTCTCCGCACCTTCCATGGTCACATGAAGGCCGTGAAGGATGTTACGTTCTCGAACGATGGCCGCAAATTCCTGTCCTGTGGATATGATAGGCAGATGAAGCTCTGGGATACGGAGACAGGGCAGTGCCTGAAGCGCTTCAGCAACGGCAAGATTCCTTACGTCGTTCGGTTCCATCCGGACGAAGACAAGCAGCACATATTCCTGGCGGGTATGTCGGACAAGAAGATTATTCAGGTATGTCCCGCCCGCTCACGTCCAGATTGAATTGTCCTGACTGTGCGTGTGTAGTATGACATGAATTCCGGCGAAATCACGCAGGAATACGACCAGCACCTCGGACCCGTCAACACGATTACCTTCGTCGACGAGAACCGGCGTTTTGTCACTACCTCCGACGACAAGACGATCCGGGCCTGGGACTTCGATATCCCCGTGGTCATCAAGTACATTGCTGAGCCGCACATGCACTCGATGCCAGCGGTCACGCTGCATCCCAGCAGTAAGTTCGATGTCCGCGCGTGCTCGCGCAATTTATCAACGCTTTCTTGACAGAGAAGTACTTTGCCGCGCAATCGCTGGACAACCAGGTTTTGGTGTACAGCACGGATAATTTCAGACAGGCGAGGAACAAGCGGTTTGCCGGGCACTCCGTCGCCGGGTACGCCTGCCAGGTCGGGTTCTCGCCGGATGGCAAGTGGATCAGCAGCGGCGACGGCGAGGGCAACGTCGTATTCTGGGAGTGGAAGACCGGCCGCATCAAGTCCCGGCTGAAGGCCCACTCGAAGGTGGTCATCGCGCACGAGTGGCTGCCACACGAGTCGGTGAGTGACAAAAGATATGGCTGTCAGAATGATGGCGCTGACCACGTCGATTGTGTAGTCGAAAGTCGTGACCGCATCTTGGGACGGGCTGATCAAGTTATGGGTAAGTCGGCGACGCCCCAATTGTACCTCCGCGGCGCTGATGTGGATGGTGTTCCTAGGACTGAGCCAGCCTCGGGTGGCGCGGTGTGAGGGCCGCTACCAGGGCGACTGCACCTATCCGTTGCCGAGTCGCGTATCTCTCCAGGCACTACTCGTAAGGTGTACCTTTCGTAGCGTATCCTCGTGTACGTTGCCCTTTCCGCCACGCCAGGGCCTAGCCCCTGTGGACCTGAGGCCCGAACGTTTGAACGCGCGACCGCTAGACACATATTCAATCGTTCTCGGGAAGGCTCTATAAAAGGTCCTGCGCACTGCCCTGAATTCGCTTTAGTCTCTCGTCTCGCAGGGACGATGCATGTGCAACTGTGCCTTCATGTGCCAATATTTTGCAAAATTGCCAGCATGGGTCGGACGGGAGTGAAGATGGCCGCTGTCCTGACTGACGGTTGTGGCAAGCACGTTGCGATTACTGGACCCATCAATAGGCGTGATCGTCAACGATCGACGTCGTTCGTTCTGGACTCACAGCTGCAGGTTCGGGAATGGAGGACACAAAAAATGTTTGCAGTCGTGTGAACCCGGGAATTACTGTGGGAGGGTGCAGCGTCTGCAGTCTGCCTCCGGCTGCCGGATCCTAATGGGCTATTGTGGCCAAGGTACGTCAGTCGGTCTGTGGACAGTCGCTGACGGCAGTCTACGCTAGTCTACGACAGACGAGTTTCTCCGGGTGCGACAGGCTCGATTGATTATTGTTGGCAGCACAATGACTGCGATGAACGATGGCGTGTGTGGACAGTAATGTTACTTCCCTATTATACACTGGCCCAGAAGGGTGTCCGGTGCGGATGACGCTGACGGAGAGCACACTGGGGAATGATGTCTTCCGTTCGCAGGAGGCGTTCCGAGGACGGCATTACCAGAGGATGCATCCGCCTGCCGTGCGGGTGCGAGTGTGCCTGTCCGAAGCAGGCTGGGCGCGCGTCGAGAATAGCAAGGGCCTGTGTATGGCTGCTGCGCCTGAGGAGACGCGCCGTGCCGAGGAGAGGACGCGCTCGGGGGAACGTGTGGGATGGGAAGCAGGAGTGCCTCTTCCGCGGGAGAGATGTCACTGAGAGTCTGACAGGCACATTCGTCGAGGACATGCAACAGATCGATGCAGAGGCCGGGCGGGTAGGCCGGGGCGGGCGGTGGATCCGGCGCTGGGCAGGACGGGCGGGCGACGGGAGTGGCGGGCCTGGCTCGGTGGCTGGCTGGGCGGAGCAGGGCAGAGGGGCAGGGGCGACGCTGCCCAGGGCCCCAGGCTCTGGCCTGCTCTGGCGGGCGTGTGCTTGGGCGTGTGCCTGGCTCCGTGGCGGGAGGGAGCCGGCCAATTGAATGCACAACGCGGCTCTCGGTGCCAGTCTGTCCCTACTCAGGCGCACGTGCCTCCGCTGCCCCTGGCCATGCTCCGTCATATCGTGCCCAATTATTACCGCCCTTCCCTTATAACGCCAGCCCGCCTCCGATAATGGCCCACTTCTCAGCCACCCACTCTCCCCGGGACTCTCGAGCAGCCGTTTCATCATGCGCGTAACCTGGTTGTCTCTGTTCTCCCTCGCGACTCTGCTTGCCGGCTTCGCGTCTGCAGCACCTGTTCGTGCCCGTCTCGCTTCCCATCTCCGGCGCGATCGACTAACCGTCTATTCTTTGTAGGTGGTGGTTTCACCTGTGGAGGAAGGTCTCGAGGCCCGCGAAGCGCTCGACGCAGTGAGTCCATCACTTCTCGGTCGTGTGTTCTTGTGGGTGACAGTGTGTCCCTCGTCTAGCGTCAAGGCGAGTGGGGAGGATCGAGCAGTTGGTAGATGCAGCCCATCGCGACGGTATCTTATTGGCCTCGTGCGTATTTCCATTCGACCCGTTGCCTGCGACGTTTCCTGAACCCCGTTCCCGCAGCTCGCTCGATCTCCTCTCTTGCGCTTCGTCGCGGCCCACCTTCCTTCTTCTTGGCTCTCCTCTGGCTTGTCGGTCTGTTGGCGGCGCACTGGGACGGGACGATGCCTTCACTTGCGACGCGTCCGCTCCTTCCTTGTTGTTGATTCTGAGTTATTCCGCTTGAAATTCTGCAATGTACCCCTAGTTGTACTTACTCTACTGTGCAACATCTACTGAGCCTGTTGTAGCCTTTGCGACTGTGCAGCCCCTGCGACGTGTCGTGTGTCCCGGTCGAGATCGCGAGTATATGAAAATAATGGTTCTCAGGCACCTGGAGCGTCGGCCGCCGAGGACATACCGACGTGTGATCGGTTCCCGATTGCCGGTGCGCTGTGGCCTAACCCAGATCGTTTCGACTCCCGCATGATCGCGATGCGCGAACTCACGCCCCAAATATAGAAATCTTGTTCAACCCGTTCCCGGCATCCCAGTCCCCTGTCAGTATCGATTTCTCACCCCTGCGGCGCTGTAGCGAGCCTCAAGGCCACTTTGACATTGTTCGTCGCTCGCTCTATCACGTAAGATAGAAAGCCCAATTCCTATCGCCGCATCTCCGTTGCATGCAGCGGGACATGCCCGACTGCCACAGCTTGGAGGTTCTCGAGTCCGCTACATATTAGACTTTGTTGCGGCCGTAGTTGCGGGTGTTGACAGCGCCCCGATCGGTCACGGAGTCTTGGACGAAATCAGCGCTTCCTGATTTGGATCCAGCGCTTAGCCGGGTTTAGGGCAGGTTTCTTCGCGTCACGCGTCTAATTTGCACTCTGTCGACGCGACGCGTCTCGACTACCTCCACCACCTCCACGCCTACCATCTCACCCGCCACCATGTCTATGCTCGACGAGCCCGTGCCCGAGGATGTCCTCATGCGCGACCGCGCGCGTGTCTTCGAGGAGTTCCTCGACTCGGACAGCGACCTCTACAACTACAAGGACGACATCGCGCGCATGCTCCGCCAGGAGCAGCGCCGGCTCATTGTGAACATCGACGACCTACGCGACTACCGACGCGACTTTGCGGACGGCCTGCTGAAGCAGCCGACGGACTACGTCCCTGCGTTCGACGAGGCCCTCTCGAACGTCGTCAGTCGCGTGCACGATGCAGAGAAGCACGACGTGTCTGGCAAGGAGTACCGTGTCGGCTTCAGCGGTTCGTTCGGTGACCATCATGTGTCTCCGCGGACCCTGCGCGCCTCGCAACTGGGAAAGATGATCTCGCTGGAGGGGATTGTAACCCGGTGCTCCCTGGTGAGGCCAAAGATGCTCAAGTCCGTGCACTACTGCCCAGAGACGCGTCTCTTCCACGCGCGCGAGTACCGAGATGCGACGACGTCGACGTCAAACCTGCCACCAACGTCCGCGGTTACACCACAGAAGGACGACGATGGGCATGATCTGCAGACGGAGTTCGGCCACTGCGTCTTCAGAGACCACCAAAGGATCAGCATACAGGAGATGCCGGAGCGCGCACCGGCGGGGCAGCTTCCGCGGAGTACAGATGTGACCCTGGATGATGACTTGGTCGACCGGTGCAAACCTGGAGACCGGATACAACTGGTCGGCGTGTACCGCAGTGTCGGAGGTGGTGCCACAGGCGCGTTCAAGTAGGTGCAAACATGGCCGCCCTCTTTTGCAAAATTTGACACTTGACTTGCAGGTCTATCATTCTCGCGAACAACATCAACCTCCTCTCATCCAAGATTGGCGGGGGCATCGCGCAGACACAACTTACCGACTCGGACATCCGCATGATCAACCAGCTCTCGAAGCGGTCCAACATCACCAAGCTCCTCTCGCAGTCGCTCGCGCCGTCCATCTACGGCCACGACCACATCAAGACCGCGATCCTGCTGCTCCTGCTCGCCGGCGCGGAGAAGAACCTCCCGAACGGGACGCACATCCGTGGCGACATCAACCTGCTCATGGTCGGCGACCCGTCCACGGCGAAGTCGCAGCTGCTGCGGTTCGTCCTCGGCACGGCGCCCCTCGCGATCGCGACCACGGGACGGGGCAGCTCGGGCGTCGGTCTCACGGCGGCGGTGACGACGGACAAGGAGACGGGCGAGCGCAGGCTGGAGGCGGGCGCGATGGTGTTGGCGGACCGCGGCGTGGTGTGCATCGACGAGTTTGACAAGATGTCGGATATCGACAGGGTTGCTATTCACGAAGTCATGGAACAGCAGACGGTGACGATCGCCAAGGCTGGGATCCACACTACCCTGAACGCACGCTGCAGTGTCGTGGCTGCTGCTAACCCCATCTACGGCCAAGTGAGCACTAGTCTCGCGCATCACTGGGTGTTGTCCTGACCGCCTCTGTGCTAGTACGATATCCACAAAGACCCGCACAAGAACATCGCCCTGCCCGACTCGCTCCTCTCGCGTTTCGATCTCCTCTTCGTCGTCACGGACGACGTCGACGAGAACCGCGACAGGCTCATCGCGGACCACGTCCTGCGGATGCACCGCTACCTTCCCCCGGGCGTCGAGGAGGGCACGCCCGTCGCGGACAACCTCAACCAGAATCTCTCCATCGACGGGCCCGCGGCAACGCAGGGCGACGCGGACGAGGGCGAGCCGAGCCCCTTCGAGAAGTACGACCCGCTCCTGCACATTGGCATTGGCGAGGTGATGTCGTCGACGCGCCGGCGGAAGCCGAAGAAGCAGGAGGTGCTGAGCATCGCGTTCGTGAAGAAGTATATACAGTATGCGAAGAGCAAACCGGCGCCGGTGTTGACGAAGGGCGCGGCGGACTGGATCGTGAATGTGTATGCTACGCTGCGGAATGAGGACCCAGAGGGCAACAAGAAGAAGGTAAGCCGCAGTGTCTGCGTTGGCTGCCGATCGTCGCTCACGTTGTGGTCTCTATCAGACATCGCCCCTCACGGCGCGTACCCTTGAGACCCTGATCCGTCTCGCGACCGCCCATGCAAAAGCACGTCTCTCAACGAAGGTCCAGGAGACAGACGCGATGGCCGCCGAGGAGCTCCTCCGCTTCGCGCTCTACAAAGAGGTGCTCAAGCGGAAGCGCAGGACGAAGCGTCGTCTCAACAACGGCAAGAGGAACAGACAGGGCAGCGCTGACTCGGATGAGAGCGAGGAAGAGAGCGACGATGAAGAGGATGCAGAGGACGCTCCGCAGTCGCCGCCGAGGATGGAGATGCCCGCGCAGGCGAAGGGCAAGGAGAAGGCTGTCCCTGAGGGCCAGCCTGCTGACCCAGTGTGGAGCGAGGGCAGCCAGGATGCGACGATGGTAAATCAGGTGCCAGCAGGGCCGACGGAGGACGGTCAACTCAGGCCTGAACGGTATGTCCACACCTGTCCTCGGGACCAACGAAACGGTGTGCTGACTTGGACTGCCAGGTTGAAGCTGTTCCGTTCGCGTGTGGCGAACCTTTTCGCGAACAAACTCCAGGACAGCGACCAGTTCTTCCTCACAGACCTTTTGCAGCTTGTCAACGAGGGTCTGCCGACGGACGCGCTTTTCGGTACCGCGGAGGCTACCATGGCGTGCGATGCGATGGGCGAGCAAAATGAGCTCATGCTCAGTGGTGACATCGTGTATAAGATATAATCTAGTTTCTTTCCGCTGGGTGTTCTGTTATGCTATGTTTTGCTTTCCTTAGTGTCATGTCTGTATCACTATTGTACTAGATACCTCACAGATATTCATGTCAATCATGACCACGCCTTACGTGCTCTCGTCGTTGGCCCGTATGGTTTGCAGGACTCCAAGGCGGCGTTCACGCAATGATCATGCGATCGCACTCTACTTACTGTAATAGCGAACACATTCACCTGCTGTCTGGTTGGCGGCACACAACCTCAGGCTTGCCCACTGATGTCGTGTCATGTATCTGAAAAGCACAGCGCGTACATTTCCGGGGTTGGTCGACGCAGTACTTGCTACCATATAGATCCCACACTGCCACAAGACACAACGTATGAGTACGCAGTAGGAAGGCCGATCTAAAGCCGCACAAGCTGTGCTACGTAGCAATGTGATGACGGGCTGCGACTATACATGCCAAGCTTCTGAAAAGACACATTGAGACGCGTATGGCGCGTCTACACACGACAAGGCGACGGCGGCCGAGTACAACTCGGCTCTAGAGACCAGCGTTGTTTGAGCGTTATCATGTCGCGTGACGCGTTCCGTACTGTTTGAACACGTGACCGCGTCTCGCCAGGCACAAACACTGTTTGAACTTGTAAACACGTCCCCTTTGCGTTTACTCAGCACACATCTCAATATGACGGAAGCCCCACACCTACTAGAGAGCCGTCAACGCGAGGTGGGCGACGACGCAGGGGATGGAGTTGGAATGACGGGACCGTGCCGCGGGCAAGGGACAATTATCTGCGCACCTCAGCTGGGACCCCGAGAGTAGCTAAGCCCGGGCCTGTTGGGCTGTGAGCTCGAGCATGTCCCTTGGACAATGCGCAGGTCCTTGTCCGCAGTGAGCCTGCGCCGCTGTGCACGAATGTGCAGTCCTTTGCCCCATATGCGGATCGTAGGTGAAGCACTGAAGGATGTAAATCTTCCTGCACAATCCCTGATCATGGTCCTAGGAGCCTTGCGGGAGTACGGGCGGCACTACTGAGCATGTCGGCCTGGACCAGGGGCAACACAAGTATCAGTGATGCCATTAGGTCGTGAGTACGCACAACAGTGGACAGGAACAGTTGGACAGTTGCGGTCCCTGCCACCTCTATGGTCATGATGGACTCGAGCCTGAGATTGCACTGTGCAAGTACCATGCCCAGTGTGGTCTTTCTCGTATGCATTCCGGTACCGACGCAGTGCCAGAGCAGTAGTCCCATGACAGGGTCCCGCAGAGTCCGGTGAATCTTGTGTCGCGGAACATACCGCAGCGATATGTAACTGGAGATGGGAGAGAGAGCGATGCTGATTTCTGCTGGCGTCTTCGCACTAGATGCGATGCATATCCACTGCAATTTCACAAACCTCCATGGAGCACGGCCTTAGCGAGACCGCTAGCAAACCGCTAGCACCTAGAAGCGTATGTCGTCGCTGTAGCCGTCCGGTTGCTCGCAGGAAGGGGCCTGTATGAAGGCGGACATGCAGAGTGCGGGGCCGTCGAGGGCGCGTGGTCAAGCGCAAGGACGGCCTCGCCAAAGCGGGCACTGCATGCGCTATTCTTGGGGCGGGCGGTGGCAGGGGGCAGGACAGGGACGTCATACGCGCGCGAGACCGCCCCTGTTTCGTTTCTTATTGAAGGTCTTCGCCAACCTCATTCCCGCCACGCTCCTTCTCTTGCATATACCCTAACATTCTATAGTTATCCCCACCGCCGTCGCCAACGATGCCCGGTGAGGTCTCTTCATCCCCCCAAGCCCAGGCCCAGGTCAATGGCATTGTCCAGGACGATGTCGCCAAGAACCGCGTAGCCGTACACACTTTCGACCCGAATGCATCACCCGAAGCGAAGGGTGCTGCCGCTGGTAAAGGCAAGGAGAAGCTGAAGCCTGACGGAGGGGACGAAGGAGCCGGTGAGAAAGGTGAGTCGCCCCACCCTTGCAGGTGGACCTTGTATGGGCATGGACAGCTGCATAGCGTGCCACCAAGCTGGTCGCGCGAACGTTCGCGGTGTACACCATCAAATGCTATGCAGGTCTTCAGGAAGGACACTCCGTTAGTGCTGTGGTGTTACACAGTACCCGTAACATCGCACCGCTCACCGTGCCTATAGTCCGGTGTTGCGTGGGTACGGTCGTGTCCCGAGCACAAGCATAGGGCATAGGTATTCTTGGAATGGTCGTCATGTCTCCCGGCATTAGATGTTCGTACACCATGCAACGTGATCAGCGATATATGCACGCATTGTAACACATCGTACTTGCCGCCGGCGCTGTCACCGTCGAAACAGCGCAGCATTGTTTCGGTGTGCAGGCAACTCGATGCGTGGTGGGCGGGGACACCGGAGATGTGGTGGCCTGCTCGGAAGCGTGCTTCTTCGGCAGCGTGTATGCTATATGTCTGAAGTGACCTCGACGTGTCATACAAAGGCCGCCTACCTCGTTCAGTCCTTCCTCCCAGCGCGTTTGTCCTATGTGTGACCAGCAGAAACGCTTACGGTTTGCTCTAGAAATCTCCGTCGACACTGGTACTTCCAACGTCGTACCCACCATCACTATCGAAGACATGTCCGATGAGCCAGGCTTTGAGGTGGAGCACTCCGGAGAGAATGCGGCTGCCGATCCAGAAGTTCCTGGAGCAATTCCGTCAGGACCTGCATCAGTTATCCCAGAATGGTACAAGGTCGGCTGGCGAGAAGTCGGTGGCATCGACGCCCAGCGCGTACTTGAAGGAGAGGAGAAGGACAAGTTTGTCTTGCAGGCCTTCATCAAGGAACAGTATTATGGTGAATGGTACCACAATGCGGCCATCATCGTTGTGGTAAGTTAGTGTCCAGAGCTCCTGTGCGCAAATGCTGATATTTTGCCCGCAGTCAGTGGTAGTAGCGCATTTCATGACGCGCTTCAACTTCGGCTGGGGCTGGCTCTTTGTCCTCCTCGCATTCTGCAACACCTACTATACGACGTCTATGACGCGTGTCAGGCGGCGGGCGCGGGACGACATCCAGCGCGAGCTCGTGAAGACACGGCTCGAGTCCGAGTTCGAGTCCGCGGACTGGATGAACAACTTCCTCGATCGCTTCTGGCTCATCTACGAGCCGGTGCTGTCACAGACTATCATCGCCTCCGTCGATCAAATCCTGAGCACGAATTGCCCGTCGTTCCTAGAGAGCCTCCGGATGAGCACCTTCACGCTCGGCACGAAGGCGCCGCGGATCGACAGGGTGAAGACGAGCACGCGGACGGCGGACGACGTAGTGCTCATGGACTGGGCTATCTCGTTCACGCCGAACGACGAGAGTGAGCTCACGAAGAAGCAGGCGGACGACAAGGTCAATCCGAAGATCGTTCTGGCCGTGCGGGTGGGCAAGGGCATCGCGAGCGCGACGATCCCGATTCTGCTGGAAAACATCGAGTTCACGGGCGTGCTTCGTGTGCGCATGAAGCTGATGACGACCTTCCCCCACGTGCAGCTTGTGGACCTGTCGTTCACGGAGAAGCCGCACTTTGATTGGGTGCTCAAGCCCATCGGAGGCGAGACCTTCGGTTTCGATATCGGATTTGTGAGTGCGACCCACACGGTTTCGCGGTTCTGAGGGTTGCTGAACGCGTCTTTAGATCCCTGGTTTGTCCTCGTTCATCCGCGACATGGTGCATGCCACCCTTGCCCCGATGATGTACGAACCGAACGTCTTCACGCTCAATCTCGAGCAACTCCTCTCTGGTGCACCACTCGACACCGCTGTTGGAGTGCTGCAGATCACTGTGCAGTCCGCACGCGGTCTGAAGGGGAACAAGATCGGCGGCGGCACGCCTGACCCGTATGTCAGCTTGAGCATCAACAACAGGTCAGAGCTTGCGAGGACGAAATACAAGCAGAACACGTACGTGCTCCTTAATCCCTTAACCACCCATGGATGTGTCACTAAGACTGGACGCAGTACCAATCCAACCTGGATGGAGTCGAAGTTCCTCCTCGTCAACAACCTCACGGAGTCGCTAATCCTTTCGGTCATGGACTACAACGATCACAGGAAGGACTCGGAGATTGGGAATGCAATGTTCGACTTGTCGAAGCTGCGTGAGGATGCGACGCTTGAGGGCCTCGAGACGCCTATCCTGAAGGATGGGAAGGAGAAGGGTAACATGCGCTTCGACGTGACCTTCTATCCTATCCTCAAGCCCGAGGTGGACTCCGGAGGAAAGGAGCTGCTGCCGATGGATACCAGTGAGTGTTACTTGCGCCGGACGGTGAAGACGCTTGCTCACGGTAGTCGCAGAGGTCGGCATCGTCCGCCTGACCCTCCACCAAGCGAAGGACCTCGATCATACGAAGTCCATGTCCGGCGAGCTGAACCCCTTCCTGCGCGTGTACACTGGCACGAACAACAAGCCCATCTTCACCACCAACAAGGTCAAGCATACGAACAATCCCGTCTGGGACGCGTCTACCGAGTTCTTGTGCACGGACCGCGGCTCGTCCGTCGTCACCGTCAAGGTCGTCGACGACCGCGACTTCCTCAAGGACCCTATTATCGGTTACTTGAGCGTGCGTCTGGAGGACTTGCTGAAGGCGGCACAGGACAAGGAGCGTGATTGGTGGCCGCTGAGCCACTGTAACAACGGACGTCTGCGTCTGAGTGCAGAGTGGAAGCCATTGAACATGCCTGGTAGCGTCCATGGTGTGGACCAATATGTGGCGCCGATTGGCGTAGTGAGACTCTGGCTGAAGAAGGCGACGGATGTAAAGTGGGTGTTACACGCAGAGCTCGTCTGTTTTGCGGATGCTTATCGAGAACCTGCAGGAACGTCGAGGCTGCGCTGGGAGGGAAGGTCTGTCCACGGACCACTGTATTATTAAACTCTGTCATTGACACCTGCTTCCTGCCTTTCAGAGTGACCCGTATGTGCGTGTTCAAATCAACAACATTACGCAAGGTCGTACGGAAGTAGTGAATAACAGTAAGACGCTCCCCTTCTAAGGCAACCTGCCGTCCTCTGACAACGCTACGAATAGACCTGAACCCTGAGTGGGACCAAATCATCTACATCCCGGGTAAGTCGCCGAAGCGCTGTGTGTTATAGTGCGTCCACACTGACGTGCATGGCGTTACAGTCCATTCACTGAAGGAGGTATGCATGGAAGCACCCCCATGTATGAGCGCTTAGCTCACTATTTCTGTAGACAATGATGCTGGAGGCCATGGACTATCAACATCTCACCAAGGTATCATCGCCACCCGATCAACTTCGTGTGTCCACTGACGTATGTCTCTCAACAGGACCGCTCGCTCGGGTACGTCGAGCTCAAACTGTCCGACCTCGCCAAACCCTCCGAGGGAGAGTTCCTATTTGCATCCACCGGCAAGAAGGTTGCCGAGGAGCCCATTATGTTGGACCACGGCTCGTACAAGGGCAAGCTGCACTATGAGGCCGAGTTCGTGCCTGCTATTCCTGTCAAGGGCATTGGCTTCGAGTCTGGCCAGAATGAGATCGAACGTGCGACCAACCGTACGAGCATGACCGAAACTGAGGGCGGCACCGTTGCTGACGATCGCTCGTCTACGTCTTCCCTGCGCCGTGAGCGTGCCACATCAAACGTTATCGAGGGCATCACGGTGTCGAGGCCACTGGATTCGAGCGAGAAGCTGGATCAGGAGGTCTCGAATGGAGCTGCGCCGGAGGCACCTGAAGAGCCGGCCACCAATGGCGACGTCCCCAAAGAGCACCGTCCCGAGGAGGAAGGATTGGAACTCTCGAAGGAGGAGCTACTCAATCACCGTGGGTACTCTTTGCCATTTCATGCTGGCGGTAATTTATCTTGACTATCCTGTCCAGAGTCCGGGGTTATTATCTTCAACGTCATCTCCGGGCAGCTGCACAAGAAGGCTCGTCTGGAGGTCCTGTTGGACGATGCATACTGGCCCGCTTTCAGTACTGTGCGTCCGCGCAGCCACAAGGCGCAATGGGAGTACATTGGCGAGGGCTTCGTCAAGGAGCTCGACTTCGGACGTGTGTGGTTGCGACTCAACGAAGCCGATGAAGGCGACAAGGACGATGTTGTCGCGGAATGGAAGGGCGATGCTAAGCCCTTCTTGGAGCGTGCGATGGTGGGTCTTCACAATGAGAAATATGATGCTTGTGACTGACCTTCTCGTTCTCGTGTAGGATGGCCCAACTTCGTTCGAACTTCTCCATTCTGGCGACGAGGACAAGAAGTCAGTCGTCCAGCTTGAAGCGCGGTACCTCCCCGTTCCAGTCAAGTTGGAGCCGAGGGAAAGCGTGAACAGTAGGTCATCCAGCCGTACTTTTGATGATTTCCTGACCCTGTGTTAGACCAAGGAATGCTCCGCGTCGATCTTATTGATGCACACGACCTTCTTGCCGTGGATAGAGGAGGTATGCTCACGACTTCTATGTCCATGAGGGTCAGGGAACTCACGAGCACCACAGGGAAATCTGATCCGTTCGCGGTGTTCCAACTCAATGGACACAAGGTCTACAAGTCCCAAACCAAGAAGAAGACACTCAACCCCGAGTGGGGCGAGAATTTCGTTGTGCAGGTGGTACGTCGGCGAGCCATCAGATCACCTCGATAACATCTCACCCGTCGACAGCCATCCCGCGTCTCAGCAGACTTCTTTCTCGAAGTATACGACTGGGATCAACTCGGAAAGGCGGATATCCTTGGGTCCGGCAAGATCGACCTCACAGACATCGAGCCATTCGAGTCGATTGAACGGGTCATCCAACTGTCGTTGCCCAAGCATGGCCAGAAGGGCTCCGTCAGGATACGTCTACTCTTCCAGCCCGAGATCATTGTCAAGACCCGCAAGAACACTTCGACGTTCTCCGCAGCTGGGCGTGCCATGACTCAGATCGGGCACATGCCCACTGGTGTCGTTCTGGGCGCTGGTAAGGGTGTCGCTCACGTCGGGTCTGACATCAAGGGCATTTTCAAGAGCAAGGATCACGCGAAGGCTCAGTCGTACGAGGTGGACAGTGATCGAGGGTCAGTGGTGGACTTGCCAGCTGGTCAGGCGTCGCAGCCGATCAATGGGCAGGGCTCCATTACGGCGGCGGCATTCCCTGCGAGCCCCAGTCTCAATGGTGACAGCTCACTGAACGGACATGCGTCGGACCGCGGGACGCTGCGCGTCGTTGTGATGGATGCAAAGGACATGTCTATGAGTGATGTCAAGCCATATGTCGTCTTGCGTGTTGGCGATAAGGAGCACAAGACGAAGCATTCCCACAAGACGGCGACGCCCGAGTGGTACGCTGCTCAAGTCACCGCCCTTGATGAACTTCGCTGACACAATGTTTTAGGAACGAATCATTCACGTTCTCCGCTGCCCCTGCAACACAGCCCAAAATGCACGCTTGGATATACGACCACAAGACACTCGGCAAGGACAAGTTGCTCGGTTCTGCTGAGATCGACGTATGTACTGAACATCTTTACAGCCAACGTAGCTCACTCTCTCTTTAGCTCTGGCGCCACCTACAGACGGGCTCTGGGGTGTCATCTGCGGAAGTCTCTGCGGAGTTGCGTGAAGGACAGGGCGTCCTGCGGATGCGTCTGGAGTTTGACCCAGAAGGTAGCAGCCCTACTCGCTCCCGCACTTCAGTGCAATCGCTAGTAGGCAACAGTGCCCCCATCTCACCCTCAAGATTCAGCTTGAGTCGACGGCGCGGAGCTGAGCGCGACGACTGAAGCCTCAAAATGGACGGATCTTACCTACGCTTTTCTACTCCTACTCACCAATCTTCTTCTATCGTCGTCTGCATCCGCACATGCTCTGATTATTAGCCGCATTTGTACTATTTGGACATTACAGCAACCTATATCCATCGTTAGTCGTTATGATAGCATGGCACAATGTGCCATTGTTCACACTATTCTCGAATCCCTCATAATGACGAACGGAATACCGTCATGACTAACCAAAACGCAACGCAGTGTTGTTGTTGAGATTGGCTACAGTACAAGGTGCAAGGTGAGGACAGATATTGGAAGAGATTGTCTATGCAACTGCGCAGTCCGCGATCTAATGCCTTGCACTTCGGCGCAGCTGGCGTCCGGTGCTTGCCTCTTGCGAAGTGCCCAGGATGATCGCCGCCATATCATCATCCGTTACAACGCGATTCTTTCCAAGCTGTCTGTCCACCCGACAATCATCAGTTCACATGGTCGGCCGCAGACAGCAGGACATACCGTTTCTTCTTCTTCATAGTGTCGACTTCGCCTTCCTGTGGCACGTATTCGGCGTCCTCTCCGCCGTGGGCCACTGCCGCCTTGCGAGCCTTCTTGTCTGGGATGACAGCAGTCGAGTCCCGAGGCTTGTCTTGCAGCTTCATTTCATCCAGGCTTTGCTGCAAGTTTGCAAGCTTGGTGTCGGTGTCGCTGACTTTCCTCGCCTTGACCCTGCCGGCTTTGACGTCCTTTTCGAAGATGGGCGAAGGGGCCTCAGCGAGAGGGGCCTGGGGCTTCTTCATCGCTTGCTTGCTACTCTTTGTAATCGGCGGTTCGGGCTCGTCCTCCGACTCCGTGTCCTGTGGGAGCAACGATTCGGCTTCATCATCTTGACTTGTGACTTCAGGCTCATCGACCTCCATTGGTATCTCGGTCTTAACGGTGGTCCTGAGGCTGGAGCGCCCGCTCGTGCCTTTGCCCTTGCCAGCAAGCGGTGACGGCGATCGGCTAGGGGAAGCATCGGACGAGTCATCGAACTGGTCGCTCTCCTGTGTGCGTAGTTGTGAATTGATGTTCCGCGGCAGGAGTAACGGCACACCCACCACCTGAGCATCTACTTCGTCGTCCTCTTCTGTAAGGTCCGTTAGGTCCTCGTCAGAGTTCCCGATCTCTTGTCTCGCCTGTGCCATCATGTCAATTTTCGCGTCAAGCTTCTTCTCGTGGTGCTCAATCTACCGCGTCCATTGATGAGCATCATGCAAGACCGGTTTAGCAAGTTCGCAAAACGCACCTCCATCATCAGGCGACGCTTGAATGTCTTCTCCATGCTCTGCATCCGTGCCTCCATCTCTTCCATGACTTCCTCTCGGACTTCGGCCTCTACGACAGCGCAGCGCAACTCAGCGTCGAACAGCTGCGCACGTAGCCGCTCCATCTCGTCGAAGAGAGCATCAATCAGTGGGTTGATGGGTTCATCTTCACCGTCCTCGCCATCGCCGGATTCTTCGTCCTCTGTGATATCCCGTCAGCGTGTCCGTTCAGCAGGACGCCATATGCGAGTGTGACTACTTGCCTTCGAGGACCTCGAGATGCGCCTCATTGACTTTCTTGCCATGTCCGCCGGTCGACAGGGTTACTGACCTCCTGTGGGGCACAACCTCACTTGCACGGGTCTTCCCTGCCGGGAGCGTACGCGTGACCGCTGTGCCAGGGACGGTAGACACCTCTCGTGCGAGGGCAGAAAATCGCATGACATGCGAATTCTCGTCGAAACCGGTATCATATGGGTTCACGTTGACGATCATGACCTAGAAGAGCATGAACACTCCGAGGGATTGATGGGAAGGTGTAGAAGACTTACGGCCCTGCCTTCACCAACAAAGTAGTCCATTAGGATCTCCGTCAATTTGCTATGCCGGAAAGGCACGATAGCCAGACCACGCTTGACATCCCTGGTGTCAACGCGCGTACCATTCGAAGCGGCGAGGCTGCGCGCCAGCGTGCGTTGGTTCGTACGAAGCGTTTCCATGCACTGTCCGAGCACCATGAGTGACTTGTTAATGTTACCCGCCTCGCGGAGTCGATCGCCCGACGTATGCGTATGTTTCGTCCGCTCCGAACCGGCCAGATCAACCAGAGTAAGGCGTGAAGTTTGGATGGACGACATGTCCTGTGGAGCATAACACTGGCATCAGGATCCTGACTGCACCAAGTGGGAAATATGTTACATTCTTCTCGCCTCGATGCACACGGAGTATCTTGATGGTGACCAGAGCATGGCTGCGGCTGCTCTGGGTGTTCGCGAGGGTCCCGAAGACACGGCGATGCAATTGCCCAAGACGAAGAAGGGCCTTGGCCTGCGCGGCACTCTCGACCCTGATTTGACGAATGCCTGCAACATACTTGCCTGCGCTGCCATTTGCAGCCTCGGACGAGGTCAAACCTGTGTCGGATGGCGGACAGGGCTTCACCGCAAGGGCCTTGCGGGTGAGAAGGAGCGGGTTAGACTGGGATGAGGGTAAAGGGAGGTTGAGGAAGCTAGACATCGGACGCGGGATAGCAGACTGCGAATGCGTAGGTTGAGAGGAGGGTGCATCGGGTGCATCGATCGCTGCGAAGAGATCGTACACCTTCTCGTTGTAAACTTCGGAGTAGGAGAGCCAGACAGTGTACTCGTGATTCCGGTCGACTGTGAGCACTGTTGGGTCTATGTCATCGTCACCGGAGGGCAGGTCGTCTAGAATGTCAGCGAGTGCTGGAGCACCGGAAGTAGTTGGGAGCTGGGACGCGAACGAATTGGAAGGGCCCTCGGCGGGCTCAACGCCGTTCAAACGAACGGGGCGATACTGTCTAGATGTTGGCAGAGCGCGAGTAGATGATAGTGGAAAAACGTACCCGACCATCTCCGTGTAGTCCCTGTATACTGTTGAAGACAACGTCGAGAGTGCGCGGGAGGATACCCGCGCTTCCCGGTTGACTGCCACCCTGGACAGTGTACGTCTTACCCGAGTTTGTGACGCCATACGTAAATAGCAGCCCACTCCTGCCTTCTAATAGATCGCGCACGAGGGGGAGGGTCGTCTTATTGAAGAAATCGGCCTGCTGTGTCTCCGTAGGGAAGATATGGGAGAACGTGTAGATGGACGAAGCGTGTGCAGAAGAAAGGCGTGAAGGTGCAGAGGACGCATAGGGTTCTGTCATCTGTACAGCAGTGTCAGATATGGGGTCGAGGTATGGTTGCGATGTGGGCTCGGCATCTCCGAGGTGAGGGCGGATACGGAGGTAGGCCTACAACGACAAAGGTGAGTATGATGTGTATCATGATGCCCAAGCATATAGCAGTAATAACCTTGATAGGCTCTCTGTCTGTGTCCGCGTTCAGATCTCCAGTAGTAGCAGTTCTGGAGACAGGTGCCCTAGCTGCATTCGCCGTTGGCTTCTTGCCCCGAACGTGTTCTGGTGGCTCAGGAGAGTTATCCCTATTGAGAAGTGGTTTTCGCGTAGTTGTCCTTTTCGGCGCTGGTAGACCAGATGTCACAGTTGACGACTGTGAGACAGCAGTTGTCCTCGATGCTGCGCGAGTGGTCCGGGTCGTCGTCGGGGCGGTAGTCTTGGAGCGTGTAGAAGCGCGCGTGGCAGTTGTCTTTGGCTTACTTGCCATGTTTTGCGAATGGATAGTACAAATTCAAGAGGGAGGCAGCTTGAAAGTGAGCGGGCAGAATAAGATGCCGCGATGAAGGTAAAAGGTAAGTAAGCAGAGGCGAGTGGCTGCAGCGATGATGATGATGATGACCTCTGCATTTATTAACCGCTACAAGCAAACATGTGCTAAGACGCGGCGGACGCCGGCCTGTACAGTAGTGGGCGTTAAAACGCGCCACCCAGGTCGACGTCCAGTTCGGGGCTGTACTGGTAAGAGTAACGTCTGGAGGGTTATATAGTAATGGGTCGTTGTCGGTTTGTAGTCTATGGTAGCGTCTATGGTACTGGTTCTATTCGTCTGTCCGAGTCGCATAGATCGTAATAAATAAGCATGAGAAACAGAGATGTAGGGAAACTGCATAATCCGCGGTCCGCGTTCGGCGCGTCGTCTTCTCCTAGGGGCGCAAGCCGGGTTTGTTCCCCTAGTGCACGAGTGATTGTCGGAGGTGTGGGAGTGTCGAGTTTGGTGACGGTACTTCGCCGTGCAGCTAGTACCGTCTAGTCTTCGTCCTCGTCGGTCGGTCCGTCGGGGTCTTCTTCTGGCTCTGAGTCGTCTCCTCCGCGGTCGTCTCCTGTCGCTGCTTCTTCATCGTCGTTGTGCTCTGGGTCCGCTGCTCCTTCCGGAGCAGTGGGCGGTTCTCCTGTCTTCGTGAACGCGCCGCTCTTCTCGATGAAGCGCGCGTAGAGAGTGGCTGCAGCGAGAGTTGAACCGACACGCGCTTTGCGTGAGGGATCGCGTCTCACACGTGACCGTTACGCCCTGGCGACATTATAAGTCTTCAGGAATCAAAGAAGAATGGAGTCGTTACACAATTTACACTCGTGCATCATATTCAATGCTGCTGGCCAGCAGATTTTTGCACACGACGGCTGCCCATGGCACCATGCCTCGTGCGACGCGCATTGCCAGGCCTGTGGAAGTGACAAGCACGTGATTGACGCGACGCGTTGAACACAGTTCACCTTCAACTCCCTCTGTTCTAGTATCTACGTCCATCTTGGTTCTGCCTTCTTGTCCCGCGTACCTCTGTCGCGCTAAGTCAAGCCAAGGAATCCTCTACGTGTGCGATGGCGAGCAAGATCTCTCCCACTCGCCGCCGCTCAATTGCTGTCCTGAATACAGGGCAATCCTCACGCCACCATGGCCGCAGGCGGGCATACAGTATCGCACCTGGAGAGAAGCTTAGCCCTAACGCGAAGCGTAGGAGATCCTTGGTCAGTACCATTCTGTGGCTTGAATGACTGACCCTCATGAGAGTATAGGCTCCCCGCAAGAGTATCTTGAAAGCGTCCATGAATCTTCCCGAGAGCGCAGAAGGGTCCGCGATGGGAGATGAGACTACTACACAATCTATGGATCTGACGGAGGTTCATGCGCAGCCCCGCAAGAGCCTTGCTCGACGCGTGAGCTTCGCGAGCCACGCACATATTCGGCTGTTCGAGGTGCGGGATAAACCAAACGGCAGCCAGGGCTCACCGTCGTCGCCTCAAGAGCCGTCCGAAGAGCACAATGACGAGAACGAACACCCTACCCCTGCTCCCTCCCGTCGGCGTAGCTCAATGCGCCGTCGGTCGTCCACTGGGTTCAGTGAGTTTGGCGAGCAGTCGATGGAGATGGACGAGGACGAGACCGCTCCGCTACCTACCGACTTCCTCAAGCAGAATGGGTATCAGCTTGATGGATCTGCAGTGGAGGACGACGAGTTCACGGACGAGGATGAGGACGAGGATGACGACATGGAGATAACGGAGGCAATTCGCTTGAATATCGAGCGCAAGAGGTCGCTGTCATTAGGCGGCCAGGCGCACGGGTCTTTGCCCGGGAGACGTCGTTCATCTATCGCACCTGTCACAGTGACACAAGGTCGGTCTGAAAACCAACCTCCACGCCATCTGCAGCCTCCACAGGAAGATGACGAAACGCGACCTGAGGATCAGGCAGAAGGAGACATGAGCATGTCCTCAGCCAACTCTCAATCATTCGTATCGGAGGGTTCGTCAATGGACGAGACTCAGCCGATGGAATTCACTGCCCCTGTCGGGAAGGCGTTGCGGCCACCTTCGCGACCAAGTGAGAGGTGGCTAGCCCTCCAAGCAGCCACTCACGCTGGTATTCCTCAGGACAAGTCCCCCTCTCAAGAAGATGACGATGAGGGGGATTCTGGCGTGTACCGCGAAAGCGAGCCAATGGAGCTGACTGATGCCATGGATCGTCTCATGAAGGCACGCGCCTCATTGGGAATGTCCCCCGGTTCGGGGAACGCAAATGACACTGTGTCCGACATGGACATGGATGGAGAGGGTGGATCCGCGGTGCAAGAAGACTATCAAGACGACAGTTTCACGAGCACAGAGGACAGCTTTGCAGGAGATTCCATGGGTGACAAGACGGTGAACGTGACAACCATGATACGAACGAGCCTCGGAACGCAAGATTTCTCTATGAACACCGCGAATACAGGTGGTACTGTAGACGAGGATCGACCAGTGAAGTTACCCCTCGGTATTGATTCTGCTACCACTCCTGCGCCAAAAGCTGTTACTCCCACAGGTCCCTCCCCGCCATCTGAACCCGCATCTGCACCTCCCGTGTCCGAACCACCACCACCGGCAGCCCAACTGCCATCATCCGTCTTCAGTGCGTCTACCACAAGACCTTCCGTGTTCGCTCCGCCCCCCAAGACGCCAGCGCAACCCCCACGTTCTCCCTCCAAAGCACCACCTTCCGCGACTATCCCCAAGCCTTTCTCCTTCAGCCTCTCACGGACTCCCGCACGCCCGCCCGTTCTCAATTCTCCGGCCTCACAATTCAATGCAGCCGCACCAGGGCCGTCGTCAGTTGCGGCTTCAGGAGCGAATGCACCGCGATCCCCCGCCGTTCAAAAACCGACTGCGGCCTTCGCTCCACCCTCAGCACGCAAATCACCAATGAAGCGTCCTGCGCCGCCTGAATCTGAAGCTGCGCACCAGCCGAGCCCAGCGAAGCGCACCGCTGTTGGTAAGCTCGAGCCTTCGAAGATGGCGCCATTTCAGAAGCCCGTGGAGTCGGAACAGCAAGCTGCGAACCGGCGGACCAGTATGGTGCGCCGGCCGTCTGGATACTTCGCGCAAAGGAAGAGTCTCGGGGCAGGCATATTGCCCCCTGCCAATGGGACAGCCGGTAGCGCGGGCGATCGACCTGCGAGCCCGAAGAAGGCAGCGGGTGGACTGGGCTTGGGACGTGCCCGAGCTAGTGTTGGCGCTGCACCTTCTGGCCAAGGACTGGGACTGTCCGCAAAGCCGAGAAGCGCAGAGGGCGGTTCACTCTATCCCGATGTCTCTCGCATAGCAGAAGAAGACCCACCTACACCCTCTCGATCGCGAGCGAACAGTGCACCACCAGAGAGTCCAACGAAATGCGAGCGCGAGTCGTTGCGGCAGGCTGTCGCAGCGCCTAGTCCAACGCGGGGATCACCCTCTCCTGCGTCACCGCGAACGGGGTCACCTACGCCGATTAGGAGACCATTAGGGCATTCGAGGTCTGCTTCGCCCGCCCTACCGCCCAGTCCGGCCGCTCGACTCGCTTCGTCCGCTACTGTCCCTCTGCGGCAGGCATCTCCTACCCAAGTCTCTCCCGGAGAAGCCAGCCTCAGGGACACGGGCATTGTGCTCTCGCGGCCATCTGGCACGGACACGCCAGTGGAGTCAGCTGTCACAGAGCAATGGAGGGCAGGCGTTGAGAGAGACGACGCTGGATATGATGATGAAGAGGTGAGCTGATCTCGGTTTCGCGAATCAGTTATGCAATGCTAATACCTTTATCTGTCCAGCCACCCATCAGCATCGAGCAGTTCTTCGACATGACCGGTATTCGCTTCATGGATGAGCTCACAATGCCCAAACCACGACAGTCGGTCGTCGCACCGCCTCATCTGCGCACTCGCGCGCGCCGTCGCTCCTCCGCCGAGTTCAGCGAAGCGGAAGAGGATCCGATCCCGTTAGCAGAGTTCGCCGTGGCGATGGCGGTCGAGCTGCCCAGATTAGAGCTGTTCTCCGCAGTCGCGAACGATCTCAGTGCTTGGATAGAGGAGAGCAGGAAGATTTGTGTCGAGGCTGAGCGAGAGACTGAGAAGGTCACGCCCGAGCTATTCAGAGATTTCGTGGCTGCTGACGAGTCGGAGCAAGGGTTACTGATCGTACGTCTGACTATTGTACTCGCATCCGTTCAGCTCTGACATTCCATGTGAAGCACCAACTCAAGCTCATCAAGGCGTACAACTATAGTACAGCGAAGTCACAGTGGTATGACTGGAAGATGGACTGGGCTCAGCGCCTGTACACGAGAGCTCGGCAAGAGTTCACTAATCTCGAATCTGTATGTCTCACCGCAGATGCGCACACCACGTTATGCTGAACTGAATGCTCAGGATGCGCAAGGTCTGGCGAGGATAATCAAGCAGGCGCAGGCAACATTACCTGACTTGCGAGAGGAGTATGCCCAAGTGATGGCAGAGCTAGAGCAGGAGCAGACCGACATCGCAGAGATCGAAAACTCTGATCAGGACTACCTGGGCGAACTCAAGGCTACCATAGCTGAACAGGGGTCTGTCCTTAATCGGCTTTGGGTGTTGTATACGCTGACCTCCGCGGTCCATCCAGTTCTGAGTTGGAGGTCTTCCGAACCGATGTCTCGGAGGGCAAAGCGAAGCTTGATAGGCTTCATGAGAAGCTCGCGGAGATTGAGTCGCAGAAGCAGGAAGCGACCACTGCAATCGCGAGGGCTCAGTATAATGTTCACATTCAGAAAGAGAGCACTACTTCGGCGGTGTTCAGACTGAAAGGTGCGCTCGCAGTGTATAGTCGAGAGTCCTCGCTCGTGCTCAATTAGGCATAGACGAACTAGAAGCACTCCAAGACCTCCATCTATGGCGAACTACCAAGATTACATCCGATCTCATCCAACTAGTCTATGCCTCACGATTTCAAGTCTCAATACCTTGTATGAAATACCGACCCACTCTTTCGGGGGTCGCCGTTACCCGCGCGAAGAATTTCCACGTGAGGGAACGGGACCCATTCCCCCGCTTCACCAGTCTTGCTCTCCAGGCATCACAACAGATGCTCACTGAGAACGAGGGCCGGCTGAGCGTCCGTCAGGTCAGTGTTGTCCATTAATCTACATTGAGGTCTGCTTGCTCAAGAGGGTCTAGATCGTTGAGCGACTGGGTGATTTCTGGAGTTCGTGCTCGCAGCTTCGTTCGCAATTCACCTTCTTGGCCATCAAGTGTCCGCTCTCCGTCCAAGCGACGTCCTCGGATGGGGCTGGTCTCCCTGGTCTTCTTGCCAAAGCAACGATCATGTTCCCCGGGGCCAACGGAAAGGCGACCGTTTCGTTCATTTTCGACCGTCCCACCTATTCAGCTTGGCCACTCTCAATCAAGTCGTTGAACGCAGACGTTGAAGTCCACTACGGACGCATCGAGTATGTACACGATAGGTGCCCGAGATGCCACCATCACTGATGACGCCTTCACAGACGACAAACGATCTTGGATGCAGTTCTTGGCCGTTTAGCTCAAGCGACACCTACGGACAACCATGGATGCCTGCTCGACGCATGTATCGAGGCTATGGAGCAGTATGAATAATCATATACCTTCCGTTGTCTTAAAGTTATGATATGTACATCTCTCTTGATATATATACGTAATGTCATGAGGATATGGCTTCAAAACCGTTAACATGACGAGATCATGACGAGAAGATGTGGCAGGAGGTCCGCGCTACAAATACAGAGGTCGAGATACAGCGAACGTAAGAGCACAAAAGCAGAATAACCTGTCACGAAGAGGCGACATGAGCTCGTGCCCAGCACATTACGATGAAGACCACGTACGAAGGTGTGAATATGTTCAATATATCGAAGAACCTTAAGCAGTCGCACGAGCAAGCTGCCAGTGGCTTTGGTCCAGGCCGGCCAATAACACAGTGAGCATCTCGCGGTTAGCGCGAACTAGCTCGAGTTCCCCATCCGCCACGTCTCGCACCGCGCTCCATGCTTCCGCTGCGGTGCCTGCGCAAGTTACGACCATCATCTTCTGCTGCTGCTCCCTGAGTGCGGCGAAGTGAGCGGCCTGCGCGCGCTCCTGCATCTGCTGGAGCGCCTGCTGGATGGCCTGCTCCCGCACGACCTGGGCCTGGTGGATTTGGGTTTCGAGCGACGTGATGTACTCCATGCGCTCGGCATCGACGTGCAAATTGCCGTGTACCCGATCCTCTAACTCAGAGACTTGCTTGGCAAGCTCCTCCGAGTCACGGAGGCGTGCCGCTTTCGCGGTCTGCAGCTGGCTCTCGAGCGACTCGATCTCGGCGAGCCTGTCGCGTGCTTTGGTCTCTGCAGAGGCGAGTTGCAGACGGAGGAGGGTTACGGCTGCGCCATCCTCCGTGGATGCATCCGCGGACACGTTGAACAGCTCCGCCTTGTTATATACGGCGGGTGATGGCGTGACGTCGGGTAACAAGACCTGCGAGATCGAGCCATAACCTCCAGGTGATGGCATGGCACTCAGGGTGGGACTATCGGGGACGTCATGGGTAGAAGTGCTCAGGCTGGGCGAGACAGCGCCGGATCGGAATGGTGCAGGCATCTCGGATAACATGTGGTCGACTTCATCGTCCTGTAATGTCCGGCTGTGTTTCGCAAGCTGCTCCCATGACAAGATCGAGCCGCGGTCATTGCCCATCTGCCGGTGGAGGGGACGCAGGAACGGCGAGCTGTTCGTAGACGAGGGTTTCTCCGGGGATAGATACGAGAGATTGCTACGAGCCGGGAGGAAACCTGGACGAGGCGGTGTCATGGCATTGCGCCGCTCCCGCTCGGTCATGACCCGGAAGCGCGGGAGGGCGGGCGTCGGCGCTGTGGGAGATGCAACGCCGGAGAGGAGGAACTCGACATCGTGCGCGTCGACACTATCGATGCTGTGGCCTTCGGCGAAGGCGCTGGCGGTCGGGGTAGTTGACTGGTGGCGCACGGGCGAAGGGGTGGAAGGCAGGTTCTTACGAGTGGAGACCTGCGTGAGGGGGGAATCCTGGAACTGCGCGACAACGCCACGGAGAGGGCTGGGGCTAGGGCTGTCGCGCTGCACAGACGAGGACGATGTCTTCTTCACAGCGCTGCGCAAGAGACCGGTCTTAGGTGTTTGAGGGGTCAGCGAGGACGTAGATGAAGAGGCTGATGATGATGGGCGCGAGATGTTCCGGGGAGCGGACGCGTTGGATGACGTCTTTGCAGACTTCGACGCGCGCGCAGAGGAACCATGGCGAGGGGTGGAAGGAGGGGCTGCAGACCGCTTAGCAGACGCAACCTTCTTCTCGGGGGTACGAGGCGCCACGTTGATGGCGCCCTTGAGGTCAACTTTGAGCGCGTCGGGATGGGGGTTGGGGCTGACGGAGCGAGACAGCTTGCCCGCCGAGGACGGTGGCTCGAGAGTGGCACTGCGCTTGTGAACCACTTTCTTCTTCTCGACGGGGGAACGGTCGATCGCTTTGCCCCCGAGGCGCGTAGGGGAAGGTGGCTTGACTGACTCCTCTACAATCATGGATCGCGGGCGAGGGCGATACTTCGGCAGAGCGGAGACGGCGTTGGATGTACGGGGACGGAGGCTACCCGAGCGCGGCAAGGCAGTCTTAGGTGTAAGAGGGGAAGAGGAACGATCCTCTGAATCCGTGGCTACGGGCTTCTTGACGGCCGACGTCCGTCGCGTATGGCGACCGAGCGTCTTGGACTTGGCGTCGGGAGACGGCTCAGCCTTCTGGAGCATGGCCTTGTCCAGGGAGGGGCGAGAGGCAGGGGCCTGCGAGACAGCGATGGTGCTCGAGCGGCGAGCAGACTTCTTACTGCCCTTCTCCCTCTCTGCGCCGTCCTTCCCATCCTTGTACATCACGTCTGCAAGGGCCTTTCCCATCGAGGCGAGGTTGAGCGATTGCCGGAGTGAGCTCCTGGTAACGGGTTTGTTCGGCAACGCGCCACTGGGGGCAGTTGCGGACATGGCGAGGAAATAAGTAGGCCCCGAGTAGCGAGTAGCAAGTCGGATGTGTGGGTGGTGTTTAAGGCCTCTTGAGGGCGGGGAGGGGGAGGGTCGGACCTCGCGGGTCGCTGGAAAGTCGTTGCGAGGAGGGGTGCCGGTGATGGGCTGATGGCCTGTGACAGCGCGCTCGCGGTTCAACTTGCTACAAACAGCGCGTCAACAATCTCGCGTCACGCGCTCCCTTGTGGGTCCACCCTCAGCACGAGGCTCTCCGTGTCCGACAACGTGTCCACATCAGGACCGTACATGCATTGTACGACACTACTACCACATGAATCGCCCTACACCTGCCCTCGATTTGTGCAGGAACACGTACATCGTGGCGGCATTGATCAGCCCGTACCAGAAACCTTCTCCCAATACCACCCACAACGGGGCGTCTACCACCTGAGCTCGGAGCAAGATATAGGGAATGAGGAAGTAGCGTGGCTCGAGCAGCGGTGTGGGAATGAGGGTAGGAAGAACGAACACGGGTAAAAGGAGGTTCTGCAGTAAGGTTTGGTCTTGCCCTAAGCGCGATAGACGATCAACTAGAGTATGCTTCAGATAGGACGGAAGCTCTCACCGATGCGAATGAACCACGCCCATGCGCAGGCAATGTAGCCCGGGATCAGCAGGTAGGGGACAACCGGGTGCATCATGAAGATTCTGCGCCAGACATAGAAGGTATAGTGTCGATTGTCTGCCAATAAGAACGGATGGTGAATGCTAATTGGCAATGGTGAGCACTGAGCGAAGCAACAACGATGCACACGACATACGTGAACTTATACACCGTCACACCCATGAGTGCTGCTGTTGCAACCGTAGCCACGGTGTTTCTCAAACATTGTTAGCCTCGCTGTGGTCATGCCTCCTCGGTGCCGCAAACTCTACCTTGCGCTGCCGAACATCCGATTCCACACATCCCGCGCTAATGCACTTAGACCGCCTTTCCCACTGATCAGGGCGGGCCAGCCCATCATGGTAGCGAACCCCACAAAGTAGTACAGCTGCGGGATGTGCAAGGCTGGGACGTGGTTCGACTTATCACCTATCACGCAATACATATCAACATGAGACTTCGCGGCTGGTATAGATTGTACGTACCAAGGACGATCCCGCCGTTCCATACTACGAAGGCGCCGAAACCTGCAAGGACCAACGCATAGGGCACGAAAGCGCCAAGGATGTCTACAAGGACCCCTGGGAAGGTGATTATGCACTGGATCAGGTCCGCTATGAACACAAATGCGTCATTTGTTCTTGTCAGCATCTTCGAGAAATGCAGGGCCATACCTGGTGTAGCATCGAGAGCAGGTGGATCGTGAAGCTTCGCAAGCGGCCGGGCACCCGGAGGTGTGCGGCGAAACCGGAGGTACATGAGCTGGCTTGACGCATACGCGTATAGCACCCAGACAATGTTGTTCTGGCGGAACGTGCAGCTGACGGCACCTAGCTAAGATCCTTGTCCTCCATCAGGCGACCACTAAGTCACACGCGAGGAACGCGGACATACCAGCGCAGCAAGCCAATGCCTCCCCTGTGATGCCGCCACGACCGTCGCGACCACGAAGAAAACACTCGGCGTCTCGGTGTAGTATAGGAAGCCGAAGAACCACGCAATGGGGAAGCTAGCGAGGACGACGGCCTCCGTTGTCGGCGCGAAGACGGTGTGCGGCAGCCTCACGCGTTTGTGATAGCAGAGGAGCCGTGTGAGTGCGAAGGGGAGCGCGGCAAGAGAGAGCGCGGGCGTGAAGCGGAGCATGGAGAGGTTGCATTTGAACATGAAGACTTGCTTCAGCAGCAGGCTCAGCACGTAGCTATGCAACAACGGTCAGGGACACCGCAATGCACACTACTTGCACACTCACAGTCCAGGTGGTGTAGTAATCTTTGGATCCCAGGTCCAGTAGTCCCCTTTGCAGTACGCCTGCGCCTGCGGGACGTGAAACGGCTCGTCCTGCATGACACGTTGCCTGCGTGAGCACCGGACTTGTACAACGTAGGACAGAACGCTCACCATGTACGGCTCCGTGACCTCCTCATTGACTGCCTTCAATGTGATGATGCACAATGCCACGAAGCCAGCGTAGTACGATGCACCCGGATCCGACGACATGGTGGTATGCGCTAACGACCGCTGCTATTTCGGGACATCCTACTCAACGCTCTGGCGAGCGCCTATTGGGCGCTCCGTTGATTGAGTTTGCCACCGGCGACGCTCATTTAGCAGTCGGGGATATTATTCAGTGTCTGAACATGATTCCCACACCGGACGTCTCCCATTTGACAAAGAAGGACTTTGAACACGTGTATGAGCCTGCTGGTACGGCCATACTCCCAACTCTCCCGCTTTCACTCTAATGATTTTTTTCTGCTTCAGAGGACACATTCATCCTGTTAGATGCGCTCGAGCAGGACGCCGAAAGTCTGAGACTGTCACTTCCACGAGTATGTTTGGAGATAGGGTAAGTCAACTCACGAAGAATTCAACAAGTGGCTCTCGGATCTCAAAAATTGCCTGTAGTTCAGGATCGGGTTGCGTCTCAAGTTTTGTCGGAAGTATCCTTGGCCCATCGTCGGCGTGTAGGTCGTCAAACAGTACATGATTCACTCAAAGGCTAACATATCATTGTCAGTATACGTCGCTACGGATATCAATCCCCACGCATGCCATTGTACTAAACTAACCGGTCGCCAGAATAAGGTATGCCCTCGCACACACTATCCAAATCTGAACTCTCAAACTACCCGCAGTAGACACCGATAGAGCCACTCAACGCGTCCCTTGCAACTCCGCTCATGCAGCGGCTCAAGCACGCAGTCGATATACTGATCTTCAATCCGCCCTACGTGCCCACCTACGACGACGAGGCTGACGGTGCGCAGCAAGGCGCGGACATACAAGGCGCTTGGGCGGGCGGGAAGGACGGCATGCAAGTGACTGACGTCCTACTTGACCAGGTCGAGGTGGGCGAGCAGCAGTCGTGTTCACCCGCGATTATTGACGAATCGTGGATATAGAACTTGCTGTCACCCATCGGGCGGTTCTACTTAGTTGCAGTGAAACAGAACGACGTCCCTGCGATACGTCGAAGGCTGCTAGATACGCACGGCCTCCAGAGCGAGGTGAGCATGGCGACACCCTACCTGAATCCGTGATTTGAGCATCAACGATATCACAGATAGTTGTTCAACGTCGAGCAGGCGGTGAACATCTCTTCGTTGTGCGGTTCTCTCGGTAGTTCCAGCCAGTGAACAGCAAACATATCATCGGTTCATCCACTCCGCAGGTACAACAGTTTTCTTCTAGTAATGCTACACGCCAAAAATCTGATTCTACATCCTTTTTGATAGTGTTATCCTTAAGTTACGTGTCGCGCTTAGGCCGACAAGTCGAGCCCGTCGAGAGCGGGGATGGGACGCTCCGCCTGCGGCGCGAGACGGACACCGTGGCGCCTCTGGCCTCCAGAAATGAAGTCGACGATCGCAGACTATTGACGGGCATCAGCAAGTGCGAATAGCCAGCGGGGGAAACACATACGTGAGCAGTGATCCTGTTGTCCCAGATGACCACCGTGTATGGCTCCCACTTGACGCGCGCCTGAATGTCGACGCTCCTGTCAATGTGATTGTAGAGCAGCTCAAGGATCGCATCTGCCCGAGTGATATGTCAGCGGGTGCTCTGCCAGAAGCGTCGAATAACTAACCTGACTCCTCGCGCTTCAGGCCAACAATGCGGCGGGTGAACTGCCTGTTGACGTAGATCGCTTCTTCGCCTGTGACAGGGTGCCGCCTGACCACAGGGTGGATGTTCTCGACGGGGTCGCGCCTGACAACGCCACCACGGTAGCCGGCCCTCGAGTAGTTCGCCTGCTCGACGCCGGAGTGCACCGCCTTAAGGGTGCGCAGGAACGCGACGAACTGCGGGGACAGCCGCTTGAGCGCGGCGACCTGCGACGTGAACGCGGTGTCGCCTCCCGTGTCGGGCTGCGAGAGGAGGAAGAACGTCGTCAGGCCGGGCGGCTGCTGCTCGTACGAGACGTCCGAGTGCCAGGTCGTGGACGTGATGCGGTCCTCGCGCTCGAAGTTGTACGTCGCGTTCGCATCGCGGTACACGAGGTGCAGCTCTGGGTAGCCTTCGGGATGCCCCGACGTAGGGTGGATGTGAAGGCGGCCGAAGTGGCGGCCAAATTCGAGGTAGGCTTCTGGGTCGCGGTCGACGAAGTCGCGCTGATCCCTGAAGACCACCAAACCCCTACGGGCGACCTATAAGAGCACACACGCGTCCGAGATTAGAAGACAATGGAGGCGATGTGACGGTGACATCAGAGACTTGCCTCAAGCGCGAGCTGATCTCTCCCATCACTGTCGAGCGCAGCGAGGCTGACTCCGCGAACCTCTTCGCCAAGATGGGGCGTCAGCTGCACGATGCTGCTTGCGTTGTCCAGGAAGGACCGGGGGTTTGGGTGAGACAGTGCGCGGCTGCCCGGATCGATATGATCGAACGGAGTCAGAGGCGGATAGTGCTCGTCGCGTGGAAAGACCGGAAGAAGACGCGCGTAGCGGTAAGGTTCCTCGGTCTTGCCCTGCTCATTGTTCTCTGCCGGATTGGCAGCGGCACGGACAGTGACCGAGCTGGGAATCGACTCGGCGATAGGACGAGTAATTGTTTCGACCGCTGTAGACATGGCGATGCTGGGACTCCGCTGGGCTGTGCGAGGTGCTGGCTGCTGTCTGCAGCCATGCCCGCATAAATACACAACGGGTTTGTCGCCATTCCGCCGGCCTTGCACGCCATAGCGGTCACTTGCTCGTTATCTGGTGAGCAAGACTCGGCTGAAGTCTCGCAAGATGGCACTCATATGAGGAGTGCCCTGGGGCTGCCGGGCCGTCGGCATGCGCCAAACAACGCGTAAACAATGCAGATTAGATAGCGCGACGCGTCGACGCGCGCCCACAGACGCGCGAGGCACGTGGGGCGCGTGTAATTGTGTGCATCTCTGAATCTCAGCGAGCTGCATCTCCGTCGCCTCGCCACCACGGCAGATTCCCCTGGCGCCGCAAGACAATAGGGACAATAGCCAGAAACGCCAGTCCATTCCACCGTGTCTTGACTCCGTCCCGGCGAAGCGAGCGTTCGTATGGTGCGTGCCTTGGGGTATGATCGCCTGACTCGTGTACGGCAGGTCGAGGCCAGCGCAGCGATGATAGTGCGCCGCTTCCCAGAGGCAGCGTTATCCAGCGTGCGCGAGGGCAGACATGGCGGGAGCTCCTGTCGAGTCAGCGTCGCAGGAGGTGCGTGCGCCGTCGCCCTGTTCCCAATCTGGATCGATCGCAGGCGGATCATTCTCAGCGATTCTGAGTCTTGTTGTGTCATGGCAATGTCATGCTCATGATCGCTCCCTATCATCCCGACTCTTATTGTTCTGCAGCGCTTGCGCTAACCAACCAGGGGATCCCGGAGACTCACTCTGGCTTCATTAGGAGCGTAACAATTAGACCTCCACGCGAGCCCGTCTTCTTGGCTATCTGCGCGAACCATGAAAAGGCAAAGCAGCCATGGGTCAATTCCTCAGGCCCCCTCCCCGCCCGCAGCCCTTTCCTCCTCACTTCCTTCAGCGGCATTCAGTTGACGAGATGGAGTCCAAGGACACCTTCCCCATTCCCCTGCCTCAGTTGCTGCGTCACCGCAACCCCATCCCTGACGTTCCCGAGGATGTCGACTATGTCATGCAACACTTGAACGACCCCAACTGGGATATGAACCAGGTGTCGCCCACCGCCAGTGTTACGTCCTTCCCGATGGAGCACAAGGGGACCAGGACGATGTCGAGCGGGCACTCGATCCACAGCACTGAGCTAGACTCCGAGTCGCAAGTCGGCTCGACTTACAAGACGGGAGTATCGTCGCGGGCACGTCTGCAGGAGGCAGATATCGAGGACTTCAACGAGTATGTCATTTCCGTGATACATCCGTTGCATCCTATTCACGCATCACAGCGAGTCGCCGTACGCCGAGGTGCGCGCCGCAGTGTCAAATATCGATGACCCCACGATGCCTGTAAATACTTTCCGAATGTAAGCGCCCTCATACAGGTCCGAAATGTCAGCTAACAGCAATGATAGGTGGTTCCTGGGAATCATTCTTACGATTCTCATGGCTGGGATCAACCATTTCTTTGACGAACGATGTAAGTAGATAAGTGTCATCGTAGGCATGATGCTGACTCGCCACCGCCACAGACCCCTCAGTTGCCATTAGTTCCCTCGTCGTCCAACTCGTCGCTCTTCCGCTGGGGAAAGGTCTTGCATGGCTGCTCCCCACGACGCGCTTCAACACCTTCGGCTATGTCTGGTCCCTCAACCCGGGGCCGTTCAACATCAAGGAGCACACCGTCATCACCATCATGGCCAGTGCAGTCTACAGCGACGTCTACGTCACGACTGTCTTCGCGACGCAGAAGGCCTTTTACAACCAGAGCATCAGCTTCGGATACCAGATCCTCCTCGCGCTCTCGACGCAGTGCCTCGGCTACTCCTTTGCGGGCGTCGCGCGCCGCTTCCTCGTCTGGCCCTCGAGCATGATCTGGCCCGGTGCGCTCGTGTCGTGCGCGCTGCTCAACACCCTCCACAAGAACTGGGGCAGGAGGGAGAAGCGCCACATCAGCCGTGAGCGCTTCTTCCTCTACGTCCTTGTCGCGGGCACCTTGTGGTACTTCCTCCCGGGCTACCTGTTCACCGCGCTCAGCGTGTTCAACTGGGTCTGCTGGATCGCGCCCGAGAACCCGACGGTCAATGCTCTCTTCGGATACTCGACGGGTCTCGGAATGGGCTTCCTGACCTTCGATTGGTCGATGGTCTCTTGGATTGGCAGTCCTTTGGTCACTCCCGTACGTTGGTCCTCGTCCTCTCCATTGGATCGTTCCTGATCGTCTTGTACAGTGGTGGGCTGAGGCGAATATCGCGGTGGCGTTCGTCCTCTTCTTCTGGATCGTCACGCCGGCTGTCTTCTGTACGTCTATCTGTCGCATGAAGTCTTAGCATGTGTCCTAACTATGGTCTCCCCAGTCACCAACGGCTTTTTCTCGCAGTACATGCCGATATCGTCCTCCGGCTCGTACGACCGCACTGGAGCCGCTTACAACGTCTCCGCCATCATCACGAACGGGCTCTTCGACGAGGAGAAGTACAAGGCATACTCGCCGATGTTTATCCCGGCGACATTTGCCATCTCGTACGGCGTGCAGTTCGCGGCCATCACCTCGGTGATCGTGCACACGTTCGGTATGTCGTCTTCTAAGATCCCACGTCCACGTCGACTGACGGGTCATCTTGCAGTGTGGTACAGGCATGACATCGTCCGCCAGTTCAGTCGTGCGCTCAAGGACGAGCGCGACGTGCATGCTCGCCTGATGCTAGCGTACCCTGAAGTCCCCTGGTACTGGTACGCGGCAATTGGTATCATCTCCTTCGTGCTAGGCGTCATCGGCATCGAAACGTTCCCGACCCAGCTCCCCATATGGTGCCTCGTAGTGTCCATCGTCATCGCCGCCCTGCTCATCATCCCTGTGGGCATGATTCGTGCTATCACTAACCAGATGATCTCCATCAACGTCATCATGGAGGTCCTTGTCGGCTACATGCTCCCGGGCAAGCCCGTCGCGATGATGCTCTTCAAGTCGTATGGCTTCATCACCGTCTCGCAGGCACTCACGCTCGCGAGCGACATGAAGATCGCGCACTACATGAAGGTCCCGCCGCGTATCACGTTCGTCGCCCAGACCCTCGCCACGATCATCCTCTGCTTCGTCTGCGTCGGCATCCAGATCTGGCAATTCGCCAACATCCCGGACTTCTGCCAGCCGGACCAGAAGGACTACTTCACCTGCCAGGATGTCAGCGTGTTCGCGACCGCGTCGATCATCTGGGGAGGCATCGGCCCGCAGCGCCTCTTCTCACCCGGCCAGCTCTACAGCCCCCTCCTCTGGTTCTTCCTCGTCGGCGCGCTCTCGCCCATCCCCTTCTACATCCTCGCCCGCCGCTACCCGCACTCCCTCTGGAGGTACGTCAACATGCCGATCTTCTTCGCGGGCCTCGGCCAGATGCCGCCTGCGTCGGGCATCAACTACTCCGCCTGGGTCATGGTCGGCGCGTTCTTCCAGTGGTTCATGCGCCGCTTCCACTTCCGCTGGTGGATGCGCTACAACTACATCCTCTCCGCTGCGCTCGACTCGGGAGTCGCAGTCAGCCTTATCATCATTTTCTTCGCCCTCGAGATGCCGAAGGGCGGTATCACCCTCAACTGGTGGGGGAACACCGTCTGGATGAATACCTTCGACTCGATGGGCATGCCTTTCAAGTTCCCGCCGAACGGCACCTTTGGGCCCGACACCTGGTCATGAACACGAACACTTCCTCTCTCTCGTTTCCTCACCTTCCGTCTGTAGCATTATTCGGTATATCATTATCTCTGAACGATCCATCCACGACTCATCCGCATCTACATCATACCACGTTGACGTCTCCTTTTCTCTTCTCAGGCCTGAGGCAACATCTGGCCCGCTCATTTTTCGAGATCTCGCTGTAAAACGAACCGCTAGGGTTCCTCTTTCTGCGACCCCTTTCCGCCTTCGTTCACGTACTACCGGTTGTATCAGTAGTTACGATCATGTTACCCGTTGCATGTGTTGACGACTGGAATGATTATGCGTCAGCACCTTATGACATGTACTACCTTGCGTGCTGTGCGCTGGGCACTTGCGTATTCAGTAGCTTGATGAAGACAGTCATCCGGGCAAGCTGATACGGCGACTGAGTTCATTGCGACTGAGTTTGTTCCTCTCGGACAACCGAAGAGAGGAGCGTTCCGCGTTCGATGCCGGCCGACGGAGAAACAGTGGTTGACGTCGATAGGCTAAGAGCAGACAACAATACGACATACGCACGAGCGAGCAGGAGCTCTTCGTTTTGAGCAAGAATAGAACAGGTACAGATAGGTACAGAGCATGAACTGCAACACAATTTATGCGGGCAGACCCCATATCCTGACCTCCCTGCCAGTCGCGCCCCAGAGCTCCTTGCCCTCGGCGCCGAACACGAAGTCTGCAACCTCGCCGCCCTCCTCGAAGCGAGCGAGCTCCTCCCAGGACTTGTGCGCAAAGATGCGTGCGCCCTCGCTCCCAGCAACACCCAGAAGCTGGGCGCTTATGTCGTAGGTCACCTTGTTGACCTTGAAGCCCTCGCCGAGCGCGATGGAGTGGGAGATCTTGGGCTTACGCAAGTCCCAGATCGCGACAGAAGAGAGCGAGTCTGGCGCAAGCATATGGTAACCGTTCTCGGAGAAACTGAGAGTCTTGACGGTGAATGGCGTGCTCTCGGGAGGCGATAAAGACGCGGCAACAGCACCCGAGCGGATATCGTAGACCTGGATCGTGGAGGCAGGGGTGCCCACGGCAAGGAGTGTGCCGTCTGGATGCACGCTCAGAGCTGTGAACGACTCTTCTGCGGGGGCCGAGCGATACACGAGCGAGCCGCTCGTCAAGTCATGCAGAGAATAAGTGCGGTCGGTAGACGCCAGCGCCACGAGAGTGTTCGTAGGGTGCACTGCGAGGCCTGTTACATCGCCCTTGTGCGTGCGAATGACCGCCCTAGTCTTGTACTCGCCAGACACTGAGTCGAGCGCCCAAGCCCTCGCGGTCTTGTCAGTGCTGGCAGAGAGGAGCAGCGTCGGCTCGCTCTCGCTGACAGCTTCGCGGAACGCAACGTGCGTAACTTTCTTCTGGTGGCCGGGGAGGGATGCGAGGACCTTGTCAGTGCTGCGATCGTAGAGCTGCACAATCTTGTCGTTGCCGCCCGTGAGGAACTGCGACGGGTTGGCCGTCGACACGGCCAAGGCAGTGATACCAGCGGGCGAGGGCGAGTGCAGGGAAGGAACGGCGTGTTTCGCGGTAAAGGTCTTGACTTCGGCCGGAGTGACATAGCCAGTAGGAGGCTTGCGCTTCTTGCGCTGGGCGGACAGTGTCTGGTGCGTCTCCTCGATTTTCTTTGAGACCTCTTCAGGGAGACCCCCTGCTTCACCCTCTGCCTCTGCCATCTCCACGTCTCCTCCATTTCCTGCCGGTGCGACGCCCATTGTCGCCGACACACTTGCAAGGGCTCTGTGGAGAATACGTCAGCTCAATATTGGCACAACGTCGCGTATACACGTACTCTCTTGCCGCATCACGCTCGCGAATCATACGCGCAACTACGCGCGTCGCGGCGTCCTGAGCATACAGAGCATAGCTCAGCTCCTGACGAAGGGAGTTGTACTGCTGTTTGAGCGTGAAGGTCTCGAGCATGAGAGCGTCCCACTCATTTTGGAGGGTGTGGAGGAGAGCCGGGATGGAAGTGGCAGATGGTGGACGCGGAGCAGCAGTCTTCGGGTCTGGAGAGCATGTCAGCAATACAGTCTCAGTTAGATCCAGTTTCCAACGCACTAGCTTTGACGGTGATAAGGTCAGATTCCTCCAACTTGTCTCCAGTAATAGGGTCTGTGCCGTTCTCCGTGATGTATTTGAGGATCAGCCTCCGCTCGTAGACATGGCCAGACTTTTGCGAGACAACAGGGTCTTGCGGTGGCTCGCCAGAGATGGAACAGAAGAACATCTTGACGACGAGCGGCGAGGAGGGGAGGATATGGAGAGTGTTCGTCCACGACGGGTTTGCTCAAGTCGAAGTTGGTGAACGCAAGCGCCGGAAGGCTGTTTGGGCGTGTTGATGCGGGCGCCTGTCCTCCAACACTCACCTCTGTACGGCCATGTCCAATAAACAGCGACTCGTTCTCTCTATCATCGACTTCCTCAACCAGTCTATTGAGGACGGCACCGTCAAGCAAGACGATCAGGAGAGTCTCGAGGTTGCAAGTGCGTCTCCTTACCGCCTTGTCCGACTCCACATCCTGAACGAATATTACGCGCCCAGTCCAATGCATCGGCGAGGCCTTCGCAGTCGATCCCTCCGATTCAGCACAGCGCGAGAAGCTGTCAATACAGCCTGCGACACTCCAGAATGTATTCGATGTCGTCTTGAAGACGAGGGAGAAGGTTGGTGCCGGCTCAGCGGCAGCTGCGCCCCCTACGCCAGCCGCACCAGCTGCTCCGACTGCAGAGGACAAGGCGAATGCAGAGAAGCTGAAGGCCGAAGGCAATGCAAAAATGTCTGCTAAGCAATACAGCGAAGCCATTGACGCTTATACGAAGGCTATCGCGCTTGACCCGACAAATGCCGTGTACTACTCGAATCGCGCCGCAGCGTATTCGAGCAAGGAACAGCACAGTGAGGCGACCCTTGATGCGCAAAAGGCAATCGAGGTCGACCCCAACTTCGTGAAGGCCTATCATCGACTTGGGTAAGTCCGTCAATTGTACTGAGCATTGACGTGCCCCTTTGTCAATATACTTCGATAGACACGCACAGTACTGTCTCGGCGACTACAACGAGGCCGCGGCTGCCTTCCGTCGTGGTGTGGAGCTTGACCCATCCAACGCTTCACTCAAGTCCGGTCTCAAGAATGCAGAGGCTCGTATTGCACCCGAGGACGACTTGTCTTCCTCGCTGTCCGAACCCGAGGCATCAGGCGGTAACGCCGACGCTGCAGGTGCCGGTTTGGGTGGAATGGCTGACATGCTGCGAAACTTGGGTGGTGGAGGCGGTGGCGGAATGCCTGATCTTGCCAACCTCATGAACAATCCAATGATGATGCAGATGGCCCAGCAGATGATGGGGAATGGCGGCCTGGACAGAGTGATGCAAAATCCTGCCTTGGCCAACATGGTTAGTCGGCCTCTCACTGCGCTCGTCCATCCTCGTTTACATGTCTGTTCTAGATGAACCGAGTACAGCAAGGTGGTGGTATGCCCTCCATGGCAGAGCTCATGGCGGATCCGACGATGAGAGATATGTGCGTCGTATCGTCAGAGCCATAGTAGCATTTGCCTGACCGTTATATGACAGGGCCCAACAATTCGGCGCGGGTGGCGCGCCATGATATGTATAGCTGAAGTGCGACTTGCTAGAGCTATCAGGCCCGTGCTTGGATGACCCTTGTCTTGGATAATGCATCGGATTGTGTTTCAGTGGTTGAAGGCAGACTATTCAATGGATTGCTCCGTCTACCTCCAATGACTGGCGCTCGCCTTTCTATGTTGGCCAATTGAAGAGGTTCGTCGTCTACGTATCCATTTCAGCATGGCTCACAAGATCTACCTCGTGGCGACACCCTTCGGCGTGTTGAAACGAAATTCAATCACTGCTCCGAAATCACGCCGCAGAGATTTGACAATCATGTTCGCAGACTTAGCTGTGGGACCTCCGCCGACAAAACATGTGTGGGACAGCGAGATTAGCCCTTCTTCCGGGGTCCAAGCTGTGTCTTCCGCTGTCATCGAACTTCGCAGTATTTAACATCAACACACACTGCAACACTGCCTTTGTGACTCCGTGAGATGCATGATTCCCTCTACGAATGAATCACTATTGACGTACAGACTATCTCAATGGCCAGGGTATACATTAGTGCATTCCTTGTATTCATTCTGCAAATCGTCCGGTGTTTCTTGATACTGTACGTTCTGGGCGCGCGGATGGAGATCCCCATGTCCCTCATGATGTGGTGGTCGTCACCCTTGACATTCATTTCATTTTTGATAGGTGTAGTACGACATGAATATTCTGGGACTACTGGAGGTCGGCGCTCAGCTCCGTGGTACAGTGCTAACTCGGTGAGTTAGAACCGCGCTGTGACCGCACTGTGGGTGTATTCTCCGAGTTCATGATACTTATCATCTAGAAGTAGGTTATGCATCAAATCATGATGGTCAGCCCACATTCTCCGTGTCTCAACTGCGCCGAGTGTGACTTCTACAGCGATGAACCACTAGCTAACAGTCTCGGCAGGTAGAGCTTCCGGCTCTTGCCACAGTATGGCAGCGGTGCGACAATGCTTTTCTCGGATCACAATGATAGTTCTAGTCAGCGAAACATGCGCGTGAGGATGCTCGATTGTTGGCGAGCCGCGGAGGGGATGCCTGTACTGCCCAATGGAGTCGAGCATGTCAACCGACCAGAGAGTAGGACACGATCTGAAGGTGCGTGGAATCATAGTTGGGTACGATGCTCAGCTTGAATGACAATGGCTCTCAACAGCGGTGTACTAGTGTATCTCGTTGTCGGTCTTCAGAATGTTCATCGACGACCTCGGGCAACGCATGCTCATAGTGCTGAATGGATGTATAGATCATCTCTCAGGGAAGTATCATGCAGTCAGACACTCAACAGCGCCCAAAGAAGAGATGGAATACCGGGATAATAAGTATGCCCCTCGTCTTGAAAGAGAGCCAACGGTCCTTTTCCCTTGGACTTTCAACCTTCAGGGTCGCTACCGAGATGGCTGACTTGACCCTCGAACTCAATGCTTCCATGGGCTGCCTCTTCATAGGTGTCGTCCTCAGTGTCGCGTACGACTGCTTACTGCCTCTTGGTCTCTGAACCTAACGTCCCTCCTGCCAGATTCTACGGAACGCTATGTGCCCAGCTCCTGTACTACTGCTGGAACTACCGAAGCGACGCCCGCACCCTGAAGCTCTGGGTAAGTATAAATGAGCAGTCCATCTGCCATGCTGCAGCCTAAGGCTCACAGCTTGTGCTAGGTGTTCGCTATGTGGTTCGTCCATCGGTATGTCATCTTACTGGCAAAGCTCTAACGTCTCCACATTCTCAGGGCCGTACATTCTGCAGGTATGGTAACAGAGATACATGTCAGTGAGCTTTGTGTCACCTATATTGCATGCTATGTGTTGACAGTCATTTGCCATATAGCAAGTTTGGTTTTACCTTGTCGCACGGCACGGCAACATATTCGGCGACTTAGACCTTGATCCGTAAGGAGATTTCTAATATTGCGGGTGCTAAACTTGTCCGTTTACATGCACAACAATGCAGTTTGACCGGCGTAAGCTCGCCATACCCCTCGCGATTCGCCTATGTAACGACCTTCTGACATAACATGCAGGCTCAACAGCTGTTATCCGTGGGTTCTTTAAATGATCCAGATTGACTGGCAACGGTTCTCATCGCAGAGCTACTAATCCCAGCGCATTGTGGAACTCTCCGTACAATGGCACGAGGATCTTTGCTATACCTCGCCTGCTGGGCTGACCTTCATTTAGGTATCTCCTTCTCAAGATATGGCAGCGTGAGGATGCATCCTTCATATAGGTGACAAGTGTCATGATATTCCCCAAGTCCTATATGCTAGACGTCACAAATTGCTTCATGCGGTCGTTTGCGTGAGTTATCTTCGGTTTCAGTAAATCATCACGTCCTGACTCGGACGCCCGAGTATAGGGAATGTTGTTCTTGATCTGTGTAGGTAGGTAACACAAACATCGCTTTGGAAAGGCCCGCGTAACATCCCCCTACTGGACCGAAAGGATCATCAATCGGTAAGCTTGAACTTTCGTCACTTCCCAAGCCCGCTGACGTATACCGCAATTTTGACTGACAGCTATAATATATCGCATGTCCGTATTTGACGTGACCATTTCGACATAGCCTGCCGCTCATCAAGTCGTCTCAGCTTCCCTCATAAAAGTATTGACGGAGCGGCCAAACGTGTGCTAGTATGCGTTGCTTCTAAAGACATCATCAGAATGCTTATTAGACTGGGAACAGGTACCAGCCTACTGGACGCTGGCGTCTGCCTTCGCCATGGACTCATACATAACTTGCGTGCTGTGTTATATTCTGCATCAGCGTAGGAGCGCATTTCGACGGCAAGTGTTACATCCTAAGCTGTTGTCTCCGGGAGTCTCACGTATCAAGCGAACAGCACCAACGCCATTTTGGAGAAACTTATCGTTTACACCATTAACCGCGGTATACTACTATGGTGAGTACGAGACCCTCAGGATGAACTCCAGGTCCACCGACGCTGAGGGATATGAGCTCGTTTCGCAGCCTGCTTTCATTACTCTGTATCATATTAGTGAGTGATACGGACACGTCGATTCCTGTTGTATCTGACTTTGACTTGTACCATAGTTACCGATAGACGGGCGACGTGGCAGTGACTACAGCGAGATAGTCTCCGTACCCGAAGCTGCCTGTGCGTGAGACGAATCGAGCACTAATTACAGCGCCACATACTTACTTGATTTACTCTGGTAACAGTGTACGTCAACTGTTTGATGGCAGTGTGCGTACGTCGAATATTTCGCTGACATCCAGTGTACTGATCTCGCAACTGGGCCTTACTGGTTAAGTCTGAACGTTCGTAATCATCTAGGCCAACTAGAGGTAGAGACGGGGCACGGAACGGTTGATTTTCCTCAGGTCCATGTGTCCAGTTCAGCGCCGCGAAGTCGATACGGAGCCTGCTCAACGCACCAGTAGCAACGAAGGCTCTCGTCCGCTACATCCATGACACCGGCCTCTTCACAGCCACCGTGTACGGCGACTTGTCGCAGGCTTGGGGAGAGGAAGGAGAAGAATACTTTGACGAAGAAAAATCGGACGTGGACAAGAGAATGACCAGCAGGAACTTAGCTGAGCAGGCGGTAGACGGATGGGTTTACGGTGACAGTCAGTCATGGTTTCTCACTTCTTTTGCTTCATACCCTACTACACATTACTCCCGAGGCTCCGGCTGATGGACATGCACTGCGAACGAAGGATGACAAGGTAAAGAGGAGGAGGGCAGTTCTACATCGTGCTTTGCCCTCAGTGACGCTAAAGGGAACAAACAAACTAACGGTTCAATAGGTGGCTGAATCGAAGGCGGCATGCAGCATGTACCCGGTGTGTCGAATGTAGGATGAATATTTGGGGTGTTCTTCGCGAGAACATAGTGTCAAGTCAATCTCATTGCCAGATACCTATGTGTACGTCAGTGCATGCTACCTAGACTAATCCAGGATCCTAACACATCTACGCCCACTTCTACGGAGAGGCGCTAATTACTCACGCACAAGATGAAACGTGTATATCCTAACTTGACAAAGGCGGTCCATCCCATTGAACCCATAAGAGATAGCGAGTGAACTGGAACAAACAGTCCGAGGGATGATCGATACGGAAACAACAGTAGGTCATGAGTCGTAAGAAGTCGTAAAGCGGATATCGTAGAGGTAGATATGTTTAAGTGAAGGTCGGCGAAGAGGTAGGGTGTTTACCAGAAGAGGATCCAGGCACCGACGAACAGGCCGATGAGGACGCCGATCGCGCGGAGCACCAGCACGACGAGGAGGGCTTTTCGCACTGCGGCGTAGAACGTGGTAAGTGCAGAGCCTGTCCAGTTTATCCTGATGTGTACGGGTAAGTTGATGCCTTCGCTTCGACATGGATGGAGAGACGTACCGCCGATCGTTCGTGCCACCCGCACGTACGCTCGCTTCCCAGCCGCGCATAACTGCACGATACCGTTTGCCAAACACCCTATAAACCGATGGTCAGTACCACACAGCAACCACCTCCATAGAACACGTACCATATCCAGAAATTAACGTCGGGATAAGAGAATCGCGGGAAGATGCTCGTCAAGCTAGGCGCAACCACCGGCATCCGGAGCATCTCCAGCGTCTCTGCATCCGGGGGCAGCAGTGACTGCGGGCTTACCATCGTTTCCTCGCCCTTCTCATTGCTCACACTCATCCTCGATTTCCCCTTGCCAATCCTCGTAGCCTTCTCCACGAGAGGCGACACTTTCGGCACTGTCATGTTCAGAAGGAGATCGAGCGTCATGCCGAGCGAGAGACCCCAGAGCTTAAGCTCCTCCTCGCCGTCCGCGCCGTACTCAAGCGTCGCACGCTTCTCATCAATGGCGAGGAGCTGCGACTTTGCATCGCCAGCTGCCGCATGCGCGAGCGGGACCGCGGCAGACGCGGAGGGTGAGATCAGGATAGCGGGGAACTGCATGCTGCCCACGAGGACGCGCATCAGGAGGCGGAGCACGGTCGAATGCCGAGGTGCAAGACGCGATGATGCGTCGACTGTTACGTGCGACCAGCGAGGGCGGCGTGGCGCACCCTTGCCTTGCATGGAGGATGGAAGGGGGAGGAGCTCGGCAAGGGGCACCCAGTGCAGTGCAGTGCCTGGGGCCGGATCAACCGGAGTTGTATGTGGTGCAAGTTGGAGGAAGACGAAGGGAGAGAGAACCATGAGGAGACGCTTGCCGAGGGAGGTGGTAACTTCGCGGTCGTCGAGCTGCCCGACTGGAGTATATGCGCTTTCGGCGAGGTCGAGTCCAATTTCCTCCCATGTTTGGCGCATTGCTAGAACATATGAGATTCATGCAATGAGACATCTGAGTGGGCACTCATACCTGTGTACATGCCACCTTCGTCAGCCTCTTCAGCCTTACCGCCTGGGAAGGCGACATGGGCCTCGCGTGTACGCGGGCCACTTCCGCTCATGCGACCTGCGTCCGCTGTCACATCCGGCTTGTCTCTGCGTAGGAAGAGAATCTCAGGTCGTGCCCCTGGCGCATTGACCCAGTCGAGCTGGAAGAATTCGGTGAGGCCCGGGGTGGGTTCAGGGGGCAGGTTGTATGACGGCGGCGGGACTACGCGAATAATGAGTGCGACCGCTGCTCTCCGAGGTTCTGCTCAGCATGCACATCGTGAGTCGTCCGAGCCCCTGAACAAAACATGACTACGCACGAGTTGCCGGCGAAGAAATGACTCTTGGCGGAGTTGAGCGGATGTGGTGCAGTGCGCGCGAGAGCAGCGGAATAATGGAGATTTCTGTGGATATATGCGTGAGCGGGTCGACGGGTGGGGACGACGAGCAGCGTACCTGGGGTGTCTGCCATGGTGGGCGGTGGCAAGGGGCGGTGGTGGGCGAAAGTGCTCGTCTGCGCGAAATTGTCCGCGCGCGGCAGCTCGGCCAATAGGCTTAGACGCCGTGCAATGCGTTGGGGAACCTGGGGATTTGACGTCACGGCCCGACCTTGCCTCTTTCGGACCCGAGTCGAGCATCCGTCGATCGCCGTGCTCATCGACTGAACCATCGTCCTCGCTGTCTTGCGCGTCGGCGACCTGGCCGCGCTGTGCTGCAGCCATCCCACTCATTCCGCGGCGCGCAAATGTCGCTATAACTCCCGCACTCCTTATCTCTACATTCCCCACGGCGGGCTCGCAGCTTCCCCAGCCGAGTCCCCGCAATCCAGTTCATCGTTCTCCGCACTCCATTCCGAGAGTCGAGACTTGCTACTCTGCTATTTAGCTCTGTGCGACTCGGCGAGAGTCATCTCTGAAGGACATCTACACTGACGAGAAGTCAAATGGCTTTCAGTCCGAAGTGATCGAGGCCCGGGCAGACTACACACATACTAAGGTGGAACTGCGATAGCGGTGAGCTTTCATCAGGTTGACTCAGAGGACAGAGCAATGGTCACTAAGCTTGATTGTTCTGTCATACATCTGGGGCGTTGTATCGACGGCAGCTTCCTCAACTCCCTGGACAATCTCGGTGATCCGGAGTACCTCTCCACGGACTTCGCTGGGCCCAGGAATGATCAGGAATGCCTTCCATCTCTCGTCTTCATACGGTGAACCGCGCCGCAACGCCTGCAAGCGCTTCACTTTTAGGTTTTGGGCATTCATTTACGTCGTGTGCTCCGTCAGATCAAATTCCCTTGCAGTGCGCACGTCGAGCTGTGGAGCTGGGTCGACCTCAATGACTTCCCCGAGGAGGAGGTTATGGGGATTCTAAGTCGCTGGCCCGCACTGCCATCCAAATTATCCCTCATAACTCGTCCAGCTTCAGCGCGCTCCTAGCGACCCTCCAGTCCGTCGACATCGAGGCCGCTATCGTGTTTGCCATCCGTGGCTGGCGGGGGACGCATGCTGTAGACCGTGACGATAAGGCATACTTCGTGCTGCGCTCACCGCCGGACTGGGAGGTGTCTCTTCGAGCGCCCTAGGCGTCCTACGGTTGCGCGGAGTCCTTGCTAAACGTCCTACTGGATGCCGCGATGTTACTCACGCCGGTGCCGCTCGTGCACCTGAGCGTGCGTGAGAACATGCTCCGGACGAAATCACGGTGCGGACCCGTGCACTGTCGCGCTACCCGCTGCTCACACCTCGCGCTCTTCGAGGGTGAGGGTGAGCTGGTGGGTGCTGCGAAAGCGCTAGGCGGGTGGTACCAGGAGGACCATGAGGCTGTTCTTTGTTGGCACTTCAAGTCGCTCGGGCTCGAGGGATGACTTGAAATGGCAGCCATCGTGTGCCTAGCGAATGCGCTCGAGGATCGTGCCTTTCGACGCGGATCGTAGAGGAAATGCTGACCCTGCACACGGAAAACAAGTACCACGGCTATATGAACGACTACAACCAAGACATCGGCGGATGGAACAATCGGTTGGCCCAGCCTCTGTGCACTGGTTAGTATTAATTTTACGTCGTCCCGAACCAAGGTATGTATGGGCACTTGCTTTGTGGAGACCGCTCGTACGCATGATACTCATGAGCGACAAAGGTTAAATGAAACATCGTTCGCTATTCACACCTACGAGCATCGCAAACCCGTGGCTTCGCCACGGGTTTACGGGGCAATTTCTTCATTCTGTGCTTCATGTAACTTTTAAGATTTCATGCTTATGCAATGCCAGACCTGGGCTTCGCCTCAGGTCTGGCGGCAGTTCTTTCATTCTGTGCTTTGTGTTACTTTGAAGGTTATATGCTTGGGCATTGCCAGCCCATGGCTTCGCCACGGGCTGGCAGCATTAGTTCATTCAATGCTGTGTGTTAGTCTTCATGCTTCCCGGCCTGTGGTTCAGTGATATCTTTGTCTTCTCGAATATAATCTGACATTTCTTACTATTTCCCGGTGCTGGTGTGACATTCCCTATTGTCCTGGTATCCTATTGCCCGGTACTGATTTCCCGGTGCTCACAATATGTTCAGTCTTGTAATTTCATTTTAATTGAATGTTTCCCGGCCTGTGGTACACATCCAGCAATTGTCTTCTTGAGTATGATCTGATGTTTTGAATATCACTACGGTTTCATCCTATTATTTCCCGGTACTGATATTCCCTATTGCCCGGTACTGATGTGTCCTGTTTTCCCACTACCTTCAGTACTCACAGGTTCTATTTCCCGGTACTGAGTTGTCCTGCATTGCGCGCGGAAATCCCGCGGACAGCTCGGGCGGGGGTCGCAGGCGCCGGGGAGGAGAGAGCGCCCGACCGGTAGGTGGCTGAGCCCACGCGGCGAACGTGGACGCCATGTGCTCTCCATGTGGGTTTCTCGTGGCTTGCCACGCGAGTTACGCGCGCCACATCGACACCGTCGTCCCATAATGTTATAGACGAGCATCGCAAACCCGTGGCTTCGCCACGGGTTTACGGGGCAATTTCTTCATTCAGTGCTTCATGTAACTTCTAAGATTTCATGCTTATGCAATGCCAGACCTGGGCTTCGCCTCAGGTCTGGCGGCGGTTCTTTCATTCTGTGCTTTGTGTTACTTTGAAGGTTATATGCTTGGGCATTGCCAGCCCGTGGTGGGTGATTTCTTCATTCTGTGCTTCATGTTACTTTTAAGATTCCATGCTTAGGCAATGCCAGACCTGGCCTTCGCCTCAGGTCTGGCGGCAGTTCTTTCATTCTGTGCTTTGTGTTACTTTGAAGGTTATATGCTTGGGCATTGCCAGCCTGTGGCGGGTGATTTCTTCATTCTGTGCTTCATGTTACTTTTAAGATTCCATGCTTAGGCAATGCCAGACCTGGGCTTCGCCTCAGGTCTGGCGGCAGTTCTTTCATTCTGTCCTTTGTGTTACTATGAAGGTTATATTCTTGGGCATTGCCAGCCCATGGCTTTGCCACAGGCTGGCAGCATAGTTCTATTCAATGCTGTGTGTTAATCTTCATGCTTCCCGGCCTGTGGTACACTGTCAGTGATATGCTTGACTTTTAGAATATCAGGGCAATTGTATCCCCTATTTCTCAGAGTATTCTTGCATCATTTTCCTGGCACTACTCAGATATCTTATTGCCCGGTACTGATTTCCCGGTGCTCCCAATACGTTCAGTCTTGTGATCGCATTTAATTCAATGCTTCCCGGCCTGTGGCACACATTCAGCAATATTTCTTGTCTTCCTGTTTTCCCGGTACTGAAATTGCCCATTTTCCTGGTATTTATGTCACATTCTCCCATTACTGTTTTCCCTCGCCTCGGGAACACCTCAGTACTCACAGGTCTCATTTCCCGGTCCTGATGCCTGTTTTCCCGGTACTGAGTTGTCCTACATTTCGCGCGGTGATCCCGCCTCGGGGATAGCTCGGGCGGGGGTCACAGGCGCCGGGGAACAGAGACCCGCCCGGCCGGTAGGTGGCTGAGCCCACGCGGCGAACGTGGACGCCATGTGCTCTCCATGTGCGTTTCTCGTGGCTTGCCACGCGAGTTACGCGCGCCACATCGACACCGTCGTCCCATAATGTTATAGATAGATTCCTTATGTACAGAGTGATTGTAGCCGATCTGGTGCTGAATCTCGCCATGACATGCGCGTCACATTGCAGCAGTTGGCTGATGCGATGCTTCGCCACGACATATGTTTTGCCGACCGTCATACGAAGGCAACTTACCGTCTTGCCCAGGTCACGTATCAGCAACCTCACTACCAATGCGAGCCAGTCAAGTACTTCCTCGGGATGCCAGCGTGTTCTGGTCCCTGTTCATGTAGGATAGGACTTGGCGAGACCAAGTTGGCGCATCTGGTGCGTCCGGCTTAGCTTCATCTCTGCCAAACTACTAAATCGGGACAAGGTACAACGATGCTAGGCGACGCACGTATTTTAAGCATAAGCCTGCTTACTGCAATGTGATCTTCGACGTGCGACCTCGTGCCACGCGGACGAGGATCGCTGTATGGGTGATCGTTGTCAGCAGACCTCGAACCGGACGTACTACGGGACGGTGTATTCTCGGCGAACACTAACGTCTCCCATGTTTCTCTCACTACGTTTTCGCCGGGGTACGGGTCAGACACATAAATACGCCATGCCCGTACTGGTGCTGCGGTGTGCCCAGCATGTTTCCAAGTCTACTCGCTGCCGCACTGACGTTAGCAGGTGCCATAGGCGCGAAGGCATCGCCAGTCGCCTCTGCGGAGACACAGTCAATTCCGTACACAAGTCCGTTCATCTATTATCATGGGCGATGGGATGCTGCACCAGCGACTTGGTGGTATGCCTCTCTCACTTCCATTCGTCAGTTGTGATTGATGAGTTCTGCTCACAGGGCTTCGTCTGGGTTCAAGTTGCATGTCGCGAATCTGAAGTCGCTCACACTCGCTCTGGGTCCCAATACGACATCGCCTCTAGCCTCTCTCGGTGTCTCGGTTGATTACCAGCCTTTCGTTACCGTCAACGTCTCCGAGGGCGTGAACGAAATCAACGTCAACGGTGCGAACCCGTCGTCTTCAGTGGTCCGATTCAACGTGGAGGAATGGCAGGATAACCGTGTAAACCTCGAGCGCATTGAGCTGAACACAGTAAGTGCACAGAACACCCACTGCTAGCTGGCTCGGGCCGTTGACGATCGTATACTTGCCAGGACGCGACCCTGCTTCCATATGTCCCTCAGCCGCTTGTCTTCCAGTTCATCGGGGACTCGCTCTCGGCCGGGCAGTTTCTCCCCATGGGTGTCGACCAAGCGTGGAACTTCATGACAGCAGAAACGTTCAAAGCCGAGCACCGTATTAATGCCCAGCCTGGTGCCACGCTGACCGACATGGAATCGTATGGGAATGTGCATGGCGTCTCCTTCCAGTACTTCCGGACGGAGGACACTGGCTATTATAATACGCCTCAGCATAATTATACGACGCCATGGGACTTCCTGCGCGACCAGCCGCCGCCGACTCACTTCGTGATCCATATCGGGTAGGGTTTTCTAGTAACCTAGTTGACCATGCCTAGCCCGTCGCTCACTGAGCCCCGCAGTGCAAATGATGCGTCGTGGGACGTCCCTGAAGCGAACTTCACGCAGACATACCTCGCTTTTGTGGAGCGCATCCGCACTATGTACCCGATCGAACCAATTTTCGTCTTCACGCCCTGGGGTTGGCCACAACCAGACGGCCCGAACACGTACTACTACCCCAACGCGTACACAGACGTCGTCGCCGCTCGCCACGCACTCGGTGACCAGCAGATCTTCCTGGTTAATACGACCGGCTGGGTGGACTATTCCGATGTTTATCCCGCGTACGTGCCAGAGTCTACGACGTTGGGCTGAAGCCGCTCACATATGAAATGCATAGAAATATCCACCCGGATGTCGAGGGGCACCAGAAGATTGCTGGCTTGTTTGAGACATGGTTGGAGGGTTGGGGTCTGCAGCGGTTGCCAGAGTGGCTGACAACTTGACGGGTAAAGAGTGCCTTCGGCTGTTGTGGTACTTAGTTGTGTCCGTCGTTACAGGGTTCCGCGGATATAATTTGCACCTCACGGCATGTCATCTGCTGGTACTTGAGCCGTGCGTCAGACCACTTCAAAGCATGACCGCGAGGCTCTCGAAGACTGAGATGAGTACATACTGATACTTCACAGGCTGTGTATACAATTGGGATTTGTCTTGCATGGCTTTGTAGTGTAGCGGTTATCACAGTGGATTCTGATGCTAGACATGCTTAGTAATCGGATAAGACTCATTCGCATCGTCACCTCGTCCCTGTATTACTATACGACATGAAGATGGTCGCGTCGTGTTTGAAAGGGCGTGGGAAGACGCGCGGTGCTTAGGCGCTAGTAGCGTAGTGCGAAACCGCGACCAATCTGCGTCCGTTACTTGCATCCTTCCAGTTCCACGTTTACCGGACGCTTCTCAGCCAGCTACACGGCATCTGTGCTTTCATGGCAGGCACTAGCTCCTCCAAGCGCAAGGTTCCAAGCAACATAGATACCGAGGGTCGTAGTAGTGGACGTGAGAACAAGAAAAAGAAGACATCAGCAGCGGCAGAAAAGGCGACAGCGTAAGTGGTGTTTGTATTCGACAGGGTTGATTAGTGCCTCACAAGAGTTCCCATGCGACAGGAGTGCGATAGGCAAGACAGAGATTGCCGCTCTCTTCGCCGGCTTGACCCAAGTTTTCCCGATCGTCCGCGAACTGCAAGCTCTAGTACCGGAGTCTGCGGCAATGGAGGTGCCGACTACCCCGCAGACCATTGGCTCTGGTTCATCGGTGGGCAACGCATACACAGCGCCTCCGGGGCAAGAAGGTTCTGCGCGTCACACCAGTTCCTCATACTGTTCTTGTGCTGTTTGGCTGATCCCTATCCCCTTGTAGTCGCTGTGGGCGGTGAAGTCGGAGGCGCATATACGGACACTAGTATGCCTCAAGAACAAGTCTTGTTGCCCACAGACAGTGATCCAACCTCCTGCGCTTCATGCTGACCTGAATGCTGAAACCCTTCTCCGCCCCTCAGCCCCTGGTAGCGTCAGCTTCAGTGACACTAGTCACATCAGCAACACGATGGGAAAATCGCCTAACGAAACGGCTGGCTTGTATGCAGACGACCCCCCTCAAGTGTTGCCCACGGCTCAGGACGAAGGTCTGCAAGGCGCTGAACTCCTCACTGAAGATGCCGTGATGACGGACAGCAGCCTCATCTGGGGATAATCAACTAGCTCGCTCTCAAGCTGGCTACTCGGTCTCGTCTGTCTTGCTGCTGCCTCTCTCTGTCTCTCTCCTATGGCTCATCACCCTCGGTATCTGTTAAAACCTCTGCCGCTGTCTGTTGATCCCTCTGCTACTGTCCATGGATCCTTCTGCCGCCGTTTCGTAGTATTGCTGCTGTGTGTTGTAATTGTAACTGTTTGTGACATGAGAATGTAATAGCCTCTGAGCTTTTACGTATATGCTGGGCCACAGCCGTGACAATGACGAGGTAGCATCCCCTCATGTTCCAGATGATGTCACCATGCAGATGACGTAATGTGGCCAGACAGTGAGTGCTTGCCATTGAGTCCACGACGGCCAGAGGACCGCTCTTTGTGGCTTATCTCTGTCTCTCATCATCTCCGGTGCTACTTGCTCACGACCCGAGCCCTCGCTTAATGGAAGGCTCATCAATAGCTCAGATTGAGCGAGCCGCAGTTGCTGCAGAACCAGCGGCCAATAATGTCATGGGACGGAAGCACCAGGACAAGTTCTCGGGGCCGTCGGCACAGCCAGCAGTGGGAGGCCAGGCATATGACGGACCGGTTGTACGCAATCCTTTAGCCCCCGTTCCCAAGATCTCCGATCGCATAACCAACGGGCGAGGGAGTCTCGCGATTCGTGACCGCATACAGTACCTCAAGCAGCACCCGGACGAACTGCGCGAAGAAATTGGACGCATTGATCAAATCATCGAGAACGCATTGCCATATGAATCTCCTTCGACGGCGGGTTCCCGTGAGCGTATATTGGAAACCTGGAGCTTGATCATCCCGATCCTTGCCCAGCGCGAAATCCCGCAGGTAGACCTTTGGAACGTGGACATAGTGGCAAAATATGCAAGAGAATATCTCATTTTCCGGGTGTGTACTCTTTCCATTTGCATGCAGTCGCACTCACGCCAGTGTGTACGCAGTTGAACTGCACGGACGGCAAAGGTGGCGCCAAGTTCGTCAAAGCGATGACACTCCGGAACTGGCACAACCACCTGGTGCATTGTATTGCAAAGTACACTATCGATGCCCAAGCTCGCAAATGCGGTTCACAGCTCCTCGTTGCAGGAGGGCTCTACGTTGCACTTGAGACCGTAGTTGATACCCGTGAGTGTAAAACCCTTCCTACTATGCGCATATACGCGCTGATTGACGTCATGCCGGTCTCCATTGCAGTCATCATTGACAACTCGCTCAATCGCCACAACGATGAGCGAAAGTACTTTGGACGCGAGGAATTGCTTCTCTTGCTGGAGGCAGGAATGGGGGATGGCAATGAAGCCTCGTCGTTTGCGCGCTTTCAGCTCAACACGCAGTTGACCATTGCGTTCACGACTGGAACTCGACCATCCAGTCTCGCATTTGCACATCCAGATTATGAGAAGCGCGGACTCGTGAGTTCACATGCCTCGCTATGTGCAAATCCCAAAATCCCATGCGGACTGATTGTCGTTCATTTCTTCTCTAGTACCCGACGTTGGCAGACATCGTTTTGGAGCGTCACGAGGGAGGCATTGCGGTCAAGTTGCATCTCAAAAACTTCAAGGTACAAGTGTCGTCTGCGTGCATACACTGTCCCTCATTCTATGTTTGTTCACTCGGACGGCTTTGTGCTGCAGGGTTCAAATGGCCCGGCTGATGGCAAAGAGCAGTGGCTGATGCTGACTCCCGTGGGAGAGTGGTTCAACCTACCATTTGAGACCGGCTTCTGGTTAGTGGGGGCGCTGGTGTTGCGTGAGGCGCTGGCAGATCATGATGTACGTCCACGGATTGGCCTGCGTAACCCACTGATACTGAGCCTGTTGGTCTTGTACAGAGCATTGACTCGGTCCTAGACGGAGAAGAGGCCAAGATCCGGATAAAACCGGAGTGTCTGAGCGAACCACTGTGAGTGCTCTGCGCGCGACGGGTTCAAGGGTGTGGGCTGAACTTCAAGGCCAATAGATTTTTGGCCAACGCTCCCGGTGGGCGGGAACGGGAGGGTGAGAAGAAACCGCAGAGCGCACGTGCTCTCTCAGAGGCAATCACACAACGTTGCCGTTCTGCTGGATTGGACGGGGGTGGGATGTATGTGTTCCGTCGGGCCGCTGCGGACTGGGTGAGTAGCATTTGCATGCCGGGCATCATGGTGACTGACATGCAACCAACATCAGTTTGGGAGGCTTCTCGCTGCAGATGCTGCAGCTGAGCTCCTGGGTCACAAACCGGAGACACAGCAAATCTTCCGGAAGCACTATTCCCGTGGATCGTTGAATATACCTCTGGTTGCGCAGCGCTTGGGCGAGATGAAAGGCCCAGGTTCCGCAATGGCCGAGGTGCGAACATCTATCAGTTAATTGCGTCTGTATGATTAAAAATGTGGGCGCACAGGTGGCCGCTCGGCAGCAAGTGTTTTCCTCTGTGGCAGTCAAGTGTCTTGTTAGGCGCATGGGGAGAGACGGGCGCAAGGACAAGGGCAGCACCGGGGCAGAGCCTGAGAGCAGTGTATCCGGAGAGGCTGGTGTGTCTGAAGAGGGCGAGGCGCCCGGTGCTGCTGCCGAAGCAGAAGACCCGGACGATCCAGAGCTGACGGCAGCAGAGCAAGCAGAGACACTGGTACGATTCTCAGGTTTGCTTTGTGACATGGTCTAACAGAGAACGGCAAACACTAGGCCCACCCAGAAGTTGTTGGGCATCAGAGAGACCTTGACATCGCCTGGGATGGCATATACGAGCTCTTGCCGGCCGGCGCGAAGAAACACAAGCCGTGGGTGCAAGCTGAACGACAACGCATTAAAATGCTACGCCGCGACTTTGACCGTCTTCCTACAGTCACGGAGGAGGCTTTTGCAGCGGTGCGTCTGATAGGGACTCACATCACTGGTGCTACTGATTCACACCGGAAATGCAGGCCGAAGAGGTGATGCTGAGTTGCCTGGTGGGCTTGCAGAAGATCCGTGGCGCGCATCTCAGAAGGGCACGACGCGCCAAGGTGGAAGTGTCACGAAAGGCAGCTCTCAGCGTGAAATGGGACACGTTGAAGGCACGCCAAACCGCCCAAGCACAATTGAATGAGCCCATGGCTCGGGTGAAAGAGGCGTTGAAGGCGCAGCAGGAAGGTATGTTGACCTGTCTACATTCGCTTTACACGGATGATTGACATGTACGTCGTGGAGGGGGACTTGCCGTTCCGATTGATCGGAGTCTGCTACGCTTCCCAGACGCCTGGGAGAATGAGGAGGAAGACACCGCCGAGAATGAAAAGGCCTCGAAAGAATTGTCGTTGCACTTGAGGTTGATCGTGTCGGGAGCAGGCTCTAATCGGGGTCCTGGCCCGGCGAAGACAACGGTAGAGCCCAAGGGCAAGGGTAAGGAGAGAGAGACTGGCCCATCGGACACCATTCCTGGTGGTCTGTTTCACTTTGAGCCAGAGACTGAACAGCCAGCCGGCGAAGAGCCGATCAACGCCTCCGACGCTGCGGCAAACACACTAGGTAGCGGCGAGGCAGTTGACATCCATGCCGTGCGGAAGGAGTTTCTGAAGTCACTAGTGGACCCAGTGGTAGAGTATAAGCAGAACAAAGCGTTCTTCGAGGTACGAGTCGAGGATCATGTGTGGTATAGCAAAACTGACGCTGTGGACCCGTTACAGGAGCACCATAAATGTCTCCAATGTCAACGATACGTCTCCAACGAGACGAAGCAGAAGAAGGAGTGGACGTCTTTTGGTAGACTCTCGAGGCATATGTGAGAGCCTCTGTTGGGATTGACGAGGAGCATACAACCGACAGACGGTCTACAGCAAAGAGTGTCACAACCCATGGGCGGAGCTCGAGCTGCTGATGTACGCGCCGGACGGCCGCATGCACTGCCCGCTCAAGACATGTGACTTTGTGTGAGTGGTTGACGCATTGGCACGGGGGACTGTCGGTGACGATGAGTTGCAGGTCGACAAATGTTGCGTCCGTCCGCAAACACTGTCTGAATGGGTGCGAGAGACGCGATGCGTTCAAAGCGATGCAGGAGCAATATGCAGGGCAGCAGATGAAGAGAAACGCCGACTGGGTAGTGTGGAAGGCCAAACAGAAGGAGTTGGAAGGTGCGTGGCACGCCTCCGCGCGGTCGCACCTCCGCACCGCCTTTGCCCTGCCAGCGACAGCCACTGATGAAAATGACAGAGGCTGCCGCCGTGGATGAGGAAGGGGCAGCTGGTCCCAGCTACACGGATGAAGTGAGGTTCATCATTCGCGAGAGGTGACATGATGTACTGACTGCGGCATGGAAGGTCGAAGGTCCAAGTGTCACTCTAACGGCGAACATGAGCCGTGCCGCATTGCTTGAGGCGGCTCGCTCCTTCTTGCGTGGCATCAAGACGACGTTTGACCGAGTGATGCGACTGGATTGGGAGACACTGTTTGCACAGGGCCAGGAGGTGAGGCGACTCTTGGCGATGTTTGAACGCGCGCTGAGCGGAATTCCTACAGCTCGGGTACTTTGGCGGAACGGAATTTGCGGCGTTTGAGAAAGACTTGAAGGGCTTGAAGGACTTGATCGAGGGACTCTATCAAGAGGCAGCGAAATGATGTTGTCGTATTAGAGAATGTCCTGGCAATGACTGCAGCGCTTGTACGTGAGGTCAAGAGCGAACAAAGGGACGGCGGTTTCGCATAAGGAGTCCGTATGGCAAATGTGGGAAGGACCCACCATAGCAGTGCGCCATCTCTAGTGCGCGCATTTGCGCCGCATGCGTACCTCCCCCACTTCAGCGTGGAAGAACAAGACTCGCGCTTTGAAAATGCAGGCAGTATATGTTTCCCACCTCGTACAAAACAAAAGTGTCGGGCAACGTTGCCCGCGTTTTCCGCCCCCGCTTACAGTACATCGCGCGGACCCCGCTCGTCGCCTGCATTACCACTTGTTCCATTGCCCGCACCCTGATCCGAGTTGCCGTTCATCGTCGTATACAGACTGAGTGGGCATTGAGTCCGTGAGGATGGGCGGGCCAACAAGGCAGAACTCACCGTGTTATGTCCTCTCCTTCGCACTTCTTGGCAGCACTCCTAGCCGGTACCGGTTCCCCACCTTCATCGAGAATGGCTCGCGCGACGCGCGTATTGGCCGGATCTCGATCTCACCCTCGCTGTGGGCGAACGTGCGGGGCGATATGACACGAGAAGAAGCCCCGAGACAGGGAGCGCGGCGGCGAACCAACTTGCCCATCTCGTGCAGCGCGATGACTCTTCTGCGGTGTGAGGGAATGGGCGAGCTCTGGCCATAGACAACACCCATGAACGCGAGGAAGACGACACTCGGTCTCGCAGCTTCGTGATCAACACACGGTCGATCGCAGTGTTGCTGAGAGCGGAGGCGATGGTGAAGCCGTCTCTGACCCTCCTCCTCAATTCGCGCCAGAAAGGCGGCGCCGGTGTCACTGCTGCGGCACCATTGCACGAGTCGAATGACGCAAGCGACCCACTCGACGACTCGTTTGCCTGCGCAAACTGTACATGGCGGGGTGGGTATGCGTGACGCGGATACCGCTGTCGAGTACGCCGTCCATGACCGCGCGGCAGTCCGCAAAGTCGAAGTTGGTGAGGAACCCGAACGAGCCGAGCGCGATGGGCGGCCGCCGGTTGAGGACCGCGCGGTGCATGCATACAGGGAAAGTCACGATACAAACGGGCCTTGCATTGTTTCCTTGCATACAGAATCCACGACATTCTAGGACATACTGGCAGGGGTATAGTCCCTGAGAAAGGCTTGTACAAACGCCGCGTCGTCTGCCTCACCCAAGGTCGCCACGACTGAGAGCAGGACGCGAGAGGCAAGCTCGTGGCGGGCGCGCCGATCGTGCGCGGGCGTAGCGTTGGCAAGGGCGCGGTATACGTCGGCAAAGGTGGACGAGCGATGGAGCGCAAGGTGCGCGACGTCCCAGAGTGGGTCAAGCAATATGAGCGCGCCAAACTGGAGTGGTGATGTCAGACGTCGGTGAGTTGCGTGCTGTGGGACTCACATGGTTGTACATTTCGAGCAGGCGGTTGCGTGCGGTGATCACGGGCTCGTTCCGTCGGATCCACTGCGTGAGCTCGGTGTTGAGCGGCCCGTTCAGTTGGTTGTCGATGTCTTTGCGGCTGAGCCCCTGCAGCTGTGGTTGGATGTGCGGCAGCTGGCGGAAGGTCGAGCGGTTGAAGTTTCGCTTGTAGGCTCGGCTACCCTTGCCGGTGCGCGCGCACCAGTCGGATGCGAATTTGAGCACTTCGACATGTTGCAGGATGAGATGGAGCATGTGGGAGCGTTGTCTAGCAGCGCTGAACGTCTCCAGAGTCTGCGGAGGGCCGATGATGGCGCATATAGTGACATGACACAGCGCACTCACCGCATGTCTTTCGACGAGGCGTTGTCCGACGTCTGGTTGATGAGCAGCCTTTGCAGCGCCAGCACGAAACTCGGCGGATGACGGGAGGGCCTGCCGCAGGGGTTCTAGGACACGTTGCTGGTGTGATGTGAGGCGGTGAGGCGAAGAGGGAGCAATAGCGAGCGCACCCATTCTGCGAGTTCCGCGTCCTCGTACCCTCTCAGCAGTATCGCCAGCCCTGCGTCTTCCGCGGTAGCGTGTGATCCTGGGGGGAGGGCGGCGATGACATTGACCATTGCTGACGTCGGAAGCGGGACAGACCCGTCGTGTTTGCAGATCTTTTCGAGCCGGCGGAGGACGGTGGACGGTGCGCGCACAGTCGGGGCGGGCTCGGTGTCGCCGCCATCGTCGCCGGGGAAGAAGCCTTGTTGCACGCAGGTGTTCACCGCAGGGATCAAGTCAGCTACAGTGGAGCCCAGGCGGCGTCTGACTGAGCGGGCTTCGGGAGATGCAGAGGGAGCCAAGGGACGCAGCCGCTTGAGAGAGGATAGGACCGCGGACAGGTCAGCGAGGAGTAGCTCTTCATCGGGTGTGCTTTCGGCCAGCGGCGGTTGCGTGGGCATGCTGGACCAGGTTGCGAGCAGACCCGCGCGCGCGCGACGGACGGCGCTCGACGGCCGCTGGTCACGTGTCCGCGCGACTCGTGTGCGTGTGCGCGCGAGTGGCCTGTGCGCCCGTTTCGCATACGAATCCGTACGCGAAACCTGACACGTGAGAGGAGGGTCGAGCGGGCAGGGTGTGCGGGGCAAGGGCGTGCGACGGGCAGGGTGTGCGGCTCGCGGCGTTGCACAGGAGGCGGCGCGGGCGCGGGCGTGCGGCGGCGAGGGTGTGCGGCGGCGGAGGGGCGAGGGCGTGCGTGCCTGCGGCACATGATTCCCAAGAGGTCCTTGGGAATCCTGAGTGTGGTGGTGCGAGCCGGGTGAGGGCACTGTGAGAGCACGCATGCATGGGCCGCTTCCGGCGTCGCTGCTAGTGTCGCTGCTGGTGTCGCTGCGGTGTCGCTGCCGGTGTCGCCGTCTCCCACGTCCGCGACGCTCTCTGCGACGAGCTAGCGATGCCAGCGCTTCGCCGCGCCGCCTTGCGCACGGGCTGTTAGTTACGGAGAATACGTTACCTATTGGGCCACAGCCCATGAGCTAACCAGGAGTAGCGCGGCGCAGTCGATTGGAATGCGGGTGAGATGAAGAACGCAGCCACCGTCGAGAATGTCTGTCCTATGACGGCGGCGCGCAGCGACCTTCTTTCAGGGCACCCCCCTCTCCTTTATACCCAGCCCAATATGGCAAAACAGAGCACACGTGCATGCATTAAACAAACGCGACCTCGCGAGTCGCGTCGGACACATGATCGCGTTTTATAACGTTAACGCGTTCCCACGTGATTGCTTCCATCGCGGCAGGGGTTGGCTTGGATAACGCCATCCACGGATATCCGTAGATATCATCCGTTTCCCCGCCCTCACCATCCGTTTTCCTGCACAATTTACTCCCACGGTACGTGGGGTCACACGCAGTCAGAGATTCCCGATCTGTGCATGTCGCAAGACGTCACTCATTACTTCACCATCTTGTGATGGCGTACTCATAAACGTGGGGGGCAGTGATACAGGGAAAGGGCGAAGCGGCGGGGTCGCGGCGGGCACGTGCACGAGGTCGAGGTTGTCCGCGCACGGCCGACAAGGGTGGCGCGCACGCACTGGGCGGGGTGACGGGCGGCGGGCATGATTCCCAGGAGGTCCTTGGGAATCCTGAGTGTGGTGGTGCGAGCCGGGTGAGGGCATGCATGGGCCGCTTCCGGCGTCGCTGCTAGTGTCGCTGCTAGTGTCGCTGCTGGTGTCGCTGCTGGTGTCGCTGCGGTGTCGCTGCCGGTGTCGCCGTCTCCCACGTCCGCGACGCTCGCTGCGACGACGCGGGGGATGCCGTGGCCCCGCCTGTGGCACGGTGCGGGGGCGGCGGCGGCGCGCGGGTGCGTGCGCTGCGAGGACGGTGCGTCGCGCAAGCATCTGTTGTGGCGGCAGCATCATGTGACGTATGACGTGCGGTCGCAGACGAGAGAGCGGGCTGCCCGCTGCGCCAGCTGCGACCGCACGTCATCGGAAGGCGCCGACGCGCCGAGCGGCAAGGCGTGCTGTGGCGTGACGGTGCATTGCTCGCAAGAGGTCGTTGGCGCGGGGTGCGCGCGCTGCGGCGGGGGGCGGCGGTGGACGCAAGTGGCAGCATAGCGGGGCTGCGCGCGTGGGACGCGGGGGGGTAGGCGGGGTTGTGGCGGGCGATGCGGGATGGGAGGCCGCAATAAACGTCGGGGGCAGAAAGGGCGAAGCGGACATGGCGCGTCGCACTGCGGGGTCGCTGAGACGACTCGGCGACGGGCACGTGCACGAGGTTGTCCGCTTAACCCTCTTGGACGCGGTCAGTCCGTGGATGATTGCGGTACTATCTGCGCGGCGCGGGCCGACAAGGGTGGCGCGGGCGGGGTGACGGGCGACGTGACGGACGCGTGGGCGCGACGCAGTGGTGGTCGGGGACGGCGGCGACGGTGCAGATCAAACGGCATGCTGGCCGGGCGAGGTGACGGGCGCGACGGGTCGGTGGGCACGTGCACGCTGGCGGACGGCGGCGGCGGCGATCAGACAGCATGCTGGCGGGGCAGTGGGGGCGGCGACGCGGGGCGGCGGGCTTCTCGGGTGGTGCGGGCGCGGGGCAGGGCAGGACTCGAACCGGGGCGTGAGGTACCTAACCCAGGTTCGATTCCTGGCAAGGCCTTCTTTTTTCCTTCCCTACTTTTCGAGGGTGTAGCAGTCGTCTTTTGCCTCGAAATGACCCGAGGGGCTAGAAGCTGTGTGATAGCGCGCGGACGAGTGCATGAGGCGCGCACGGACCCGGTGGCACGGGCGCTTGACGCGCGTCGCGGTCACGTGCGGTGACATCATTGCGCCTCGCGCTGTGGCTGCTGCTGCGAGTCGTTCACCGACATTGCCTTTTTTTCACCTTTCACGACATTACGACCAGCCATGAACAACGGCCAAACATGGGACAATGCTCAACAACACCTACTCCGCGGTGAGCAAGTAGTAGCGCAGCGCGTCAAGTCTGCTTGGGTGGGATTCACAGGTGCGTATTCTTCGCGTCGCGGGTTGGACTCACAGCGACGACGGCACTGCCGTAGACTTTGCGTTGCGCGAAAATGTGCTCGAGGTTGCGGTCGGTCTGATGATCGCATCCGCGTTCACCACAATCGTCAACTCCTTCGTTTCCGACCTCCTCCTGCCGCCACTCTCGCTACTGCCGTTCATGTCCCACAGGAACCTCCCGCAAAAGTTTGTGGTGTTGCAGAGGGGCGAGAACGGCACGCACTACAACACGCTGCAGCAGGCACAAGACGACGGCGCCGTCACGATGAACTACGGGTGAGCATCCTTCGGTTGCGTCTACGCTCAATCAACGAACATCGGCTTTCAGAATGTTCTTGGACCACCTCATCAATTTCCTTGGTCTCGGCATCGTCTTATACAGTGTTGCCCAGTTCTACTCCTTTGTGTCGAAGGACTCAATCATCAAGCACACCGTGCGGTGCTACGCCTGTCGGAAAGAAATATCTGCAAAGGTAGCGTCGATGTTGTCCGTCTTCTCTGCGTGCATTGACTCATCGGAACATGCACAGGCGAAGAGATGCGCATTCTGCACCAGTTGGCAGGACCAGAGGGAGGAGGGCGAGACGAGCGCGCTATGAACCCTTAACGAGGAATCTGATGAACGCCGCCATGTACTCTGTCCGCACAAATCAATGTAGTGATGCACTCCTAGCATACAATAATATTTGTCTTCTTTGTCTCCCGTCTCTCACCCTTGTAGCGGTAACCCGCATATCTCACAGTCACTTCCGCCATGGGTGTTTACGAACGTGCAGTGCGGGCAGACACGCTCGCTTCCACCAGCTGCAGCAAAGCCGCCACCTTGCCCAGCAGAGTCTCGGGCGATCTGGTCAAAGAGTTCTGGAGGGATGTCTTCGTCCATCGCGGTATGTGCCGGGCCAGACGGCCCAGATCCTGCGGGGCGCGCCGCTATAGGTGTCTGATGAGTCAGGCCACTCAAACGGGTACGAATATGGGACGTACGTGTTGTCTCGCGCGTGAAGGTCATGAGGGTCTGCCAGCCGTCTGTACGAATGAGCGCATCCAAGACAGTCGGATCGTCTAGGTTCGGTGATGTTGCTGTCCGGATCAGCACTTTCATGTCATCCTGTGAGTCCGAGGAACGTCAGCGCGAACGCGCTACCCTTGCACCAACGCTGCACTTACGGATGAGATTAACTGCGTCGTCCCGAGGAAAGCGACGAGGTGCCAGTCGCTCAGCCAGCTCGCTAGTGCGGCCCGCTGCCGCTGGTCACCCCCGCGCGAGCTCTCTGGGATATCGGGCGCATGCAGCTCTGCGAGTTGGCGTAAGACCTGTTCGATGCTCTGGTTTTCCAGACCCGGCCGATTCTCGATGGGGAACGTGGCTGAGTGGAACACCGGCGAGGGGTTCTGCGGGAAACCGTTCGAGACCTGCACATCCAATCAGAGTGAGATTCCGCTCAGGACACGCAACGGAGAGTGCCTCACATTCACGAGGAGATACTCGACCGGGAAGCACGGCTTCGCGCTCTTCTGCACGTCGAGGCCGTACTCGTTCTTATACCGGAAGAATACGTCAGGCACATACCGCGCCGAATCTTCGCTCCGATCTTCCTCCTTCACACGCACGATCCCTGGATCAACGCTGGCCTCGATCATGTCTGCCTCCACCATTGCGCATGCCTGCTCCGACACCTGGTACGCCGACACGTCGATTCCGCCGTCTGCGGTGCCCGTTAGCACAGCCGTGACCAGGCGCGAGCCGAACAGGCCTGTATCCGAAGACCTCAACGGCGTCGGATTGGCTTTCTGCACGTGTGCAGCAAAAATCGCCTCGAGAGACGAGAGGTAGAACGATTGGGGGTGCCGCTTGTACATCGTGCGCGTTCGGTCTTTCTCCTCAGGTTCGAGGTCGGTGAAGATGTAGCCTACAATCTGCAAAGGCTTTGCAGAAGCGCGGGCAAGTTCCTTGATTTGTTGTTCGTCCTCCCACGGCAAGCCAAGCGACAGCCCGTCCAGCTCGCCCTCCTGCGGTGGTTCATGAATCGCTTCCACCACCGCCTTCACGCCCATCGGTACTTCCTCGTACGGTTCGTAGTGCCCGATCAACCACCCGAAGCGCTGTGTGCCCGTCCGTCGCCAGGCATGAAGGAAGCGATCGACGATGGCTGTGGACGCGATCTCGAGGTGGTCAATCATCCGGAAGGGCTGACTCTGCAGTGTGATCGCGGACGGTTGGCACGCCGTACAGATCGACGCCGGCCATGGCGGGTGGCCGCCGCTTGGACACGGTACTTTAACCTTGTACGACAGCTGTGAAAGCGGGGGGAGGAGGGCAGTTGACGACGTCGTCGCAGAGATCTTCGGGGTGAGCTTGCGAATGTATGCGTGATAGGACAGGTGCTTGATGCTGTGCTCCGCGTGATATGCGGCGTCGTATGGCTCCAACGGCATGCAATACTCGCACATACCCGCCGGACCATGTTTACAGAACCGCGGGTCGCGTTCGCGCGGAATCTTGCCGTCCTTGGAACGCCAATAGGTGTCTACTGGGTCTTCTTGGACAAGCTCCCAAGGACGCTTAGCCACCGCACCGCCCGCATGCGCTGTTTGAGACGATTCGGCAACTGTTGCCGCCTCTGGGGCACTCTCTTCACGCGGCTTGTACGAAACGAAGACAAGGTCTCCATGCCTGCGAGGGCGCTGGTTAGTCAGATCTGGCCAGACATTCTGATCCAGGGAGCATCATCTAACGTCACATATCCCTGGTTCATTCGGGAAGGGATATGCGAAGGTCATGTGCAGCACAGCAGGCCAGAGTCATCCGACGGAGACTTCTGGACTCCTGCGTTGTGCACGATCGATCGCGGATTCCCCACTGAATGCCTTGCGGTGTGGCTAAGGCAGATAGACCGTAGGGCGCCGCGACGAGATGAAACTCCCTGTAGCAGCAAATGAAGAGCACGCACGATAGACCCAATGTCTGCAGGTTCCCATTGATCGTCGACACCAACGTCTCATTCCCCCGCGGTCGATTCGATATTGCAAGAGTGAAAGGATCAGCGTTGTTGGTGGTTTCTAGGATCTATGGCGAATATATAAGAGGAATATTCGTCAGAGCTTTCGTGACGGCGCACCTTCGCTACCAGCTCCGATACATCGGCAGTGGGTGCAAGATCAAAACGGAAATTGCCATCCTTGGATCGTATTCTAACCAACTGTCTCTGAGTTAGACATACTGTTCTGAGCAATACATTGTTATCGCGCGTACCATGGTCGAGTATGGGTGGATGGTGACGGTGTGCGCCAAGGAGCGTTGTGCGTCTGCAGACTTACGCGTCGCGCGAAGCCCACATACGCGTTACGTCACGCCTGGCTTACCTCAGCGAGCAAGACGCGTCGTGGTCATGTGATCTTATATGGGCGCGCTCACGCGTCTCTGGCGCAATCCTAAGCGTGCATTGCGCACATCGGGCCCTCGCCGTCTGTGACGCCTGCGGCGAGCAGCACGTTGTTATAATTGAAATAAGAAGTACTACGGATAATGATGAGGGATGTCGCTATCGAAGGACGGGGTTGCAAATGAATGCATGGGAGCTGCTAGGGCGCAGATTCAAGACCCTCGAGCTTGTCTACACCCATGGATCGCAGACACACGCCAACACAGGACACGCAGACGTCCATCAGCTCTGCGGAACGACGCCGGGTTCGGTCCATCAGCCAGCCTGGTCCGTCGTACGCACACACCTCCGGGCCTAGCAGGCCAAGTGAGAACCCCCCGTTGATGGGAGCAGCGGCGGTACCCGACCCCCATTTCGCGGACTCGTTTGACTTCGACTTCCTCTCTACATTCGGCTCCTTTGGTGACCAGCAGGGTTCAGCGTCGACCCCAGCGCCGGCATACGACGAAGCGGCGTTCCAGAGAGCCCTGCTCGCATTCCAGCAACAATCACCGTTTAACACCGCACTCTCCCATTCCATGCCGACACCCCCGCCTACGGTGCCTAGCATGCCCAACCTACCGAGCATGTCTAACATGCCGAACGTACCCAACATGCCCAATCTACCCAACCTGGCCAATATGCCAAACATGCCGGCACCTTCTACGCAGAACCCAACGCAGGCCTTCCTCGCCGCACTACCCTGGTTGCAGTTAATGTACCAGATGCAGCAGAATCAGTACACCCAACCAATGCAACAAGCGTCTCACCAAGTCCCATTCATGCAACAGCCGCAGCCGCAGCATCATCAGCAGCAAGCGGAGTCCCAGCCGCAGCCGCACGCCCAACCGCGCCGGACGACATCCTCGCGACCAGAGTCTCCGTGGGACACAGCACCGAATCCATTTTCTCTACCCCAGCCCAATCAGGCGGTAGAGTCTCCAGCGTCTTCTTCGGCGGGCGCGCCATCCCCGCCACAGCAGGCGGAAGTGCCGGAGGACCCGGTAGCGATTGCGGAGGACAAGCGGAGACGAAATACGGCTGCTTCTGGTAAGCCTCGCCGCTGCGTATCAGTGAACCCAAACTAAGACGCGTATCGCACACAGCGCGCTTCAGGATCAAGAAGAAGCAATGGTCGCTCAACCTCGAGCGCACAATCTCGGACTTGTCCAGTCGCGTGCAGGAGCTCGAGGTGGAGGCGGCGGAGTTACGGCGGGAGAACGGGTGGCTGAAGGAGATTGTCATGCTGAAGAGCAAGCAGAACGCCCAGGCGGTTGCAGCGGGGGAGGCGGGGACCTCCGCGAGTGCGAGTAGTAGCCAGCCAGATCTAACAGACCCGTCCGCGGGCGGGAACAGCGGGGGACCGAGTTCATGAGCGTGGAGGCGGGAGGAAAAAGGACGGTGCTCGCGATCTCTTCGTGCCGACGCTATATACTGTATGCTATCGAATTCCGAATTGCCTTCTCTCCGACTAGTCAATTCGGAATTCTCCTTATATGGCAGGTCTCCCATTCGGCGGCAATTGTGGCGTCGCAGCGGCAATCGCAGCGGCCAGGCGGGGCGCGGACTCGCCCGGCGCTAGGCACGCGGGCCTAGCGCTCAGCGCTCAGCCGGCAAGCGTTGCTCGACCTTGCTTCGAGCGATCATGTCTTTCGGACGGCCACCCAGCATCTCGGGCAGCTTTCAAGCAACACCACCTGTAATGCACCCTCACGCACTGTCTGGCACGTATGTCTGACCTGCTTGAAGGATAGAGGGTCGTTCCCACTCGACCACTATGGTGAGAACCTCCTGGCCCATGTCGTCCATGTCTCTGACGCACAGCACCACAGGTGAATGTAAGGACCACATGAAAGTGTACCTTGACTGTCTGCGCAAGAATGCCAGTAATTCTACACCATGTCGTCATCTGAATCGCGACTACCTGGATTGTCGGATGAACCGGTGCGTCATTTGTCGGTTCTGTCATCGGCTGCTTCTCACTGGCTGCAGTGGGCTGATGGATAGGGACGAGTGGAAGAACCTTGGAATGAGTAACGTAGATTCTAAGGCTTCGGCGACCAAGGACGACCCGCACGATGCTTCTGTCAAGGCATCGCCGTCGTCTTAGGGCGATGCCCTACGCCGTTTCTCTCTATTCTACACCATACGGCAACTTTTCGGATTCTACAGAATAGCATAACAAGCACAAGACATGGCCTTACGGCTGTCTGCATATCGTCAGACTCGTCTTACGAAGAGATGCACGTGCGGCGGATGTCGTCTGGTCTTGGATGCGGTGGCACAGACATCCCCACTACGGCTCTCCGCCATGGTCTGGACTACTCATGACATGGCCGACTTGCGGCCGGGTATGGAGACGATGTTGACCGAAACACCAAGACCGTCGTACCTCGTCTATGCCCAGGCCCAAGTGCAACTTGCAAGGTCCGACATCATGGGAACAGATGCCAGCTTCCTACTGCCATAGGCTGCATGGCGAGTGAATATGTTGCTTACTGCCTCCGGCACAACATTGGGAATCTTGACGATGTACTGGGTCTCCTACGCATCGTAGGTATTTCATCCGCTATCCAAGACGATGTCCCGCGACTCGCAGTAATGACCTCGTGCTTGGACTGCATGACTTGCGATGATCCTCAGTGAGCCGATTTTGTCCTCCTTATCTCGGCCACTGAGAGCGTACAGCTCATGCCGGCTTGTAGTCACTGACTTTTCAGATGTAAAACAGCTGCGAACGGTCGGTGCGTCCGTATGGCGTCTCTAGACGTTTGTTTAGCAACAAGTCGCTTCCGGACCGATGCGTGGGGAGGTAATACATGTCATCTCACAGGTCTCTCCCAGCTTATCACGGACTCCCGATGTCGATGATAACCTTTATAGCCTTCGTGCACATCTCCGAACATGGCCGGCTTCACGCAGACGTCAGCGTCAGGAAGTCGCCGAATCTCACGTCACCAGCATCCAGTGCGCAAGAACGATGCTATATCCGTCGTGCGGTACAACTTATGATGGGTCCCGCGTTGGCGGGAACACTCCGGAGCTGACAGAAACGGCTGACAGGTAGCACGTTCGAGCCGTTGATTGACCGTTGCTCCCAAGTTGCTCCAGTCCTCCGTCCCTTGTCAGCCCCGTTCGACACATCACCGCTCTATTTGGCACGTCGCCTGCCATTTCAGGCGCATCCGCGTCCCGGATCGGAGTTGCGACGATGAACGTTCGTGGCGGCGACACCCGTGCTCCATCCCCGGGCATCGTCCACTCGTCGAACGTGTTTGCAGCTTCGACAGTCTGTCTCCGAATGCCGTTTGCCGAAACGCGTTACTTGATAGCGAAGATGACCGACAACATCCCCCTGGAGTCCCCGGCTCTCCCCCCTACCTCTGCACTTCCGCAGCCATGTTAACCCCCATCTCTGTCCTGGCGAATATCGCGAGCCAGATCCTATCTATCCTTGCATCACCCGCCCCGGTGCAGCAGCCACTCACTACCCCGGCTCTCCAGGGCCATCGTCGGTTCTACGATGTGCAGGTACGTGATGGTCATCTTGATTGAGGGGACTTTACGTATTGAGTACGCGACCACGTCCCGTAGGCGCATCGCGGTGGAAGGGGCAACACAATCGAGAACACACTCCCGAGCTTCGCTTGGTATGCCGCGGAGTGCTGAGCATGGGGGTCAAGGGCGCTGACAGCTGCACGCTCAGGGGTCTCATCGATGGTGCTGCCACCCTTGAACTAGACAATGGTATCACTAGAGATGGCCATGTCGTCGTCTGGCATGACGAGGACATCGTCCCAGAGAAGTGCGTTGACACTGCGCCTGCCGTACGTCACTCAAATACTTGGCGTGACAATTTACTCAAGGCATTTGCTAGTTCCAAGACGACCCCGACTTCCCATATGTCGGGAAGTACATCGCGAACCTCACGCTCGCGCAGCTCAAGACGCTCGATTGCGGCTCGAAGCGGCAGCACGGCTATCGTAAGGGTCTTGCCCTCCGTCCCATTGCTTGACACGAACCTCTATGGCTCGGACAGCAATGCAACTGACGTACCCCGGTACGCGGATATCGACGATGCAGGAGGTGTTCGACTTCGTTGAATGTGCCGACCCGGAACACAAGATACTGTGGAACATCGAGTCGAAGATCAACCCGCAGTATCCGAACAAAACGTTGGGCGTAGAGGATTTCGTGAAGAGGCAACACGCGTTGTTCTCTGCGAGTCCGTATGCGTCACAGATCACCGTGAGTGACTCCAGTTATTTCCTTCGTACTGTCTGACACTTCGGTGCGTCCAGTTCCAGAGTTTTGACTGGAGGACCTTGATTGCCATGAAGGTACAGACTACGGCCCGACCGCGTCTCTACACTTGCTCATCGGCGACTCATCACTCGTAGGCGCTGGATCCCAAGATTCCGACCTCAGCGCTCTTAGACGAGTACGTCATATCTACATATCTATGAGCTTCGCTTCTGATAGGCTTTCGTGTTCAAAGTGACACTGCGTGGATGCCGGACAACAGCACCACGCCATGGCTGGCGGGCTTGAGACTGGACTCCTTCTCCGGTCCCACCGTCGGACATCAGGTCGCACAAGCCGCTCATTCGATAGGCGCAGACATTCTGTCGCCATCTGCAAGGTCGTTCTTCAGCCCTGCACTGGACCCGGCCATGGAGGGCTACGAGGCCTTCACGACGAAGGAGATGGTCGACGAGGCGCATAAGCTGGGCATGAGTGTCAAAGTGTGGACTGTGCGTGTGTTTCGCGACGGATCGATTCCCCGTAACCTCACACTGTGTTAGGTGAATCGCTTGAACATCGTCGAGCAGATGCTGGACTGGAAGGTCGACGGTATCATTACAGACTGTACGTGTATGCCCGACTAAGGAGCGTCGCAATGCACTGACCGTACTGTGCAGACCCCAATGTCGTTCGGCGATTGACCAAGCAGTACGGATACCCGTCTGCTCCCACGTATCCTAAGCACCGTGTAATGTCATGTCTCAAGGAGCACTTGGCGAGACAGCAAGAAGTCGTATAGATAAATTAGACACCGTTGGACCGCATACCCTGATAGACTGTTACCTGCACTACATACATTCTATGATACTATTGAAGTAATGAATTGAACCGTTAGGAGTGTAATCTGGACGGACAGCCGCACGTAGTTCGACTGTGTCTCCCCTAGGCAGACTTCAAAAGAAGACCTCTGAGTAGGAGGACGGTCTGCTAAGCAGTTCGACTGGCAAATATTCGCATTCTTACTGGCTGGTAGCCGCTCAAAGGCCGCAAGCGCCCGCATCGGGTAGGAACGGGAAAGGCATACCCGGGGCTGCCAGCGCTTGTTCAAACTCCGCCTCTGTTTCCTCGTCGTCACCGCCAGCAGCGTCGAGCATCCGCTCTCTGTCTCCGCAATGGCTGCTATCCAGCTCGCCAAAAAGGCTGTAAACCTGCCCCCCACTTGTCGCACCCTTGCGTCTGGCGTGCCGGCCGCGTCCTACATCAACCTCAACGTCCGCGAACCCGCTGGTCACGGACATGCGCACGGGCACGGTGCTGCTGGCCCCCGCTCGGATGCGCCTGCTAAGTGGGCGGGTGGTGTGTCCACTAGCTCATCTGCAGGGCTTGTCTCGAAGAGCTTCGCGAATGGTACGTGCAGTCTCCGAGGCCATTGCTGCTTGTGGGCCTTCGTACTCAACATTTTATATGCCTCGCAGTCCCCTCTACAGGTGCTTTCCAGAAGCGCCTGATCCATTCGACTGTGCCCGCCAAGATCGAGCCGCAGGTGCCCGACTTCTCGCACTACGAGGCGAAGTCGGACTCGACGAACCGCGGTGTCGCGTACATGATGATCGGCGGCATGGGCCTGCTCTCCGCGTCCGTCGCGAAGTCGACCGTGACGGAGTTCCTCGCGACGATGGCCGCGTCCGCGGACGTCCTGGCCATGGCGAAGGTCGAGCTCGACCTGGCGACTATCCCTGAGGGCAAGAACGTCGTTATCAAGTGGCGTGGCAAGCCGGTGTTCATCCGTCACCGCACGCAGGACGAGGTCCAGGAGGCGCGCTCCTTCAACTGGAAGTCACTGCGGGACCCCCAGAGCGATGAGGACCGGACGAAGAAGCCGGAGTGGTTGGTCATGGTGGGTGTCTGCACTCACTTGGGTTGTGTGCCCATTGGCGAGGCTGGTGACTACGGTGGATGGTGCGTGCGCTTGTTGCGTCGGTCACCCTCTGCTCACGAGTGCCCCTGTATACAGGTTCTGCCCGTGCCATGGTTCGCATTACGACATCTGTAAGTCTCGACCCTACGACTTGGTACCCTCCCTTGCTGAATTGCTCATGTGTAGCTGGTCGTGTACGCAAGGGCCCTGCTCCGGTGAGCACAAGGTTTACATGTTGCATGATACGTCTTCTGACTTTCTCCGCAGACCAACCTCGAGGTGCCCGTTCACGACTTCGACGATGCGAACAATTTGCTTGTCATTGGTTGATAGATGTTGCGTCCGTAGAATGCAGCCTACAGCGTATAATGGAATGTCTTACAATTGTGACGACGGAGACGGTATACGAGTGTCGTGCAAAGCTGAGCCGCATCTCCATATGCAAACAGCGCTCGGAGTCGTAGTTGACATCATAAAAACGTGCGTTCTTGCTTCTCCGCTTCGCCTCGCCGGACTTCCTCTATACAGTGTCAGAGTCCGGGCCTGACGCCGAGGTGGGTCTAGTATGTGGGTAGCTGTCATGCCTACACTTCTGGAACAACCTCACTCTGGTTCTTAGACCCGGTTCGACGTCATGCAGAGCACACGACCTCAGACATGATGCAAACCCTTCAGTTTCTGTGATACCGCAGGCCATCAGCCGACTCGTAGTCAAAAACCTTCGTATATGGTTCTGTGATCGGGAAGCAGTAACTCATAAAGGTCGCGGTTTGGCCACGGCATGCGCACCCAACCAGCATCCGAAGACGGAGGCCCGATTTCCGAGTACTGTAATCACAAACCCTTTACCACTGCTAATTAGGAGCACGTATGCATGTAAGACAGGGTTACGGGATCGTTGAGTTGTCCAGGAGCGTCCGCGTCGGTCAATGCTCATTGGATGCCGAAATGCAGCAGTATGCAATTCAGTCGGTGGCTTTGTACGGAGGTCCATTCACGCGGGCGTGTAAGTTCAAACGCTACCCCGGGTGGAGAGACTCTCATGGGAACCTTCGGCGATGAACATGATAGGCAGTGAGCTGCAGGGCGTCCGGGGCGATGGACTGGCTCAGCCCCGTCATCGATGTTGTCCTCGGGACGCTGCCTCCGGATAGATTATGCAAGTACATCCCTCTGCCCTCTGCTGCATATTTTATGTTTTCCTTCATTTTCTCGGGAGTATGTAGAGGCTGAGAAAAAAACGTCGGCCGTCGGGCTCGGGCACAGCGGTGGCTATGGCGGGGCTGTGGCGGCGCGGGCGGGTCCCGATCTGAACGCGCGATCGGGATCGAGCGGTGCATGTGTTATCTTATCGGGGTCACAGCGCGTGACAAATCTAAATTGCCGTGCTGCGATTGGCTGGATGTGACTCGGGGTGGCTACGCGCTGCCAAGAGGCGCCTCGACCGCGTGCCGCCCGTCCCCGCGATAAGCTGCCCCGGCTCGGGACAGAGGTGGACGTTCGTATCAGCGTCCGCTCGCTCCTTCCCTCCTCCTCCCATCCCGGCCTATGGCTCCCAAGCAGCCCTGCGCGACATACGAGTACGTCGTCACCCCCGCTGGCCCCAAGATCCTCCCCGTCGCAGATGCGCAATCCAAGGACGAGGAGTCTCCCGCGGACTACAACGCTGGCGGATATCTCCCCGTCAAGGTTGGCGATACCTTCAAGGACAACCGCTACGTAGTGTTGAGGAAGCTTGGGTACGTCCCCAACGCGCAATCTCGCGACGTATGGCCATGACCTCGCTGACACTATGATCGCACGATCAGATGGGGTCACTTCTCCACCGTATGGCTCGTGAAGGATACAATGTGAGTTTCTCTTCACGCTACCACTTCTCGTTTCATCTTGCACTTGCACCCTACGTGTGGACGACGGTGCTGCTGCCCTCGCCGCCGCCTCCATCATCCGCTTATCCTGTACGGTCATCATGCGACCCGGGACAGTGGTGCAGTCCTTGTCTGACTGTTGTCTGACTGTTGACACTATGGCGTCGGCACGTCGCTCATGCCTGGTTTCCGTTCGTCGCTCTCACTTGCTGCTTTGAATCTCCACCTTGCACTCAGCGTAATGAGTGAGCGTCATCGGCTCCCGACCATCTCGCTGATCTCCGGACACGACACCGTTGTGTCCGCCAATGGAGATGCAATAGCTTGGCTCCTTTAGACCAGTGGCCGTTTATCCATTGGTAAAATCGGGGAGTCAAGCGATTGTATAGCCGTTGGTAGCTGTGGAAGCTTAAGCGCATTCAGTAATGCTTCTGCTGTATGCGCTTCGTACCTTTGCATAGAACCGCCACGACGCGAGCGACGGTACAAAACAGCAGGCTTGGAATGTATGTATATGGGCGACTGTCCAGTGTTCTGACTGGAGATGTGCGTAGCATTTAGTTCGTCCGATCCGATCAGATTTGCTTCTCAGTCGAGGCTCTGGTCGTGGTCGGTCGTCTGACTCTGTGGTATCCGCAGTCGGTAGTTGCCCGAGAAGTGACGCAGTATATTTTGTGGTTGTTTATGTGGAGGGGACAGGTGATCGAGCGTACCAATCACAGCGCAGGAATTATGGCTGCGGTTGGGTTCTCAGAGACAGTCTCATGGACAGAAAGCGGGTGTTATCTCACGATTATGATGCGACATGTTTGCGGGGCTATTGTTCAGAGGGCTGTGGTATTTTTATCAGCACGGCAGCACGCTCGTTATGTCGTGACGTTCCTTTGTGACTTCTCGCTGACGCACACCTTCTTCACAGTGTCAAACGCCATTCAGCCCTCAAAGTGGTCAAATCCGCGGGGCGCTACGCCGAGACAGCGCGTGACGAGATCAAGCTGCTCAGCCAGGTGCGAGACGAGACTCCCGACCATCCTGGGCGGGAATTTGTCGTCTCGTTTCTGGATTCGTTCCAACACCCTGGTCCTGAAGGCGTGCACGTCTGCATCGTCTTCGAACCGTTGGGCGAGAATCTACTCGCGCTCATCGAACGCCACAAGAAGACGGGTGTGCCACCCGCGCTTGTGAGGGTGATCGCGAAGCAGATATTGCTAGGCTTGGAGTACCTACACGATGAATGTGACCTCGTGCATACCGATATCAAGCCCGAGAACATCAGTGCGTAGACATAAGTAACATGGCGTGACCTCGCACATATCTCACCTATCATTGCGAATCTAGTGATTTCCATTCCGGACGTCGAAGCGCATATCCAAGCGGAGTTATCGACTTCCCCTTCACCGACGTCCCGCAAGGTCGGCGTGCCACTGAAGCAGCTCATGCGGACTGGTGTCGCAATACCGCGGCAAGCGGGGCGCGATCGCCACGTGCAGATATTCGACTCACAACCGCTTATGAGTCCCACGGGCTCGAGTCGGAGCTTGTCCAAAGGCATGCAGCAGTTGTCCAGATTAGCCAGCATGCAGAGCGTTCATAGCTTGTTGGACAAGAAGGGCAAGGGCAAGCAAACTTCGGGCGAGAGCACGCTATCGACGCCCGAGTTGTCTGACGGCTCGACCGCGAGTTTGGACTCCATCCCGCTGCCGTCCACGCTCTCGGCGTCGTTCGGCAACGACCCATTACCGCCGTCCGTGAGCGTGGTCACGAGCGAGGTCAACAAGTTGTCGATCGAGACACGTTCATGCAATGGATGCCTCTCCGCCTGCGTAGGTCAGGAGTTGCCTGTCGAGAAGGTCGAGTCAGTGGTGCCAACGATGCAGCTACACTCGATCAAACCTCCGATGGGACCGTCGCTCCTGTCTCAAACCGCCCCTCATAACCTCACTATCAACACCCGCACCACGACATCGCCTCGCTCTTCATCTCCCACTCATGAGCCATCCTCGCCGCACGTCTCCTCGTCTTCCCACTCTACGCATCGTCCGCCATCACCACCGCCACCTTCGCCCCTGCCTCCGCCCATCTCCATCAAGATTGCCGACCTAGGCAATGCGACACCCAGCCACAAGCACTACACCGAAGACATTCAGACCCGCCAGTATCGCTCGCCAGAAGTCGTCCTGGGACGCACCGACTGGAACCACACGGCCGACGTCTGGAGCGCAGCATGCGTCATCTTCGAACTACTCACCGCAGAGTACCTCTTCGACCCACAGGCGCAGGGTGGCGTCTTCGGCAAGGACGACGACCACATGGCGCAGGTCGTCGAGCTGCTGGGCGACTTCAGCTCAGAGGTGAAGTTCGGTGGGAGGTTCAGTCGCGAGCTTTTTGACAGCACCGGTGAGTAGACAGTCTATTTAAATCAAAGGGGGCGCCCTCCGAATTTGGCTGTATGGGCGCCGCTACTGTGCGCCTCTTCGGCGACCGGACCTGCCATGCCTTCCCGGGCTCCATTCCTAGATCTATCGACGTGGTGTCTTGTGTGTTTCGAACGTGAGCTAACTTGCTTTTCGTATGATAGGCGCGCTGCGGTACATCCGGAGCTTGAAGCCCTGGCCACTCAAACGCGTCATGATAGAGAAGTATCTTTGGAACGAGGAAGACACCGACGCGCTGTGCGAGTTCCTTGAGCCCATGCTCATCGTCGATCATCGCAAGCGTAAACATGCGCGGGACATGAAGAACCACAAGTGGCTCGAGGTCGACCCGGCCAGTTCGGAGCTGAAGAACTGGTGATTTTGTCACCGCGCTTGCTCACCACTGGCGCCTTCCACCCCCGCCACACAGCGCGTTCTGGCCTCCCTCGTCGCGCGGGCTGCGGGATATGTGAAACGCTCACACCAACCACTATCTTACGGTAGTATGACTGATGGTATCTTGACTGTCGTGGGCCGGTGCAGTCGCCGGTCCTCAATAATCACCTGTCGTGCAATCTCTCCTTGCTGTGCATAACCTCGCTATACTTTGTTCAGCTTTAGTCCATTTCCCGGGTCCCCTCCTCATGCAAGCTTCCCCCATGCGACACCATGACCCCCGTCCCCTCATGCATAGACTTTAGACATTTCTCTTCTGGATTTGTCCGATGCACCAACTTCGCTACACTAGTCGCATACCCCCTCTTGTGCTCCTTTCATCATTTCTTTTGGGCTTGTGATAGGGTGCATAGATTATTCCGTTATATTGTGCCCCTCTGTAATATTTTGTAGCTATGTTCTAGACCTCATGCAGAGTTCACTTCTGACATCTGTGCGCCCACCGCAAGTCCACATGGGCGCTTGCATTAAAATGTGTCGTGGTGTCCGGAGCGATGGAGCGCCTGCGGTTCGGCAGGAGCCGGGCGGACGCCGAAAAACGCGGTGGCACATTTCAAGTCGCATGACGGGCGCCTACGTGCTTGCTCTCCTCATCTCAGTCATGGCGGCCTCTCCCCGAGCAGAAAGCGCAGCCGCGCCGGCGCAAGACAAGTATAACGGCGCAGACGAGCAGGCACGCGATGTTTCTATGGCTCCTGCTGGCGACGAGTCTGCCAACGGCGGGCACCCTCCTGCTGACGACCGTGCTCCTGCACAGGGCGCCGACGGCGCTGACTATCCACCCGCTGCCCAACCCACTGAGGGGCCAGAAGGTACCCCCAGTACCCAATCTCCTGGCGACCATCGTGGCGAAAAACAGGTCAAGGTGCTTATCTGGTCTTATGTTCGTGCCTTTGTCTTTGGTCTTTGTGCGCCGCGCGGCCTCTGGTCTATGACCCCTATACGTCTCTCTGCGAGCCTGCGCTTTTGGTGAGCTGTATACAGCGAGGCGTGTTACCTTGGAGCCCTTCGGAGACCTCGTTGGCGACGCCAACTTGTCGGGCGATTGTCATGTGTCTACTTGACAGACTCGCTTTGACAGGGTAGCGCTCGCTGTACTCGGCCTGGCTTTATAACTCGTGCTCACATCCTTGCTTCTTGACTGGCGCCGCAACTGACTCTGCCACGATGCCTGTGATTCCTGTGACTGAAGTTGACGATTGTATCCAACAGCCCAACAAGGTCTATATCGGTGGTCTTCCCGAGCATACTCGTAAAGAGGACCTGGAGAGCTGCTTTGGCAAGATTGGCAACATTACCAACATCGAGCTCAAGTGGGTTTACAGTACTGTATTCGTTGGCTCATTCTCACGCATACCATCTGTCTTATAACAGAGTTGGTTATGGCTTTGTGGTACGTATCGGTCTCCAGACTCGGGGTACACGAGGCTGAAAAACAGCTTTGAAGGAATTCGACAATCGCGAGGCTGCAGAAGAGAGCGTAGCAAAGTATCATGAAGGGTATTTCATGGGTAACAAGATCCGTGTTGAGCTGTCGCGTGGTGGCGGCCGAACAGCGAAGTACAGCAATGATCCGGGAGCTTGTTTCAAGTGTGGACAGTTGGGGCACTGGGCTAGGTAAAGCAGCACCTCCTGACTTTCTTGCTCTGCTGACGACGAACATTGTGATCCAGAGAATGTCCCAACGTCCCGGCGCCGTGAGTACAATGTTTGCATCGTCGCGGAGCTGCATGCTGAACATCATTCTTTCATAGTGGACGGCGATCCTTAGATGCGCCGTTGATTGACCGCATCCAGCCTCCCCGGGACTACCTCCCACCCCCGCGTGACTATCCGCCCTACAGGGATGATTATCGCTATCCGCCTCGAGATGCTCGCTATGGCTATGACTACTACCCGCCACCTGTTCCAGGCCGAGACTACAGACGACCGCCCTCCCCTCCCCCTCGGGACGTCCGTGACTATCCTCCGCCGCCTGTGCGCTCGAGCCGCGACTACGATGACTACAGGATGAGAGGACCTCCACCACCGTTGCCTCTCCCGCCCCCTCGCTATGACTCTCGGTCTGGCTACTACCCACCTGAGAGCGATGTCCCTTCTGGCTTGCCTCCTCGCGGCTATCCTCCCCCGCCTCCTCGAGACTACTATGACCGGAGAGCTCCGCCACCTGCTGACCGGTACGCTTATGCTTCTGGCGCCCCGCCTGCTGCGAGACCGAGAACGCCCCCTGGTGTACCACCGCCGGTTCGCGCTCGGGAGGAGTATGAAAGGCCCCCTCGGTATGTTGTCTAGTTTGCTGTGCTGCCTCTTATGTAATCTGGTATTTTATAGTGAGTACTCGGCCCCTGCTCCGGAGTCTCGTGCTAGACCTGTGTCACCACCGCCGGCAACCTCTCGCTACTCGGAGTATCCTCCTCGAGGCGCCAGTCCACCCAGGTATCGGTGAGTGTACAGGTCAACGATTCGAATCATATCACTGACATGGCGACTATACATGGGAGCAGTCGTCGTTCTCAGAGCCCTCCGCCACGGTCGACCTCTGGTGCTTACGACTCTGCCAACTTTCGAGGGAGCTCGGGTGCGGCCTATACCGGGGGCTCTTCTGCGGCTTATGGAGGCGCTGGCTACGCGAACGGCTCTGCTTCTAGGAGCTCTGATAGAGACTACCCTCCGCGCAGCTCTCGGGACGAGGCTTACAGGCGGCCATAGGACCCCTCCCTGCTTCACACCAAAAATCAGAGGGCCTAATCTTGCTTGCTGTGCCGTGCGCTCTGCCTCGCCCTTTCGCGGTCTCCGCTTGCTGCCTATGTCTGAGATCTACTTCGTCGAGCCGAGCCTTTTGCTGTCTGAGAGCTCTGCGATCCCTACCCCTAACCGATATCCAATGATCCACGAACGTATCTTGTACCCAACCTAGCTTACTCAGTCGGGCCGTCTTGCGTATACTTACGTGCGTCGTTGTATGGCGACATGCTGCGGTAATGCGAATATGCGACATTCTTGTGATTAGCCTATGTTATGTTGTAGCTTCTGCCCAACTTCTGCCTCGGTCAAAACGCCTGTGCGATCGTCTCGTCATGCCAAGCGGCCCCAAGCCTCGTGCGATTCGTGCGGCTGGGGAGCGGGGTGCGCATTTCTTCAAATGGTTGCTAGTCGAGCTGGAAGGTGTATAGCGGTGCTGTTCTCATGATCATTCGCTCGGCTGCATTGAGGGACGCAGAACGTTAACAGAACGTTGGGTCCGCACCTCTCCTTCGTGTGTCGTGGACGTGTCGTGCGGCCACTCGAATCTTCGTTTGGTACCGTTGCTCTAGTTGATTGTGTATCTTAGTGCGATTGTAATCAGGTTCGATTCGGAGGGATCATGATCACGCGAGAGGCGTTTGTATGGCGAGATTTGCCCGGGATGGAATATGTTACAGGACATGTACCGCGCTTCCATATTGCTTGGTGCGCGGATCATGAACAAGGAATGGCCACGGGTGCCGCGCTATGATCACTCGTCAATGCTTTAGCTAGTCATATATGTACGCCTGAGAGTGCGGCGGCTGGTCAGCCGGCGGACGCTCCCAGCTGCACATTTCCGAACGCGTCGGTGCCGTCATGGGCTCATGGCGAGGATAATGAATTCGTCTCGAAGCTGCGGGAGATGGATCTAGGGCACAAATATATGACGGCATCGTAGTGCGGGTGTGTTGTACGATGCCACAGGCTGGGTATGGTTTGATTGAACATCGCGCTCTCGTGGGGCCTCGACCGTGCTCGCGGACAGTTTGAGGCAAAACGAGCAACTGACGTCCCGGCTGGTAAACTGGGGGAAGGTTTGCAGGATGTGATTGGGGAAGGCGGGAAACTCCCGGATCTGTTTTAATCGAAAATTCGCCGGAGCGCAACTCTCCCGAGGGACTCAGACGGGCAAAGTGAAGGCCACACATACAATATTGACCATTGAGGCGTGTTGCGAAGTGGGTCGAGAACGTCCTGCGCTTCCTGTCGATACCGACAGAGAAGTCGAACGAGCGGCGCAGAGCGCAGTGATTGACTCCTGACAATCAAGACAGCAATAGCACGCTATTCCAACTATAGCGCAGTGCAGTGCAGGGCCTTGGACGGATGTGGTAAGATACCCCCGAGGCCGAGTGACTGTGGTTGGACTGTGGCTCTATGTTTGGGAAATTCACTGACAAGCTGGGCTTTGGGAGTGCCCGAGTGGGTGACCGAACCAAGGCCACCGTACGACCGCAGGGCTGGGCAGGTCCGCGACCCACTGGTCGGCCTTCTGCACGTTCGTGCGCTGTGATAAGCAGGCTTGCTTGGTATGTCCTAGACCCGATGGAGTACAGCGGTGTGGTGGCAGCCATGCTCTGACACGTTCCAGGCGTCGCGCGACGACGATCCGTCTGCAGTCTGCTATGAATGCACAGGGGCGTTGAACAGAGCTCAATGGGAGCTGCAGCGAGAGGGTGATGGCCCTGGATGAGGGGACGCGTGGGCGGGCGGCGTGCGCCACTGGGAGCCCGTGATTGGCGCAGGAGAGATCTGAGATCGGGCCCTAGCCGATTTGATCTGTTTCCCCTCGCCACAGACAGACAAGCGAGGATGCGTAACGGCAACTTGCTCTTACAGCTCCCCATTTATAATCCTCTCCGTCCACCCTCTTTCTCTGCGCTGGCGCTCCCTCCCTCTCCCCGCCCCCCACCATGCCCTCCATGAATGCCGCCAGCGAGCGGATCACCAAGAAGTTCATCGGTGCAGTCGAAGACGAGTGGCGGCTCTACAGGTGTGGCCTCTGTTATCTTGACTTGGACTGCGCTCATCCCATTGCTCGCGCTCTAGCGACGACTCCAAAGACTACACGCTCGGTGCGCCCATAGGCTTTGGTGCATCGTCCACCGTCTATACCGCCGACTTCCATCCACCGGATGCGCCAAATCCCATCCCTTGCGCAATCAAGGTCCTTGATCTCGACCGCCTGCCCCCCTCAACTCTTCGTCTCCTCCAACGGGAGACCCAGCTCATGTCCCTCTCTAAGCACCCAAACGTGCTGCGTGTGCGAGGGACATGGATGCAGGGGCACAAGCTCTACATCTCCATGCGACTCATGAATGCCGGCAGTGCCGTAGACGTAATGCGCTATGCGTGGCCGGGCGGCATGGAGGAGGAGGTCGTGAAGTGCATCTTGAAACAGGCTCTGGAAGGGCTCGAGTGAGTTCATCCCCGTCCAGTCGACCGATCTGCTTACCGATGCTATGGCTGTGCCAAGCTACCTGCACACGAATGGGCTCATGCACCGCGATATCAAGCCGGCCAACCTGTTGATTGATGATGACGGCACCGTGCTGCTAGGAGATCTCGGCGTCGCCGCATTTTTGTGGGATGCGGAGGATACACCTCCTGCGCCCGCGCTGCCGACCGTCCAAATCCATAAACGTGCCCCGACTTCGCCGCGTCTCGTCCATTTGCACCACCCTCACCCTCATGGCCACGTACACCACCACCCTCACCATCACCCGCATCACCACCTACACACTCTTCATACCACCCCGCCTCGACTGACGAAACGCAAGTCGTTCGTTGGCACGCCATTATACATGGCCCCGGAGGTCATCAATGGCAAAGCCTACGATGCATCCGCAGATATCTGGTCATTTGGTATCACTGCCTTAGCGCTCACCCAAGGACGCGCGCCACGTTCGCTCGTCTCCACCAAGACTGCCTTGCTCCAAACCGTGCGCGATGCCGCCCCGCAGCTCGACCGCACAGACGGCGTGCACACCTACTCCCGCGCGCTCCAGGAGGTCGTCGCGCGCTGTCTCGAGAAGGATCCAAGCAAGCGCCCGACCGCTGCTGAGCTGCTTGCCATGCCGATCTTCAAAAGTGCGAAGAAGAAGAGCTTCCTGGTTGGCGCAATCCTACAAGGCCTGCCCCCACTCACGAGCCGCATGGAGCGCAGACGACAGCCGTCGGACCTGACCCGCGCGACGATGGAGAGCTGGGACTTTGACGCAAGCATCACGAGCCCGCCGCTCGCGAGCCCATCTGTGAGCGTGTACAGCCGGCGCAAGTCCATGCCTCCTGTCGACCCCGTAGCGATAGAGTCGGAAGAAGAGGAAGAAGAGGAAGCAGGGTATGATGCTGATGATAACGCGGAGGTGCGGGAGGTGATTGGTCCCAAGGGCGACGAGCGGCGGACGAGTGCAGAGCTGTACGCGTTGCGCGTGCGCGGTCGGCCCGGGCGCCCACACAATGTGCGCTCACCCTCCTGGGCGGACGCCGACCACCACAGCACGCACCCGGCGCCCATCATGGAGGTAGACATCCCCGCTCAGCCCTCGTCGTCGCCGTCCTCTTCGTCCGAGTCCGAGTCGGAGCAGGAGCCACTGAAGGCGACGCTGTCGATCCCGACGCCCGTTTTGTCGTCCTCACCCTCCTCCTACACCTCCGAGACGAGTGACTCTGTCGCGACGGGACGCCAGCGCCCCGTCCTCGCGCCCGTTATCACCACTAAGCGGCAGAGCTCGCCTGCGCCCGCTTCGTCCGGGCTCTGGCGGCGGCTCACCGCACGCAAGGACGGGCCGGGAGGAAAGACGCCCCGCCGCGGATCGTTCGGCGGCGGCAGCGGCAGCGGCAGTGAGAAGGACAGCCCGACCGGCGTGGGCCTCATGCGCCGCAAGACGATGGCGATGCTCGGTCGCTCTGTGAGTGGTCCGGGGGCACCTCCTAACAGTGCGCCTGCGGTCGATGGTGGCGGTACTGGTGAGTCTGTTGCGCATGCTAGGTTGAGGTTGAGAGCATTGGCTGACGGTCGCGACAGGCTTCGCAGCGAGGCAGGGTAGTATTGGCAGATAGCCCTAGAGCGGTGGGTAACGCGGCTGTCCGCTGTCCACCCACCATCCCAGTTCGGTTCTCGATCCCACGCCCACGCCCATGCCCGGAAATGTGCGATTCGTTCTACTTACCAGGGGCTTAATTGGACTCTGCGCGAGCCGCTGTACATCATCTAGGTATCTCATCTAGTCGTGCATCTGATCATGGTGGTATTTACAGTTAGCATGCATCTCCACATAAGTTATTGTCGTAGTCCGACGTCGTAGCAGTGTATTAGTCGTTATACTGTCGCTAGTGCCATTCGCGGTTTGCGGTAGTGCCTGTGTCTGCAGCGTGTACTATTCGTCGTGTAATAAGTGCTCAATCTGTATAGTCAGCGTGTCTTGGCTCTGCTTATTGCACGCCATTATGTGGCGTGGCGTGAAGTCAGCACTTCGACGGATCTTGAGATTCTAATCTTACGAGCTGCGCAGTAACCCTACTTTGCTCTTGGCAGCTACTTTTGGAGCTCTTTTGCACGCTTGGGTCGCTCACGTAGTGCAACGGTATACTGGTTTGCTCGCCCATGATTCCGTAGTCGTGCATATGCATTCCAGCGTCAGCAACAGTGTCAATATCGCAAGTCGTGTCCGTCGTCGGAACAGCTTCATTGGAGTCAGAATCGGTATGCAGCGGCAACGGTGTTGGTTCCGAATCATATGATCATACTGTATGCATTTCCGTTGCCCAGTCATTGAGCAAGCTTATCAGATGTTTCTGTTCCTCATATCTCCTTTGTTGCTGGGCCCAGGTTTGTTTGTTTGTTTGTGTTCCCTTTATTGTCACTGAGGGCGAAGCCCTATGTAGACATAAGTGTACGTAGTTCAGAGTCCGTAGTCCGTCAATCAAATCGCTGCGTATGCTCTGGGCCCAGGTTGCTCCTTTGTCTCTCCTTTTGACTATCAAAATTGTGGTATGCCGCCCGAGGCGGCGATTCTTCCGATCTCGGACCCGCCGCACAGCTACGACCAGGCTCAAGCTACGACAATTGTCCGCCACAGCCGCATGTCCGTCCCCGGCCGTGCTCCACTCCTTGAAGTCCTTCGCAAAGCTCGCACCGCGGCCGGACAGTGCATGCAAGCACTGCTTCGTCTTCAGCCGAGTCGCTGGGACTGGGGCACAGGGCGCCAAGACCAAAGATGACTTGACTAGCTGGTCAGCTCGGGCATCGTGCGCTGTGAGCGTCGTTGGGCTGTACCGGCGCCCTCACAGCAGGTAGGTCGGATGTACTCTTCTATAGCACTTGACTCGATCCCAACAGCTTGATCAGCGCGCAAGACGCAAGCCCCAGCCAGCCTCAGCCTCTATATCAGACCGTAGTACACCACCTAAAAGGAAGGTCAGAGTCGGACTGAGGCATGCGTCGAGTCTAGTGCTATCGAGGAAACGTGTTCGTCTGCCCCACCCAAATCGCGAAATCAGGTCGCCGGAGTTGTTTATCGAGTCACATTCACGCATCCTGCGTTCGTAGGTGTGACGAACACGCTGCCGCATGTTTCTGCGCAGGTGGTACGCTACACTGCCGCAGGCGCTGGCTGTCCACAATCGAAGCAAGACCCGCCCCGCTGCTTGACAGCGTATGACTCCATGGGGATGGGCCTACGTGCGTCTCACTATCTAGATTCGAGGCTGTTCATTCATTTATAAACCGTGATGCTACAGCAGTCTTCCTAGCAGACGCTGCTGCACCCACTCGACTCTTCAGAAGCGATCACAATCGCCACATACGTCAACGTGGATTCCAAACAACTATCCTTATTCCTGACTTCCCTGACGGGTCTGTCGGTCAAACTCACTGACACCCTGTTGTCGAACAGCACGAATTCTTCGACAACAGCTTCGACTATGGCTGGATTTCCTCTTCCTCAGGAGATCTTCTCTGTAATCGCGTCGTACCTCTCTTTCTCGGCGCTCAGTGACTGGATCAAGCTCTTCGTCGTTGGCGGAGCGCTCGAGACATGTCGGCGCTACCTGTTTACCTGGTGGGACTCCTTCCTCGAGACGTTCTGGCTCGTCGCCACAATTGATCAAAATCAGGATCAAGACGCCTACCGTAAGCTGTCGATCGTCTATTCACTGTCTTCTCGAACTCATGATTTACGTCGGCCTACAGGCTGGGTCCTTTACTGGCTTTCGCACCAAAAGTTCTGGAATGCTGCCCGAGTGGTCGACGTGAGCACGAGCGAGCAGTTTGGGCTCGAAGCCACCGAAGAGGATGAGGACGAAGAGACCAGCTCCTCTCGCAAGCTTACCTATCTCCCGGATCTATCGAAGTCTTACAAGATGTGGTACAAGGGGCGTTATATGGTAGTGACAAGGGAGTCGCGTTGGTCTACCATGCAACTAAGGTGCCGTAGTTCCTTGTGACTTCATTTGTCACCGGAATATTGACACTACGGTAGCATCTTCTCACGGGACCGTGCGGTGCTGCACAACTTCATGGAGGACGCCAGGCAATTGTACAAAGCTGCAGAGAAGAAATGTGTTTCCATATATGCAGCCGATACGTGAGTTTGTGTGGCGTCAAGTGTGGTTTGCATGTGTGACTGATGTGATACCTGCCAGTGGCGGTTTCTGGAACTTCATGACGGCTCGCCCCAAGCGGCCCTTGACATCGATTATCATGGACCCAGGCGTCAAGGAGCGGCTGCTCAACGACGCGCGCAACTTCCTCGCCAGTCGGAAATGGTACTCTGACAGAGGCATCCCATATCGCCGCGGCTATCTCCTGGTAAGCTCATTCGCGCGCTGCTATTAGAACCTTTCATGCTGACGACCCCGATTCCCACAGTACGGTGCCCCTGGGTCTGGAAAGACCTCTGTGATCCACAGCATTGCTGGCGAGCTAGGCCTGGATGTCTACATCGTGACAGTCAGTCGCGCAGGCATGGACGACACCGCCCTGACCGAGCTCATCTCGAACATGCCCCGCCGCTGCATTGCGCTCATGGAAGACATCGACGCCGCCTTCAAACGGGGCGTCACGCGAGAGCTTTTGCCAGAGAGCGGGTCGATGTCTCCTCGAGGGGGCGAACAGAAGAAGGACGGAGATGACGACGACAAAGGTCCGAAACCGGTGGAGGAGGCCGCGTCTCGTGTCACTCTCAGTGGCTTGCTCAATGCGCTGGATGGCATCGGCGCGCAAGAGGGACGCATCCTGTTCGCAACCACCAACAACTACAAGGCACTCGACCCCGCGCTATGCCGCCCCGGAAGGATGGACCTTCACGTCGAGTTCCGCCTTGCCAGCCGGTATCAGGCGGAGAATCTATACAAGTCATTCTTCACGGAGGAGGATAAGCCACAAGGGGAGACTAGTTCTGACGACGTCGCCTCAGAGAAGCTTCTCGGGTCCGTACCCCCGTCTCCTCCCGCCACGCCGCCCCCTGCGTCACCAGACCTCCTCGCGTCGCCCGCGCCCGATGCGCGCCAGCCAAACCCATCAGACAGCTTCTCTATACCGGTCACTCTCTCGAAAAGAGAAGGGTGCGAACTTGCCGCGCGTTTTGCGAACATCATACCCGAGCGACAATTCTCGATGGCCGGCCTACAGGGATACCTCATGCTGTACAAGAGCGACCCCCGTGCCGCCGTGGTCGATGCACCTGCGTGGGTCAAGGAGGAGATGGCTCGGATGGGGACCCAGGGTGGTCGCCTAGCGGAAGCGCCGCTTACATCTGGGGTGGTACGATTGGACTGAAACCCGTCGCCCCAATGTTTGTGCTCCCAGTGGGACTCAGAGACCATTTGGGCGATACAGGGACATAGCCTGAACGCTTGCTTGTCATAAGCCAAAGGATGAAGCGTCCGCCTTGACTCCTTCAAGTTGTTCGTCGGAAGCAGGCATCCGAGAGGATGTCATCATGCATATACTAGCAATCGCGTTGGCACGTTCGTGCGTCGAACTTGATATTTAGATGTTGTAGCATATGAGTAGTGACTGTATGACATATCAAGCCTTCTGCAGTGGGCTGCATATTGTGACAGAATTCTTGCGTCCGGGAGGCGTAATGTGCTAGACCAACTTAGGCTTGCGTGCGATGCTAAGCCGCGCGCGTGAGTACTCACTGATGCACCCTCGATCGAGCTCCGGTCGCCCTATGACTATTTGAAAGGTAACATACGTATTTGGGTGTAGTACTGATCAAGCCTGTGGATACTTATATTTCCGACGGGCGCGGAGGAGCGTAGTCAATGAGCGCCGTCACGTGGACATGGCCTACTATATGCGACTCGGACGCGCTCGAGCCTCGCGAGGACAACGCGTTGAGTCGTGCCCACGGTCTAACACGCCCTCCCACCCTCTACTTGTCGTGACGCGCCTCGGAGTCATATATGGGCAAGGCGCGCAAAACAAAGTTCTATGCCGTCAGAAAAGGCAGACAAGGCCCCCGCATCTATGCGTCCTGGGAAGAGGTACTAGCCAGCAGGCAAATCCCATCCACTCGTCACTGACACTCGTCTATCAGGCCAAGGAGAATGTGCGTCACTGCAATATCTATGACAGGACGTGGACAGAAGCTTGAAACAGATCTACCAATACCCGGGCGCGTTGCAAAAGAGCTTCCGGACTAGGCGTGAGGCTGAGGAATGGCTGAATGTCGTGCCGGACTCGCTGCATACGTGTAAGTCACCTGGCGCTGATGGCTGGATCGAGGACTACTCATGATTTTCTAGCATACTACGAAGTTGAACCCGGAGGTCCTACGATCGGCCCGCTACGTCCAGGGGTACCACGCACCAAGCCCCGGCATAGGGACACAGGCAAAATGTCGGCGTACTGTCCTAGTGTCTCTTCACTAACGGTGAAGAGAGAGCACAATGAACCTCTTGCTGTAGTTGGACAACAGGACTATCGAACTATTCACACGACGGGCCGTACGAAGATTGAAGAGGGTAGCGAGTCTTCATTACCAACGAAGGCAGAGCACATTGACGTGTCCATTTCCTTCAAGTCGGAGGATAATTCGGCTTCTACGCTACTGCCTAAGGCCGAGACATTTGATGTTCCCTTGTCGGAACCGAGGATGGAGGATGCTCACTTACCACCATTGTCTAACGTTTGGACTGGCAAAACCGATATGCCACTCAATGGCGACGAACCTCTTCCTATCTCACGACATATTCTACCATCATCACCGTCTCCTCCTCCTCCACCTCCTCCAGTTGACCTATCTGCGGAACAGCAGGCAGTCGTTGACATGGTCAGGTCAGGCCGCAACGTCTTCTTCACAGGCTCTGCAGGTTCGTTCCACTTAACCTCACTAAACCGTGCTCACATTCTGATACTCGTACTTGTGCACCAGGCACGGGCAAGTCACTGCTTCTTCGTGAGATCATCAAACACTGCGGTGGCAGCCATTCGGATGCGTTAGCTATCACAGCTGCTACGGGCATCGCATCCGTCAATATCGGTGGATGTACTCTCCATTCGTGGGCCGGAATTGGCCTAGGGAAAGAGCCTGCGGACGAAATGCTCGGCAAGTTTCTAGGGCAAGACAAGCACGCACAGAAAAAGGCAAAGGAGGCCGGCCGTGAACTGCTGTACAAGGACGCATATAATACAACGGTTAAGCGGTGGCAGCGAGTCAAGACACTTATCATTGACGAAGGTGAGCCCGAATTGCTCGTCTGACTGTTGATGCTCAGCCGAATCGTCTTGTCAGTTTCAATGATAGATGGCGTGCTGTTTGACAAATTGGTAGGCTACCAGATGCGAGTGTGAAGTGATACTCACTATTTGAACGTTGAAGGAATTTCTTGGTCGGCATCTGAGAGACAGACATGGAAATGAACCTTTCGGCGGAATCCAGGTAAGCTCAGTATGCATGGCACTCTTACAGCTGCCAACTCTCGGTTCATGTACTACTAGCTAGTCCTTTCAGGTGACTTTTGCCAGCTTCCACCTGTGCCAGATCATGACACACACGGCATCCCGATTCCCGCTACATTTGCATTTGAGGCGCGCTCATGGTCCAGGTGTATCGGGAAGCCTGTCGTGCTTCGTCATGTTTTCCGACAGAGCGAACGAAGTGAGTCGCGGCTTTTAATGGCTAGTTTTGTCCATTTATATCGTCCTTGCCCAACAGAATTTGTCAATATGTTGAATTCGATGCGCTTCGGCAGGCTGACGCCACAGATCATAGCCGAGTTCAGGAAGTTGTCGCGGCGCGTAACTTACGATGATGGCATCGAACCAACCGACTTGTGAGTTACTCCGCCTTCGGTATCAAGTGAAAGCCAAGCCTTGCCCTTAGATTTCCTACACGTCGAGAAGTCGAAAGCACAAACATTTTCCGCTTGCACCGGCTACGCGATCCAAGACATGTATATGCTGCAAAGGACAAACATGGTGTTGACGAGGATGGCAAGGAATACCCACTCACCAGAGTGAAATCTGCTTTGGAGAGGCTCGTCGCTCCCAAGGAGATCACATTCAAAGCCAGTGAAGCTCAAGGCCTCACACGACGTGCATGTTGACGAGGCTGTTATGTAGGTCGGCGCGCAGGTCATGCTCATCAAGGTCAGTGATCATGGCATGGAGTAGTTGCGCTGTGCATACACTGACGAGTCGAGTAGAACTTGGTGCAAGGCGAGCTCGTGAATGGTTCTGTGGGACGGGTGATCGGCTTTAGCACGCCGCGCAATGCACGGGAATGCGGAACCGATATTGCGAAGGAGAATCCGGAGGAAGTCAAAGTCCATACGCCGGAGAAGCACGGACCACAAGCCGCAGAGCACCATGTCTGGCCGATCGTGGAGTTCAAAAGCGGGCGCACGTTACTGTGCGTCCCCGCTACATTCGAGGCGATCAATGCAGATGGCAGGATAGATGCTACTCGCTACCAGGCAATCCACATCTAGTCGGTGCTAGATGCATGGCTAAAGTGAATTCACCACAGGTACCCCTCATATTGGCGTGGGCGTTGAGTATACACAAATCGCAGGGACAGACCCTAGACAGGGTCCGTGTCGACCTTGGGCGCGTGTTTGAAAAAGGTCAAGGTGAGCACGTCTCCTCAACTATGGGCCGGCAACATTCAATTTACGACATTCACTACAGCGTATGTTGCACTGTCCCGCGCAACAAGCCTAGACACGCTTGAAGTCCATGGGTTCCAACCACTCAAGTGCGCCGTACCATTTCCGTCAGGCTTGACGCCGGATTTTTTAATTGATAATCTCGCAGGGTTCAGGCGCATCCTCGCGTGATCTCTTGGATGAAAGAGCACGTAGAAGAAGATATGGAACCGAGAACTGAAACCGAGGCCGACGATGATCGCCAGTATTGGGATAAGTTCGGAGATTGAGGCATCTTCGTAAATGCATCATGGGCAGCTGCATCTAAATTATATATTGTATCATCACTGTACTCATGCTATCAAACGCTATCGTCTTGCATTCGCAAACCTTTGTCACATACTGCAGCACAATCTCAGTTCATTTGAACCCCTGGCGTGAACGAGCCTGGGCCCTAGGCAAGCGATATATCATATGCATGACTGCATGTGCATCTCAATGCGGAGCAATGAATAGTGAGTACTTGAGTACTACTGATATCGTCCTGACCAACCTGACCACGTCTGACTCGCACGGCAGCAGCGGCGCAGGTTGCCAGAAAGTCGGAACCACGGGGACATTCGTCCCGGGGACGAGGGACGCGAGACGCGAGACGTCACAGTCAGTCTCAGCACCGTGAGTGGCCGGCCACCATCATCGCTTTACCTCCCACTTTGACCAGCTTTGACATTGACATTATTGAGGGCCAGAAAGACAATTCACCGGTCAGCTAGGTGTCTAGATATGATAGGGCTCGAGCACATCCTACAACATCACATGACCAGGCGGACAGCGCCGGGGCGAGACAGCGATAGTAGCCGTGTTTGTGCGTTCATACATGACGATGATATAATCTTTTATCGCACATGTCGAGAGTTTGATGGTCTGAGACGGGCTGAAAATCTGTGCGCCTCGGCGAGCATTTCTCGGGCTACAAACTCCTAGACACTGCAGCAGTTGCGAGCGCTGGGATGGGCGTCTACGGTTGAACACGCAAACGTGGGACAGCAAAATGGCTCTTCTGCAGGATTGCATGCGCAAACTGATATCCGGTGCATCGAGGTGAGCGTGCAGGGCATAAACGATGCCCAAAGTGCAAGAGTGTGAGCTGAATACATTGAGATTCACTATATCCTCGGCCAGGCGCTGTCTCGCCGCGCACGAGCTTGCAAACTCGCCATGATCGCACACTATGACAGTTTGCGGTCCGCGCGCATGCCAGAAAAGTGTGTGAGAACGGCGCAGTCAATACCTACGATTGAAGCCTGATTTTGTGTGCTGTCCCGAGTGCTACTGCCTCGATATTTGCGTGGTCAACCGTAGACGCCCATCCCAGCGCTCGCAACTGCTGCAGTGTCTAGGAGTTTGTAGCCCGAGAAATGCTCGCCGACGCGCACAGATTTTCAGCCCGTCTCAGACCATCAAACTCTCGACATGTGCGATAAAAGATTATATCATCGTCATGTACGAACGCACAAACACGGCTACTATCGCTGTCTCGCCCCGGCGCTGTCCGCCTGGTCATGTGATGTTGTAGGATGTGCTCGAGCCCTATCATATACATATCGACTGACTTAGTCACTTACTGACTGAGATTTACGAAGGCGTCACGGAGGCCAGGCATAGTGGCGCGCTACGTGA